TGTATTTTGCACTGAATGAAATCTTATCTCAAGTTCAAACCTAAAAGTCCTTGCAGTTAAGTTTGTTCTGCAGTTTTTGACCTCATCTCTTCAAGCACACACCTGTACTTTAGCCCAATTAAGCTCTAATTAACAGGAGAACCTCTGCTTCTGAATGGCGGCATTGGAAGGTTTTCAACAGGCAATGTGCTTTTGCACTCAGCATCTTCCCCCCCCCCCAATTTCATGCCAGAGCGAGAGCCAGGTACCGAGACGAACTGTGAGTGAAGCCCATCCCCCCCCCATCCCTGGGGGGAATTTGTAAGGATGATTACCCACAATCATTCTTGTTTTTCCTTTGCCAATGATATCCCACTGTCATGGGTGCTGCCTCCATTAAGGCAGAGCAGAACCAGAAGCCCTCTAGTCCAGCATCCTTTTCTCATGGTGTTCAACCAGATGCCTATGGGAAGCCCACAAACATGACATGAACGCAACAGCACTTTTTCTGTTGTGCTTCCAAGCAACAGGTACTCACAGGCATACTCCTCTGACAGAGGGAGGTAAAACATAGCCATCATGATCACTGATAGCTTTATCCTCCACAAAGTTGTTTAATCCCTTTTAAAATGCATTCATAATTTTATACGCGTCTCTCACGTTCCGAGAGAATCTGTTCCAATGTCAAAGAGCTCTTACACCAAAAGGTTCTTCTTGATGTTCAGTCAGAATCTCCTTTCTTGTACTTCGAAGCCATTGGTTTGGGTCCGACCCTCTGGAGCAGGAGGGAAACAAACTTGCTCCATCCTCCATGTGACAGCCCTTTAGATATCTGAAGAAAGCTATCAGATCTCCTCCTCTGTTTCCTCTTTTCCAGATTAAACATACCCAACTCCCTCAACTGTTCCTCGTAAGGCTTGGTTTCCAGACCCTTTAGTACCTTGGTTGCCCTCCTCTGCACATATTGCAGCTTGTCAACATCCTTCTTAAATTTTGGCACCCAGAACTGGGCACAGTATTCCAGGTGTGGTTTGACCAAGGCAGACTACAGTGGGACTATTACATCTCTTAATCAACTGGTTCTTCCTGCCTAAGTGTAGAACCTTACATTTTTCCCTATGGAAACTCATTTTGTTAGTTTGCACCCAGTTCTCCAATCTGTTAAGGTCATCTTTTAAGAAACAAATAACAAAACCTATAGATGCTGGCTATAGTTTGTAGTTTGTCTGGAGTAAGACAAACCACAATCCCGGGTTCAGACATACTGCTAAGCCAAATGATGGCTTAGCTATAGGTAAGGTAAAAAAAGGTAAAGGACCCCTGGACGGTTAAGTCCAGTCAAAGGCGACTATGGGATGTGGTGCTCATCTCACTTCAGGCCAAGGGAGCCAGCGTTTGTCTGCAGACAGCTTTCCAGGTCATGTGGCCAGCATGGCTAAACTGCTTCTGGGGCAACAGGACACTGTGACGGAAACCAGAGCGCACGGAAACGCTGTTTACCTTCCTGCAGCAGTGGTACCTATTTATCTACTTACACTGGCATGCTTTCGAACTGCTAGGTTGGCAGGAGCTGGGACAGAGCAACGGGAGCTCACCCCATTGCGGGGATTTGAACCGCCAACTTTCTGATCGGGAAGCCCAAGTGGCTGAGTGGTTTAGATCACAGCGCCACCCACGTCCCTAGCTATAGGTAGTGCAGCAACAGATGGATGAGGAAAAAAATGAAACTGTTGCAATTTTTGTGGGTTACCTGTGCCTTAATTGTGTGTGAACCAAGATAATATATCAGTAACATACACTGCCTGTCTGGAAAACAATAGATAAGAACCTGGACTGAAAGTTTAATAGTTGGTTATTCACAACCCCCTTATGTCTCTCAATTTCCTTTTAAAAGGAGGTGCAAGTATCATCACCAGATTTAGGGTAGTGTGGGTAGTTCCCCTGCACATGGTGCTGAGCAGAGGGGGCACCAACCCACCCACCCTATATTATATGGGTACCTACTGAGAATATCCATAAAAAATTCAAATATACAAAAATGAATTATTGTGAAAATGAGAAATATTGGGGTGGGGTGGGGATTTGTCCTTGCTCAGGGTGCCATATTACCAAAGTATGCCCCTGCAAGTATAGAAGAAGGCATTGCTGCAAAGCATTTGTTCCCTTCAGAGTTATTTATATACTGGCTTATATCAATGGCTTCAAGGTGCTTCACAAAAATTAAAACGTGGTTAGAGTGCTGGACTGGCAGCTGGGAGGTAAGGGTTCAAATCCCCACTCAGCCATGACACTTCCTGGGTGACCTTGGGTCAATCACAATCACTCAGCTAAGATACTTCACAGAGGAAGAGAACATCACCTTGGAATTCTTGGATGAAAGGTGGGATAAAAATGTAAACAATACAAATAGGTTATGAAGTAATGAAAGAATGAGAGGGTTCATGTGTGTCACTGTGCATTCTGGACATGTCAAAGAATTATTTATGAAGATGGATCAGCATTCTTCAAGAGAATAATTGAAAATGGTGGGGGCATAAAACAACCTCTGCATAAGATCATCTACGAGGAAATCTGTTCAAGGAACTAACAAAAAGTGTGTGAAGAGATGGTGACAAGATCTTGATGGGAGTATAAGAAGGAACAATCAAACATAAAACGTTTAAGGCAAAGAACCTGAAAAATGCGTTGAAGTTATATTTGAGGAAGAAAGTTATGTGTTTAATCTGAATTTGGTTTCAGGCTGAACTGGAAACAGTGTTTTAAAAAAAATAATGCACCTTATATTGCCAATATACTTATGACCGCTTGCATTGTAACAGACAGACTTCTGTTCAATTGCAACTTACGAGTCGTGGGTGCTAGGTAGCTGGAAAATAAATAAAGAAATATTAAACTCTCCCTTGATTAATAGAGGATATTTGGTAACCAACAACATCGCATGCCTGTAGGCAAAGCTGTTTTTTTAAAAAGGAAAGGCACCAACTCTGCTTAGCCACCTGACCTTTCCCTCTATTCATTTGTCTAAGAACTTTGTGCTCCAAGCAAGTCATCTGATAGCACTACCCATAATAGTGAATTCAGGTGTTGAGTGCCCAAATAGGCAACAGAGCCAAAATAGGCAAACTGAGAACACACAGTTGTCTTCTGCTACCTACTATCTCCCTCTAGACCAGAGTGTTTAACAATATCCCAACAAGTAGCAGTCATTCTTTCTAAATTGCAAAGTCCCTGTGCTTAATACTAACTCGGGAGGGCTGACATTTAATGCCATTTACACTCCCTTGCTGCTTCACTTGCTCTTACTGCTGCCCCCCCAACCAACCAATTAAGCTTTTATCCCATTTTTCTAAATGGCAGGATATCAACTGCTGCCTTCAGACAAGCCTATATGTTTCCTCTACTGAAGAATGAGATTCTGAACAATTTTTGAATCTTTGGATCTAGAACTATGAGGGGAGAGACTTCATCAGGCAAGGCCTTCTTCTACCTGCCTTGCCCCACCCTCCAGTCTTGCTTCTCAATTTGTATTGTATTATTTTATGCATTGTGACTTGCCATTGTTTTATTGATTATAGTTTAGAAATTATTTATTATAATTGTTAAGCATGGATTTCTGTTTAATTTTTATATGCTAATATTTAATATTATTCTATGCTATTCTAATGGATTGTTGAATATTACTTTATTTGATATAAGTTGCTTATTTTAAAGTTATGTTTTATTATCACATTTTTGTATTGGATTGTTATAAGGTGAACATTCTTTGTTTCTTCAGCTTGGAAACCGCCTTGGGTATTGTGAAATAGAAAGACGGTATACAAATTAAAAGTGAAATGAAAATGAAAAATGAAATTTTGAAATGCAGCCAACAATCGTCCTTGATCACCAATGCTAAAAACTAGCAAACCTGAGGAACAAAAATAGATGCCTGGCACATTTAATGTCGTTTCAGATTTTTATCTACTTCCGCCAGCTTGCCTTTTCCCCGCCAGAAGCCGTCTCACTCAACTTCCTATGGATACTTCCAAAACCACACATTTGGCAGCCACCACTCCTCTCCAGCAGCGTGCCAAACATATTTTTCAAAACGTGGTAAAACTATATATACATACCACTGTTCTTCTGGTCAAGGGTTAATGTGAGGGTCTAACAGTGCAATGCTACAAATGTCTACCCAGAAATAGGTCTCTTTTGAGTTCAACGGGACTTACTTCCATTTAAGTGTGTATAACCGGATTGCAGCCTAAAACGGTTTGCATTGCAAAGTTTCAGCTCAGGAAGTTATGGAGAAAAGAAAAACACCCAAGCATGGAGACTTAGAATGAGCTCCTCCTTTGCCAATTATTCAAGGAACAATGGAAGGACAGCTCTGCTTGTGTTCCCTTGCACAAGATCAAGATGGACAAAATGTTCCTTCTGGAATATCGGTGACATATTGATACTTTCAGTAGGTAGAGCAGGAGACTCTCAATCTCAGGGTCACATTGTGCCAAAGATTCCTGTATGGTAGGGGGTTGAACTAGATTATCATTGTGCTCCTTTCCAATTTTATGATTTTTTCACAAGGCGGCTTACGAAAATAAAACAGTAAGAGTAAGATAAGAAGGAAGAGCCTGGATAGCTCACTTGGTTAGAGCGTGGTGCTGATAACGCAGCCGCATATTCCTGCACTGCGGGGGGGGTGGTGGACTTAGATGATCCTCAGTTCTGTGCTTCTACGATCCGGAAAGAACCTAAAACCGCAAGACTGTCTCTGAGCATGTGCCGAGTGCAAGGCCGTACCCACAGTCCAGCGAAGCTTGCAGGGGTTTGTGGGGGCACGAGCCCCTTCTCCTTTCGATGCTATTTTATAGAATAAGCTCCTTCCCTTGGGGGCCACCCGGCGCCTCCAGAAGCTCAGCGCCCCCCGTCCCTTACCTGGCCCCCTCCCTCTCCTGCCCTCCCTCTCCGCGCCGCCTGCCAGCCAGCCTGCCTGCCTGCCTGCCTCCGCCTCACCTCCCCTCCCGGCCCTGCCCTGCTGCATTGTGGTCCGGCCCGGCCGGCGGCGGCGGCGGCAGCGCCGAGCGAAGATGGCTGAGAAGCAGCCGCAGAAGCACGACGGGCGGGTGAAGATCGGCCACTACGTGCTGGGGGACACGCTGGGGGTCGGCACCTTCGGCAAAGTCAAGAGCTGAGTATGGGGCGCGGGAAGGGCGGGCTCGGGGCTGCAGCCGAGGAGGGGAGGGAGAGAGAGATGGAGCGCGCGCGCGAGGAAGCGCCTCTCCAAGGCGCAGCGCGCAAACCCCCCCAATATACGCACACGCGCCGCAGAAACCAGGCGACAGCCCCGCGCTCAGTTATCCCTCCGTCTCCATCCTGCACCTTTCCTCCCCAGAGCCCCCTCCCCACCCCCTGAAGCGAACACCTTCCCCACCCCGGTGCCCCCCACCCCACAGTATAGCCCTTTTTCTCTGAGGCAGCCACCGGCATAGGAGCCAACTCACAATAAAATGTTTGAGCCCCCCCTCCCGTTTCAAAGTTCATGGGCATTGCCCTTCAAATGGCATGCATGTCATGTGATCGGTTATGTGGGGCTTACCTGGGCCCCCCCATATTTTAGTCAAGTTGGCACCCCTGGTAATGCCATTCACACACACACACACACACGTGTACATGTGATCAATTATGTCATGGAATGTGATCAGTTATGTGTGGCAGGGCATACCTGCCCCCCCCATATTTCATTCAGGTTGGCACCCCTGCTTTGCATTTTCATCTGACCATTCAGCCAGGCACCCAGTCCATAATTCCCCCTCAGCTCCTCCCATAAACACCTTTGCACTCTCCTCCCTGCTGCCTTCAGAAACCCACAATAGGATGCTGGGAAGTGATGACAGGGGCTTAGAGAGTCAGGGTCTTTTTCTAAGAGTCATGAATTGTAGAGTTGGAAGGGACCACGAGGGTCATCTTGTCCAGCCCCTTGAAATGCAGGAATCTTTTGGCCAACGCTGAGATTAAGCATCTCATGCTGTACCAACTGAGTTATTTGGAAGTTCACCTAGGGTTAGAAGACAAAAAGCTCCTGGCAAGCATCCAGCACACATACCTTCCTCTTTTCTTTTCAGTCAGCGCTGACAGTACACATGAGCTGTGTATATATGCTTTAGCAAAATAAAAGTGCCAGGGAGAGGGGTCCCTGCCCTGATGAGTTTCCAGCAGGGAACGTGACACTGTGGAAAGGACAGGAGGGGATAAATAGAGGCAAAATGTGTGCAAGCCGAATGCGGTTACCCACACTGTTTGGCCTCCAGTTAATGAATCACACAGCCTTTCCTCCCTCCCTTCCTTCCTTCCTGTAAGATGTGCAATGCATTGTGAGCCCTGCCTTTGGCTGCTCTGGGATGTACACATCTTGCTCCCTCCAGCATTTGCACAAGGTGCAACGACGTTGGACATCTTCAGCTCACATAACCTTGGTCTTTGGCTGCCCTGTGGTAGCCTTTTAGAATAAACTTCATGGGCATGCTGTCACCAAAGAAACAGTTTCAAGAGGAATAGCTGTGTTAGGTCACAAAACTCTTGGCTAACAGTTTAATTATGGCATCATCAGTTGAAATGGACTGGACTTCATGAAAGCTTATGCTGTTATAAATTCAGCAGACTTTGAGGTGTTAAAGTTGAAGTGAACAGTAGTCCACAAAAGCTTGTTTTATCACCAAAGAGGCTAATTCAGGAAGAGATGCTAAGCTATTAGAAGCTATTGCTATTATTATTACTATTTATTAAGTTGTTGTTGTGAGATATTTGTGAGATATTTTCCAGTGTTGAATGGCAGAAAATGTCATTCATACATGAGTCTGATTCTTTGCAAATCCATGGAGAATCTTCACATCGTGAAGTATTTTTTCCAAGGTTGGCATGAAGTTAATGCAACACAATTCTATGCATATTTATTCAGATATAAGTCCCTTTGTCTTCAGTTGGGTTTACTCCCAGGTAAATATGCACAGGATTGTAGCCATATTTGTTACATTTTTTAAGGAGCTCAGGTGACATACATGGTTCATTCTACCCATTTTATCGTCGCAAAAAAGCTTGAAGTGGAAAAGTAGTGAACTGCCCAAGGCCACCCAGTTGCTGCGTGAGGATTGATCCTGAGTTTCCTCAGTTTAAGTCCAGAACCACACTGATTTCTTAATCACACAGACCCTCCCATCTGTCATACTCTGCCCAAATCATATCCCAATCATTGCAAAATAAAGCCCAGGCTTGTCAACTGCCACTTGCCATGTTGCTTGTAGGGAGCAAGATTTGCTCCCAAGCAAGAAATTATTTTTATTCTTTTCCCCTTAACAGCCTGATCCTATGCATATTTTACTCAGAAATGAGTCCCACTGAACTCTGTGAGGCTTAGTCTTAAATAAGTATGTATAGGATTGTTGTCATCATACATTGGTGTGCTACAGACTACTAACGTGGGTGGGCTAGTAAAACATTTTTTTGGGCTAGTAACTTTAATGGGCTTATTTGCAAGGTTGAAAAAAACTGTTTTTCAGTGGTTATGAAAGGTTAGGGCGCAGCACACAGTAGCTAGTATCTAACTTTCTTAAGGACCATTGTAATAATTGAGCTGAACCATTTCCTATAATGTTGCTAAGGTCACCCTCTGAGTAGACCTACTCAGAGGGAAATACTGCCTTTCAGCATTCTTGCCTTATACCATTTAATTAAAACACACATGCGTGTGTGCGCGCACACACACAGTAATGTGTTAAATAGTGTATCATAGGGAGTTGTTGTGCCTCTGCTTTGTGGTTATATTAGGAACCTGAGTTACCGCACCACGCAACAAATAACACTGTCTCTCTTGCCTGCATCTCTTAAGACATTCAAGTAGGCTTAACAAGTCCCAAGGGAGTGAAACAATAATATCTCTGTATCAGTTCCTTGCTGTAAGCAAACGATGGATTACAAAGCAGACTTGTTTATTATTAATTATTAATGTATCAGCACTAAGAAAACCACAGACAGACACATGTAGTTTTTTTGTATTGATAACAAATGAAAGATGGGCTACTCAGTTGCAGCTTAATACTTTGGTTTGTTTGCTTTGCTGGTTTGGAGTTTAGCAAATGTTCTGTGTGAGCTATAGCAGGTTGTAGAATAGAAGGTGGTCACCAAAGCATACAACTGGGACTTTGTCCAATTGGAACATATTTACATTGTTGATCTGGGAGATGCCAGATAAGCATTTATTTATTACATTTATATATTGCCTTTTATCTTCCAAGGATCTTAATGTGCTGTACGTGGTTCCCTCCCGCCCATTTTGTCCTCATAACAACCCTGTGAGGTAGGCTAGACCATGGGATGGTGACTGGCCCAAGGTCACACAGTGAGCTTCATGGCTGAGTGGGGATTCGAACCCTGCTCTCCCGGGTCGTAGCCCAATACTCTAACCATTACACTACACTGGCATAAGATGATATGATAGGACTTTCTTTGACAGAAATAGCAGAGAGAAAATTCCAATTTCAATGATGTTTCATACCCGCTGGGTGATACTCAGCCTTAGTTATAGAGTAGTCCTGCTGAGATCCAATAGACTTAAGTAATTTGCTTGCTGATTTCAGTAGGTCTACTTTGAGTATGACTAACATTGGCTATCACCCATTGGCTCAATGATCAGCAGCATTGCTATCATGTGCTTAGTCTCTTTCCCACTCAGTTATTCCCTAAAATATCAAGGGGTGATTAGGCCCTCACTCTGCTCCCCCCCATGTTTTAAAACATAAGCCTTAGCTGCATCCTCAAAAGAACGTGTAATGTGTGTGAGTTCAGCTGCAGGAGCAAGCTGTGAACTGTGAATGCTGTTCCCACTACTTCTAAGGCCCAGATTATTTCATGCATGTGTATATACAGCTGGGATCTTTGTTGTTTCATCTCCCAGAGCAAAATATTAGCAGTACAGTTGTCAGGAAACATGTCGTGCTTTACTCCTGTACAATACAAACGTAGCATTCAGGAAGTCGCAGGTAAAGATTTTTGGAGGCTCAAGATGAATGCATTATCGCCTGCTAATGTATGCAGAACAAGCTGCTGCTAGAGGTATAGGAATGATCAAACTAGGATAACTGTTACTAGACTAATTTGTGGCCCGTGTTTTTTTGGCTGTGGCACTGCAATAGGGTGCAGGAACAAAAGTTACTAAACATGGGTTTTCTAGGATCCTGGGAGCATAGTTACAACCTGGAATATGAAGGGGTGTCCAGATGCTAAAGCTGACATGGTCCTGCATGTTTTAGTGCTTGTGTAGATATAAGAAAAATATTCTTATTTTGGCATCTGCATCATATTGCAGCAGTGGTAAGAAAAGATCCCCCCCCCTTTTTATGCAGCTGCATAAAGCACAAAAGCCAAATCCTCTTTCACTCTTGGTCACCCAAAGCATGAAAAGCTATATGATGTGCACCCATTTTGCTGAAGCAAATACCTCAAGTTTGTACAGAAACATATTGAAGGACTTGGTTTCACTCTGTGTTTGGCTGTTTATGAAATAGCATAGTGGCTGCAGCAGGCAATCGAGGGATATGGAGCAGAGTGAATTTCCATAACAGGAAAAGGAATGATAATTCTTATTTAGCCCTCCTGTCGTTTCACAGCAATCGGTTGGGAACATTTCCTAGGGTTTATGTTTGCTAGAGAAAGGTCGAGATAGAGCCATAGATTTTCCCTAGAGGCACCCATTGTCAAGTGGGATTCAACCATATACGGGCATATTCATGTTGCACAGTTATGGTTGGTTTGATTTAGTGCCTTTGTGAAACAAACCCTCTTCCCCAAATATCAGACTTCTTGCAAAAAGGAACGCGATGGGGAAATGCACTAGAAAGGGTGGATAATGCTACAGTACCTTCATGTACAGTTGTCTAGCCGCCCTGCAAACAAATCAGAATAAATGCTCACTGCCCCATATTCATATAGCTAGAGGAAAAACCCTTTTTCAGTGGTACCCCAGCTGTGGAATGCTCTCTGCAGAGAGGCTTGCAGTCTTTTTGGTGACAGGTAAAAAAAATGTAAGCTTGATTTTTACATCTAAAACCTGATTCATTTATTTCTTGTTGCTGAAACCTTTTTGTTATATGGATTTTAATCTACGCTTTGTATTTTACTTCATTATTAGGGCAGGATAAAAATATGGTTGATCTGTAAAATAAATAAATACACTTGTGCGATGCGGAGCATAGCATCCTGTTAACATTTCCTAGCCTAGCTGAGTACATAAAAAGGAAACAAGTCCAAGTGTTTTTATTTGGAAGTGTGGCAAAACACTTTATTTTTAGAACACTCATATTGAGGAAAGAATTTCAGGCTGCTCTTATCTCTGCTAATAATAGCGACTTGCTCACCCTATACAGCTACTGCTTTTACCACTCTGCTCTGTTCTTTAGTTGGGGCCACAGTCACTGTCACAGATAGTCTCTTGCCTAGTTTTAACATTCCATGACTTTTAAATTAGAATGCTAAGCTGCGTGAGAGTTCAGTGAATTGTATCCTAAATGGCATTTCATTGTTTGCTGTAACAAGCATAATGGCTTCTGCTAGAACCTTACAGCTTGAGACTTCTATAAAACTCCCGTTTGTTTGTTTTTCGTTTCCAGAGGGGGTGGCCACGTTGGTCTCTTGCAACATGACACACACTTTTCTGAGTTACAAATATGTTTGCGGCGAGGGCTGTAAACAGTAAGGTCAGAGGAAATGAAATGCAGAAAAGCACAGACAGTGATAATTACGCAATTAGCAGCAGTGATTCATAAAATGTTAATTCAGACATGCTGGCATTTGTATGCCAATTAACACATGACTTTACTAAAAAAAATAAAATTCTTTGTCTTAATGCAGTCCATATATAACAGCACTGAACTCTTGATGCATTGTAATCCAACTGTTTGAAGTTGCAGTCTCCCTTTAAAGTTCCTTTGCCCCCAAGATGGCCACTCTGATGTCACAGACACATATTCTGTGAGGTTGAAATATTGCCATTCCTGATCTCAAATTTGTGTCTTGTGAGAAAAGAGAGAGAAAGTGGTTTTCAACTGCAGTGGGAGCATATTTGCTCACTGGAGTGAACCATTTGCCCTTGTTGGCAATAATAATAATAATAATAATAATAATAATAATTTTTTAATAATAATTTAAATCACTGGCAGCTAACATCCCTCTTCATAATCTATGAAGAGGATGATGAAATTGGGGTGGGGAAAACATTTCACCTTAGACTTAAAATTATATTATTACCTTTTGTTATTTTTGTTTCTGTTCAGGGCCAAATACCCCCTCATGACAGTCTGTCATTATTATCCAGTATACATTATATGTACTTCAATAAAACATGAAACTTTTCTTTCTTTCTTTCTTTTAGTTGGAGAACACCAGCTCACACGGCACAAAGTAGCGGTCAAAATTTTAAATAGGCAAAAAATTCGCAGTTTGGATGTGGTTGGGAAGATCAAACGAGAAATCCAAAATCTGAAGCTTTTCCGACACCCCCATATTATCAAATTGTAAGTATTGCTGCCACTACTCCCATTGTTGTGTGTTGCATGAAATGGGGATACTGCCCTCAGGGACCCTGTGCGCTCCTGTTACTTTACTGTGTGTTGAATTAATATTTTCAAAGGTAACCTGCAATGCAATTCCAGGCACATTTATTCTGGAGTAAATTCCACTGAACTCCACTGAGTTTACTTCCTAGACACGGGTGGCGCTGTGGTTTAAACCACAGAGCCTAGGACTTGCCGATCAGAAGGTCGGCGGTTCGAATCCCCGTGACGGGGTGAGCTCCCGTTGCTCGGTCCCTGCTCCTGCCAACCTAGCGGTTTGAAAGCGCGTCAAAGTGCAAGTAGATAAATAGGTACTGCTCCGGCAGGAAGGTAAACGGCGTTTCCATGCCCTGCTCTGGTTCACCAGAAGCGGCTTAGTCATGCTGGCCACATGACCCGGAAGCTGTACGCTGGCTCCCTCAGCCAATAAAGCGAGAGGAGCGCCGCAACCCCAGAGTCGGCCACGACTGAACCTAATGGTCAGGGGTCCCTTTACCTTTACTTATACTTAGAACTACAGCCTTTGCTTTTCTGAACCACAGTAAGCAGGATCTCTATTGGGATTCTGTTAATTTATGACTACCAGATTAGGGTAGAGGGAAAGTTATAAAATATTGTTGTAAAACGTTTATCTCGTCATCTGGGAGCTTGTGATAGTAACATACAATGGCTGGATTATACTCTGTGCTCACTGAGGAACAGACATAAAACTTGGACTAGCTGATGGATTTGAAGTAAATTCCTGGATTTTATGGAAGGGTTTGATGCACATTTGAGCAATTTCTTGGGCGAAGCAACTGAGTCTGCTTGTTAGATGTGCTTCTCACTCTCTGGGATATTGTGGTTCTGTGCAAAAATGGATTTTTGAAAAGTAAAATATTTTGACTATTATACTTGGACTTCCCTATCCTCTTGCCACTACGATTCAGTTTTACCATATTACTCGAGTCTGAGTATTATCTCCCATCTTTTCAAACATTCTTGAACATCTGTAGCCACAATGGAAATTTGAAAAGAGGGTTAGTCATAAGTGAGGTATAATTATTGTGCAAAGATTCCAAGAGATTCAATAAGCTTATGGAAGAAGAAAGGTAAATCCGTCAGAGCCCAGAAACAGTTTATATCTGCTTTTATCATAAAGAATATAATAACATTCACCTTCAGAAGTGGAAAGCAGTTATGCGTGAAGTTCTAATTTTAAGGAAAATGTTAATTTAGTAAGATTAAGTAAGCACTAGCTCTTGTCTCACTATTGAAAAAGATGCAGATAAAAAACAACATAATTTTTGTGTGTCTTTTTGTTAGGTACCAGGTCATCAGCACACCAACAGATTTTTTCATGGTAATGGAATATGTGTCTGGTGGGGAATTGTTTGATTACATCTGTAAACATGGACATGTAAGTGACTTTTTCCATTAAGGATAAATGGGTGGGCGGGAGGGAAGTGAATTCTACCGATCTATAATATCTTTGCTAAATGAGGGTTCTTTTTAAGGTTATTAAGGCCAAAAATAGAACTGGCTTCATCACAGACCTGTCTGGAATGACTTGCAACTGGCCTGATGGCACTGCGGTGTCCTACACAGTCTTAGAGTGCAAACATTTTGCTGATCCATCTTGCCTTGAATTGCGTATCATTTGAATAAATATGTAAGAAGCAAGGCAATAACCAGTAGCAGCTTCCCTGGCTCTTTATATTTGAATGCGTTCTGGCAAATGAAAGCAGTTTGGTGATAGTGATCCAGTCCTAAAAGTATGCTTGTAACGGTATGCTTGTAACGGTGGTGCAATTTTTTGGGTGACATTGCACTGGTAGAACAGCCTTTTCAGACGATGCTGAGCATTTATTTGCCGTTGCAGTATAATTTAGTGATAACTATCAGTTTACTATATAATTGCCCAGAAAAGACAATGAGCCACAGAATTTCCTAGAGTGTAGGTGATAGTTCAAGCTCAGAAGCAAGACAGAAGTGCTTGCCTCTGTAAATTTACATTTTACAGCCAATCAGCACAATTCATGGTTGAACAGTGTTTTATTTTTGTTGCCCAGATTTTCCCTGAAATAGAAATTATTAAATGCTTTTTAAAACATAGAATCTAAATTCTATGCAAAAGCAGTAATAATAAACAGATTTCGACTGCACTCCTGTACACATGTACATAAGTCTATTTTAACTCAGCAGGACTTAGTTCTGAATAGACGTGCTTAGGATTGTGCTCCTTCCATAGCTCCAATTCACAGGTTAGAGAGGATCTCATATCTATTTTTTCTTTAATCCTTCGGAAGCTATTAGCAGAATTGAAATGCTCCCTGCTGCATGCTATGTGATTGTCACCTCACCACTTGGACTGCATAAAATTCAGTATTTGAATTTTTGTACCCTGTAGTCATAATATTTCCTAATTTGATCCCTTGTTCATAATTTATTGAGAGGATATTATAATCTGCTATATAATTATACTTGTTATAGAAATATGTAAAATGTTAAGTATGTACTATCATTACCATTGTTTTACCACTATGATTAAGTGGTGAGGCGCATCCATTAATGGCCTGAATTCAGTTTAAAAATAGAGTTTCTATTAACAGACCTAGTCAACTCAGGCTGTTTCACAACAACTGCTAGGATCTTGCAGAGTGAGACTGCAGCTAGGGGTGCCATTTTTGAATGCTCTCTAATGGGGGGAACGGGACTTTCCTGCAAGTATGAAAACTAGAACATCAGGAAGAGTCTAGCCTGGAATAGTCCTTGTTGTCCTAGGTTTTTTTTCCTTGCAGGGTATATCAGTAGGTGCCAGTACCGGATTTACGTATAAGATAAACAAGCTATAGCTTAGGGCCCCACACTCTTGGCTTCCATAAAAAAAATTAAAGGAAAAAACAACAGTTGGATGTACATTTCCAAAATATAAGATAAAAAAAACAAATAAAATAAAACCTACATACAGCAACAGTGTTTTGTGTTGTGTAGCCTCCTATAATGTGAGTAATGGGCCCCGCCTGCTCGCTTGCTCCCTAAAATATCACTGGTTTGCTCATTTCTATATATAGAGTGCCTACATTCTGCATGGACTGGTTGCATGGCAACATGTGCAAATGGCTTTAGATACCTATCAGGTTCATAAATTACCATATAGCATATATTCAGCACAAAAAACCGTGACGATTTGTTGTTTACAAAGGACAGCTGGACATATAAAGGGCCCTATTACCTTCAGTAGCTTAGGGCCTCATCAAACCTAAATCCGGCCCTGGTAGGTGCCATAAAAAATATGATCTCCCTCACCTGGTCTGGTATAGCTCATTCTACTCTCTTTCCCTTAAGATACGCACAAAGAAGAAGATATTAAAAACTTTAGTTTGTGATGTCCGAACTGAAGGAACTGTGATTTGTTCTGTGTTTAGTTTAAACAAACCAGGATCATAGCATGATATGATATCCCACTTTGTTAACAAACCGTAGTTTGAATAAACCAGGCATGACAGGAAACTGTAGTTAGTTGGTGCTCTCCAACTAGTACATTATGGAGCTGTGGGACTAGGTGAAAATGTGACCCCACTCTGGCACATTCCTATTTCATTCTACTGTACAGTGGTACCTCGGGCTACATACGCTTCAGGTTACATACACTTCAGGTTACAGAGTCTGCTAACCCAGAAATAGTGTTTCAGGTTAAGAACTTTGCTTCAGGATGAGAACAGAAATCGTGCTCCGGCGGCACAGCGGCAGCAGGAGGCCCCATTAGCTAAAGTGGTGCTTCAGGTTAAGAACAGTTTCAGGTTAAGACTAGACCTCTGGAACAAATTAAGTTCTTAACCTGAGGTACCACTGTAGATCCATCCCCAATAGCATGGGGGGGGGGGGCGGATCTTAAACTGTACTGGCTTGAGGTTTAAGGTTCTAGCCTGGGCAAGTTTCCTTGAGTGGGCTTTGTCCTCTACACTTTGCTACTGTTGCTGGCTTGCCAGTAAAAGAGCTAGCAAGCAGGTGGCAGCACCTGCTGATCCTAATTATTACTGCCACCATCACTTGTTTCCTCATCCCCCTCCAGTCCAAAACAAAAAGTAAGCAAACAAGCCAGTTGCAGCAGTGGAGAGGAGCAACAACAGGGCCAAGTCTTGGGCTTTGGCCTGACGCCCAAGTATGGCCACCTTTAGAGGTCAGTCCTGATTTCAAAAGTGTGAGATGAGGAGGCAGGGCCTTCTACTTTGCTGTCTCTGGCCCCCATGTTTGGTTTTTCCAAATTGGGTGCAGTCAAGGAGTAGAAGGCAAAAGTGACAAGGGCAATCTAGTTTCTTCAGTTTGCAGAGGCCTTTGGAAAATTACTGCCATGGGTTGCAGTCTGTAGCAGAGAAATTTTTCAGAGTAATGAGCTAAACAATTGATTGCTCAAGGAAGCACAGTTTTAAAGCTTAAATGGCCTTTAATTATTTGACACACTTAATTATAAGAGAATAGTGCAATGGAATGTCTCCTTGGGATGGCTCGCCTCTGTTTACTTGTTTGTTTAGTGTTGCTTACTGTAATTCTGTCTCTTGTGGCCCATTAAGGGGGCACATTTTGCCTCGCTGAGTATCCTTTCAGGACAAACAAAAAACATTGAGTCTTGTTTCCCTTCCTGTGCATTTTTCTAGGTTGAAGAGGCCGAAGCCAGGCGTCTTTTCCAGCAAATTCTGTCAGCTGTAGATTACTGTCATCGGCATATGGTAGTTCACAGAGACCTGAAACCAGAGAATGTGCTGCTGGATGCAAACATGAATGCCAAGATAGCTGATTTTGGTATGTGACCCCAGCAGCATTCCAGAAATGTGACCAGCTCTATGCCAATTGCTGAACTGTCTCAGGGCTAACATCCTTCAAAGAACCCCGCATCAGTTTTCATCACCATTAGCAGTTTCTTTGCTACTGTGAAAAACTTCCCAAGTTGAAAACATTAGTCTCGTCTTCACTGAGTATTAAACCTGAAGGTGGACGCTTACATAACTGGATGCTTCTCCATACTCAAAGTTTTAAAGAAATCCTGGCACGTAATAAGTTGATTTCAGGGAGAAGGGTCCTAGCCTTGCCATTTCCCTGGCATCTAGGTTTCTACATCTTTTTCTTTATCTTATATGGTGGAACACTCAGCCATATGAACCTTGAAACAATACAATTCATACGTTCACTTATCACCTCTAGGGGAAGCAGGTTTTTCTTGTTATGGTGTTGTCAGTGTGAATATAGATATATAATAGAAATCATTTACAAAATTATTTTGGATCTTTGCCACTTTTAACATATCCTTTCAATATTTCATGCAGTTCCGTGTGGCTTCTTATACTATCAGGTTTCATTTTTATTTATTTTTGTCCCATTGACCATAATGCTGCCCCTTAAAGCAGACAGGACAGGACTGATTGTATAGCACTGATATTCAGCTTCATGCTAGACATATAGAAACATGAGGTCCTCCTCTCTTCCCCTTGGGGCGTACAGATGCCTTCCCTCTCTAGGCCTCCATTGCACAGAGTTTACTCCAGCTCTTGAGTAACCTAGATGAAGGAACCTGAGGAAAGATGGTCCATTGAATTCTCTCCAGGGGAAATGCTTAGAATAAGCTTTAAGAATCTAGCTTTCAGTTTGAAGTAGATCTTTACAAAGACCTTTCTACCTGTAAGAAATTGTTTCTTAAGCAAATAATGCAACACAGTTCTAAGAGCCTTTTAAAAAAATTTAATCTATATCGTTCCCTTCTGCCTCCCTTGCTATTTCACACACAAACACCCTTCTCTCTCTTCTAGCAATGCCAACAAATGAGTCTCTCTTTCTCTCTCCCCTCCACAACCTTTTAGGACTGTCCAACATGATGTCAGATGGCGAATTCCTGCGAACCAGCTGTGGCTCGCCCAACTATGCAGCACCAGAAGTCATCTCTGGAAGGTAGAACATTAAAGACCAATGGATACCCTTTTGATCAGAGGCATGTTTTTGACATGGGATCATTCATATAGCTGAGTAGTTCGTGGTCATTTATATGTGCTTAGGTAATGTTCGTATGGCAGCGTTCTGTCCTTCTGGTTGCACAGTTTGTTTTTAAGCAAGAAACAATAGCACCAAAAGGATTTAAAGTAGATAGCAGGAATTGACCACCGAGATTATTTCTGTTGACTGCACCAAGGCAAGTCCAAAGAGAGTGGACACTTCTAAGCAACACTCGAGAGAAATGTTAAGGATTTTTGGAGAATGTAGGGGAGAGCAATCAAAGAGAAGAGGCTTGAGCAGTTCCGGAATGGTGAACAGGCTATGAACAAAGTTCAGGGAGGATGTTATTGTAATCAGATGCTCTTCCAATTGTCACTTGGATTCAAGGCGACTGTTTAGCATTGCTTCCTTTTTCCCTCTCCCAGCTACTTAGGGTGTCCTTTGGAACTTCAGGCAAGATACTGCAATGTCTTAAGGAACTGGTTAATGGCACCTTCCTTTTGTTCAGATTGTATGCTGGCCCAGAGGTTGATATCTGGAGCTGTGGTGTTATTCTCTATGCTCTCCTCTGTGGGACTCTTCCTTTTGACGATGAGCATGTCCCAACCCTCTTTAAAAAGATCCGTGGAGGTGTCTTCTACATTCCCGAATACCTCAACCGTTCAGTTGCCACCCTCCTTATGCACATGCTGCAGGTGGATCCACTCAAACGAGCAACCATCAAGGACATCCGGTAAGGTCTGGTGCCAAAATTACAACTCGTCCCTTACTAATATTTTTTTGATGGTCTCTGAGAAGATCATCAGAGAAAATCAGCCAATATGTCCTTTAGAAATAATAATAAAAAAAAGAAATTGGCTGAACAGGGAACGGAGCTGACAGGCTTGAAAACATCTAATCTAACCAGCTTACATTATTGCTACATTCTCTTTATTGCTATGTTCTTTACAGTATTTCATAAGGAGTGACTGGGAGAAAGCAAGATGAAACATCACCTAATGCAACCTCAGTTGTTGAAATAGCAAGAGCATTTGAATAATCAGAAGTGTCACAAGGATGGCCAAAATCCCTCAACTAAGCAGTACAAGTCAAACTATTTATATGGTCCAAAATTACAACCCACCATAGCATTGTCAGTGTTTCTTTCATCTCCTGTTTCCAGCTCATCCCAATATCACCAGGAATGCCATATCCTGAAGCCTTGGGTGCCATTGTGAGAACATGCAGTGTAGTATATGACTAAAGAATGTTGTTGAGACTGCTTTGTCCCTTATAGCACATAGGTCACTACACCATGTGCTGTAAGGGACAAATAATTTATAGTTCTTCCTTTAATCAGCTTGTTTTACTCCTGCTAAACTCTTGGGGTCCGTAGTTTCTCAGAGGAGTGCATTTCGAAACCTCAGCCCTTTGAACTCAGAAGGGTTAAACAGGAATACATACACCAGCTTGACACTTATCATTTAACATTTTAGTGCCATGCTTGGTCTTTTATGATGGGTCAGATCTAGGATGTTGCATAAACAGTATTATTATTCATTAGAGAAACGATTCCTTTTAGAGAACACGAGTGGTTCAAACAAGAACTGCCCAGTTACTTGTTTCCAGAGGATCCTTCTTACGACGCCAATGTTATCGATGATGATGCCGTGCGGGAAGTTTGTGAAAAATTCGAGTGCACTGAGTCAGAGGTGATGACCAGCCTGTACAGTGGGGATCCTCAAGACCAGCTTGCTGTTGCTTATCACCTTATTATTGACAATCGGAGAATCATGAACCAAGCCAGTGAGTTCTACCTTGCTTCCAGCCCTCCCACTGGCTCTTTCATGGATGACACTATGCACATCCCTCCGGGGGTGAAGCCCCACCCGGAACGGATGCCTCCTCTCGTAGCAGATACTCCCAAAGGAAAGTGTCCCTTGGATGCACTGAATACCACTAAGCCAAAGCCGTTGACTGTGAAAAAAGCCAAGTGGCATTTAGGAATACGGAGTCAAAGCAGGCCTTATGACATCATGGCTGAAGTGTACCGTGCTATGAAACAGCTAGATTTTGAGTGGAAGGTAAGGAATACGAATGCTTTGAATGCTATTCAATGTTTGATAATGGAAGTTTATATTTTACTATCTGCATACCAGGTTTTTTTATACTTAGTAAACAACTTAGAAGCCTATTTTGGCATTAAATGACATTCAGATTAAACAATGCATTAATTAATTGTGCATTCATTATTAATAATATTTAATAATGCATTAATTAATTAATACCTCCGGTAGGTTTTCAGTTAACTGGCTTTGCTTATGTATTTGCTAATGCATTCAAATGCTGCCCCCTCAATATAATAATTCTCAGAGCAGCTTAGATCAAGAGAACAGGACAAATAAAATGCACAAGAAATATTTACGGAATTTAAACAGTGGATAAAGCGAGCAGGAAGATTCAATCAGAGTTAAAAGGTTAGCAGCCTGGTAGAGTGTAAAGGTCTTCGCCTGGTGCAGAAAGGACAGCAGAATAGGCACCAGGCCAGACTTACCCAGGGAGGCAGTTTCAGGACTGGGGCACGACAAACGAGGAGGTCCAGTGACCACCTGCCTCACCTGGTGGTGGGGACACCTGGAAGAGGGCCTCCAGCAACTATCAGAACATGGACAAGTAGGCACTCTCCAGGTCCCCAGCTATATTAATAATAATAGGCATAGCAATCCTAAATGGGGTTGAGGAGGACAAGTGGAGCAGCAGATCTACCACTGCAACCCAAGCCTTTCTAGCTCACACTGCCCAAGGTGGAAGGCCTGCACACACACACAGAAACACACATGGTTTTTTATTTTCTTACTTTCTCTGTACTTCAGATCCAGGCTGGTGCAGCAGAGGGGCCTGAGGTTAGGTCCCCTCTGGGTCTGTGCAGGACTTTGGATCTGGCCATCTCACTGCCACTGGGACAACTGCTGTCTGCAGCTTTCTGCCCAGCACAGCTGGAACCTCTGGTTCAGTGGCTGGCAGTGAAGTGTCCGAAAGCCATTCTAGCCTTTTCCAGCCATCAGTGTCTAGGAGTTAGAATTGCGCTATAGATGAGCAGTCTTCTAATGGCCATGATAGTATTCGCCATGTCTCATTGTTAATTATTATTAGCTTACTCTTGCATCATCCTCTTTGTGAATATTAGCACCTTCAAAGCGGTTAAATAATGTATATTTTTAATTACTGACCTAAAGGGGGCGGGGAAGAAAACATACTTTCTTTTTTAAGCTTCCTAAGCTTGAGGATAGGCAGATAATTCTGCCTTGCACAGTGGTAGGGATAACAGGAGCTCCACATTTCTAATTATAGTAGCTAATTCCCTTCTGGGTAAATAATCTTACTGAAAGCTCCTAATAAATAGATGTTATTTCTACATGGTATCGTTGGTCAGGTGAGAAAATGCAATATTGTTCCCTTAAATCTGCCTTAAATAACTTGGTATTAGCTGAGTCTTCTTTTTGCCACAAGATTGTGGTAGTTGCTGGTTTCCACAGTATTTTCCTGTACATAAGGTGCCTTCATTTCACAATCTCAATGTCCGTCACTTACAGCCACATTTGGGGGGTGAGCTTGATCTTGGGAATTAATGGTTATCTTCGTGAGGTTTTCTGTTTTCCTATGTATGCCTCCACCCCACCTTTTTGAGCTAGTGGTTTATGGGCAAGAATTAGTGTTGAGGCATCATTAGATTCACTTTCTTTCATTGTTCTGATTTAACTTCAAGCCCTCAGTAGGAAATGGAAATTCAGTCTTCTGCTGCCTTGCTTACTGACATATGCTGCATTCAATATGTTTACTGAAGCAGCTGCTTAAAAAACAAACCCCGTATGCACTAAAGATAAATACATACAAATTTTAATTTAAGGAACCTGTGCTTCTTGCCTGTTCTGCTTGCTTAGATGTTGATTATTTCCCTGCTGCTATTGTTTTGTTACTGCCTTTATTATGTTTTGTTGTGTGCATTTTGAGTCTTTGTTTCTCTTGGCTGCTTTGCCTGTTGCTGAATGAGAAAAGCAAGGTACAGGTGTTCTAAAATAAATAAATGTTCAGTGAATCCTCTGTATGTATGTTTGAAAGTGCTCCCAATATCCTGTACAAACTGAACCAACATTCCATGCCAAGGAAAGAGAATTCTGTGACCTATACATTTTAAAACGAAGCCAAAATTGCATGTCTTTGCTTATTTTGAAATAATCTAACAATTTGCTTATTTGGAATAATACTTCTAGTCATTGTTAGGGCACAGAGCTACGTAGGTAGAGAAAACCTTGCCTCCTAATCATCGCAATTCAGCTGTCCCATACGTTGTCTGTTGTTAGAGCCATAATGACTAGAAACTGGTAGCTTATAGAAATAGTCAGTGGGACACTCCCCCCCCCCCCCGAATAATGTGGTCAATGCCAGTTTCTGCATTTGTACAGTTGGTTTTCTCGTTCACTAATACATAGCCCTGCTAACTAGAAGCCCAATAGGAGAGAAGCTTGTACCGGTAGTTGTTTTCACCCCCATCGTTCTGCCCAGACACTGAGGTCCAGCGCCAAGGGCCTTCTGGTAGTTCCCTCATTGCGAGAAGTGAGGTTACAGGGAACCAGAGAGAGGGCCTTCTTGGTAGTGGTGTCCACCCTGTGGAACACCCTCCCATCAGATATCAAGGAAATAAGCAACTATCCTATTTTTAAAAGACATATTTTAAAAGGCAGCCCTGTTTAGGGAAGTTTTTAATATTTAATGCTGTATTGTTTTTAACACTCAATTGGGAGCCGCCCAGAGTGGCTGGGGAAACTCAGCCAGATGGGCGGATTATAAATAATAAATATTATTATATATTATATTATGGATGGCAGGACTAGGACTGCTGCTCTGATTACCTGACTCCTCATGTTGAAAACCCTCCTTTTCATGATGGAGGGAAGAAGGCTTGAGAAGAGTTTCCATGAAGGATATTTAGAAGAAAAACACAGGAAGGAATGGAGCAGGTGGAAGAGAGTCTTTAGCAGCCTGCCGTGTTCCATGCCTGAGCTTTTCCAGGAATGCCTTCCCCTCAGAGAACGTCTCTTTTAAAACTAAGAACCAGCATCAGAGAGTGGGATGGGTTAACTAGCTCATTAAGGGCCCTGCTATGCTGGCTGGGGCTTAGGGGATTTATAGTCCAACTACATTCGAAGGGTTGCAGGTTATCCATTCAGGAGCCCAGTTTGGACTTTCTGAATAGAAAGCCTGCTAGCTACACCCCTGAGGTTCATGCCCCATCTGAACAGTGTGGTGTGACGGAGAGAAATGTTTCTAAAGGGGGATCTGGGTGCATGTGTATAGGCTCCATCCTCTGTGATGGGGAAGGGGCAGTGGGGAGGGGCCGGCAGGCGAGACTCCACTGTCTACCTACACACAATTACAGTCACCCAGAAGGGAACACCTTGATCGATCTGGCATTTTACTTCCTTTCTGTACGTTTTGTAGTAATACTGTGTGCTGCGTTACTGGAAAACTTAAAAGTCTGTGTCTGTAGTTAGGGCCCGTTATTCATATAGGCTTATTTAACCAAGTGATTGCATTGGGGCTGACTTCAGGGCCAAATATTTATTTATTTAATGGAGCCTTTCTAATCTGAACTCACGCATGCTTCGTAACAAGGAGGTAAAGGCAATTCCCTGAATGAACAAAACCATTGTATTGAAGGGAGGATTTGCAGGTGTCTTATAAACTGGAGTAGCTATAAATGGGTCATCACAGAACAGAACTGAAGTGGGCTAGACTGGTGTCCAGCCTGCCCCCCCCAGTCTACAAATGTGTTTTAGGTGAGACAAACCTAACCTTGATTATCCAGAAGTGGAAAGAGGGACTGCATCTGATATCCTTGCACAAAAAGCATTTCTGGGTATGATAGATGGTTATGAAGTGTTTTGAAAATATATTTTCAAAACACTGAGGGTAATAGTCAACTAAGGTTTATTCTGAGTAGACCTAACATAGTCATGTTCATGAATTTCAGTGGGTCTACTCTTGAGTAAACCTTTGTTGGAATGCCATCAGTTGACCTGCAAACCTGGTAGCAAACCTGTATAGAATTGCACTGCCAGCCTATGCTTAAGGCAGAGTTGTTTTCTTGAAATGTGAAATTGCAAAAAAAAAAGAAAGAAAGAAAGAAAAAAGACTGTTTCTCCTGTGCCATAAACCCATTTTTCCTGAAAGACAATTACATGTTTTAGGTGGTGAATGCCTATCATCTTAGAGTCCGTAGAAAGAATCCAGTGACGGGAAATTACGTGAAAATGAGTTTGCAGCTTTATCAGGTTGACAACCGCAGCTATCTGTTGGACTTTAAAAGCATTGATGGTAAGCAGGAAATGTTGTAGAATAAAACCACAAGCACGAAGGAAGTTTTTTTCTTGTTTTTTTAAACCCGCTTTCCCCATCTACTCTTTTTATTTTTATTTTACTTTATGATATCTCCTAGTGAGGACTGCTGTTCCAGCAGTACTACCTTAATCTTTTTGTCACCTCTAATCTTAACTGTGACAATTTAATTGCAGTTGGGTAGGTTAAGAGAGAATACTACTCCTAGCAGGATTCACAATAACCCTTAAATGGATAATTCTGTTGCAAACCTTTTCTGACCATAAACCATTTTGGAGTTCCAAATAATGAACTTTTGCAGTGAAATTCTTCCCCACCTCTGTAGAATTGTTACAATTGCTGCTACTAGTTGAGACACAATATTTTTTTTTTTTTACAGTGCAGTCCCTTACATACTCAGAAGTAAGCCCCATGGAGTCCTATAGGACTTTTACCCAGTTAAGAATTCATAAAATCATAGAATTGTAGAGTTGGAAGGTACCCTAAGGGTCATCTGGTCCAACCCCATGTAATGCAGAAATCCTGCCCACAGCCATCCCTGGGTGGGCTCAAACCACCAACCTTCCGGTTAGCAGCTGGATGCACTGACCCATTGCGCCACTGGGGGCACTGCAATCTTACAATACAGTAAATTTCACTTTCATTACAGCTAAGAATCACTTCAGTTATTCATTGTGTCCAAAATAATACTGTAGATGTTTATGCAATTTTCTTAGCTGTTTTACGTAAGGTTCTTCGTAATCAAAGCTACGCATTTCAACATGACAGTCAAAGCTTGTGTATATTCAGCTAATTACTATCAGTTCTCCCCCCCCCCCCCAAGAACTCAGAAGCGGGGCAGTCTCTTCCTTGGCACCAGCCCAGCTAAATATGGGATAGTCAATCTGTGGCTCTCTATATGTTTACTGTATTATATTTCTAAATTGCTTCCCACATACAGAGGCACCCCAAAGCGATTTACAGTAAACTACAAAGCGCCTTAAATATTCACTAAAACGATGCAAATATGAACTATTAAGTGTGCATTCCAAAGAAAAAGTCTGCAACTCCCACCTGCTCTTTGGCTATGATGGCTGGGCTAGTGGGGATTCAAATCTAACATCTGGAAGGCCACAGATTCCCCTTCCCCAAGTTAATGTGCAGTTTAGGCTCCAGTCATATACATACTTGGTTGGGAGCAAGGCGCATTTAACACAGTGGGACTTACTTCTGAGTGAATACACATGGAACGCAGCTGTCCAACAGCAGCGTCCTTTTAAAGCCAGCAGGATGGAAGCTTGAAGAGCAGTAAATTCCATTGAAATAGGCTACAACCTTAGGGACACAAGAGAGGCAGTTGAAACAAAGTGAAAGGATAGTCTTAGACTTGATCAAGAATATTTAAAAAGATGCAGCAAGAGAGAGAGTCAGCCGGCAGTGTACAGGGCACAAAAAGGAGATGCAATGGCTGCCTCGTCAAGAGTTTGCAGAGAAAGTGTGGTTTGAAGGAGATGGCAGAAATGGCTTGTTTTCTCCTGGTCCAGAGGCTCAGAACCAAACCAATGGATTCAAGTTACAAAAAACAAGATTCCAACTAAACGTCAGGAATAACTTTCTGACAGCAAGAGCTGTTAAGCAGACTCCCATGAGAGGTGGTGGACTCTCCTTGGAGATTTTAAAGCAGAGGTTGGATGGCCATCTGTCATGGTTGCTTTAGCTGAGATTCCTGCATTGCAGGGAGGTGGACTGAATGTCTCTCGGGGTCCCTTCCAACTCTACAATTTTATGATCCTAAACTTCTCATGCGATCTTTGTGGCACAGGAACTCCTACTTTGTGGCTCATTCCCGCTCCCCAAACTTAATATGAGAGAGCCGTGGCCCAAGGATGGGGGAGATGGGTGAGCAATGCTTGTATGGGTTTTGCTATAGTTTATTATATGTATCCTGAAATGTCTTCCGCGTATCAAGCTTATCTCAGTCTCTTCTTGCAAGCCAGACCTTCTGATGAGAGGCTGCCATAAAGCATAGGAGCAAAGTCAGTTGCCGGAGAAAGGAACAGTAGCCTCCTATCAGCCTGAGCAGATGTTTAAAACCTTTGTTTTCTGTTTGTGCCTTCAAGATGATGTCGTGGAGCAAAGGTCAGGCTCTTCTACACCTCAGCGCTCCTGCTCCGCAGCCCGCTTGCACAGACCGAGGCTGAGTCTCGATTCTGCCACCGCCGATAGCCAGTCGCTTCCTGGGTCTCTCATGGGCTCCTTGACCGGGAGCATGACCTCTGTGACACCTCGTCTCGGTAGCCACACCATGGATTTCTTTGAAATGTGTGCCAGTCTCATCATGGCGCTGGCTCGCTGACAGGTATCATTCAGAAGCTTGATTTCTTTGCAAAAGCTGCATGTCAAAGCATCATTTGGGCACGTGCAGCAAGGAACCTAATCCTTGAGGTAGAAATCCCAAATTTGGTACCCAGAATATATGATGTATATTAAGGGAAGTAGGCAAATGTGTTCGATTTTATGTAATCCTTATTGCAGAATTTGCTTCATTCTTTTTGCAAGGAATTTGGAATAGTTGTGTTAGAAGTTGCAGTAGAAGTGGAGGTAGAAGGCAGTGGAGGAGGGCTTTGGGCCCGTTGTCCAACAGCTGGTCACTGTCCAATCTCATCGCTTGCCACACTAAGCTTCAATTATGCAGGAAACAGCAACGTCTGCCAAAAATCTGAAAAATGTCTCCAGTCACAGAATCCACAGTGCCCCTGCCATTGTAAACATATCAGTGCAATAATGTTCCTGAATACTTGAGTATTTCTCCAAAGGATTCTGAAAAAAATGATTTCAGAAAATGTATACTTTATCCTTCTGGCGGGGTTGATTTTCACTTTACGCATGTGGGAGAAATTTTCACCTTTGCTGTTCTTTCACCTACTGTAACATGTAAAATCACCTTTTGTAGAAGGACCGTAGCTCGATGAGAAGTGCAATTTTTGAATGTTTTCAATCCCACATATCAAATATGTACAGGTTTTAGTCTCAGGCATCTCTGGTTAGGAAACAGTTGATGACAAGCCTCTGTGGCCAAGCTGCAGTGTAACATTCTCCCTCCCTTGCCCACTCCCCGCCTCGTGGAAGCGCTCTTTGAATGTTCAGAAGTCAACAGGAATCTTGTTCCCTGCTCATAGGTTCAGATGAATGAACAGCTGCAGCCTACAAGTGCATTCCTCCATTCTAAGCACACTTCTGTAAAGTAACGCACCACACCAGGAAAAACCCACAATTTCCTAAAACAGTGGAGAGCAGGATTTAAATTCTGCTGACCATTATAGTCAACAACAGTGGCCTGACTCTATTATATTATTGTCATATTGTGGCAAAATAAGAGAGAGAATCGGGTATTACCATTGAGGAACAATGCACAGGCAGTTCTCCATCCAGTATATCCTTTGATTTAGTCCTTTTCTGAATTCTGCACACTCTTAACATAGTTTTGATTACTGCTAGGGTGTTTCACACCCTTGTAGAGAGTTGTAGATCATGGGTGGCTAACCTGAGGCCTTCCAGATGTTGTTGGACTCCAGCCCTAATTGCTGTGACTGGGAATGAGGGGGACCGGTTGCCCCAAACAAACTAACAACCAAAAAAAGAGGACTACGGGTTAGCCACCCCTGCTGTACATCCTCAAAAGACAAATCTGTTAGAATGAAAGAGATGAGTGCAAGGCTGTAATTATACAGCAACAGTGCTAACAAGGTGCACAAAAGGACACACCATTTTGTGTGTGTACACACACACACACATACAATATATGCCTGCAGTGCATGTACCAGACCCACCTTGCCTCCTCTCTTGCTGCCCAGAAGTGACAGATGGGTGTGTGTGCATGTATCCTTTGCTCGCCCCTCTTCGGATACTGAATCTCCTAGCTGGTGATCACTAGAAGTCAGTAAGTCAACACTTGAATGCTGGAAAAAGCCTTTTGTGACATGGTTGCACAGGGCTACCATCTCATTTAGTAATCATCCCACAGCAACATTTTTTCACAGCTTTAATTAAAGTTTTGCATTTGGGAGTTTCTGTTCCCTCCAAAGGAATTCTTTCCGCTACAGCCTTTCATAACCATTTTGTGCTCACTGCTGTTCATTGTCCTGGGCTTGTTAAGCTCAGACCACCTACTATATCCCATAAGCAATACGCGCAGCCTGCTCTTAATCACATTATTAGTCTTCCATCAATCATTGCAGCCCCTGCCTTGTACCAGAAATATCAAAGCGCAAGGCCTGTATATTTAAATGAGGAGCAATCATTAACCCCATGGCAGCTGTAGAGCAGATAAAGATTGCTGTAACCATCTATGTAAAACTCATAATAGTGGGATGGGGGAGAAAAAATTATATCTTTCTTCAGGAGTGAGGTCCTTTGATAACACCCTTGTTCACCAGCATAAAGCAAGATAATTAGAGAGTGTATTCAGCAATACGGCAGGAAAGAGGGTAATGGATAAAATTAGGAGCATTAAGGTAAAGAATCAAATGAAGAATATCCTGGCTCGCAAGATGAATGGACCTCCGTTCAGGACTGAGCCTGGGGTTTTTTTTTCTGCTGTGGCTTCATTCCTCTTTTTTTACCATATCTGCTTGATCCTGATTCCAACACAGATCTTCATCAGCATAACCTCTTCAAGAAATGACTTCTTAATTGTAAACAGATAAGGGCATTGGCAGGATTATTGTAATAACCTGCAGTTTCATAAGAGTATATATTTAAAGTAGATGAGTAAAAGAATAAGTTAACTTAGAAAATGCAGGGAATGATAAAAATAAAATTAAAGAATCTCAGAAAGAGGAGGAAGGAAGTTGAGTTTTGAAATGTTTGAATAATTGTAAAACTATTGAAATGTATGTAACTGGCAATCATAAAAAAGGGCTTTAAAAATGTTTAATCCATGACCTTAAAAACCAAACCAAATAAGTTTTTAAAAATTCAGATATGGGAGTGCATTTCTTGTCACAAGGCCCAGCTGGTCGGCATTCCGCTACACAGCCAGCTATGGGAGCAAGAGCAGGGCAGATTGTGCTTGCCATAAAGGCTAGACAATCTGTGTCCCACTGATGAAGACCAGGCATTCAATGCTCAGGAAGAACCAGTTGCTCCCAGGCCCTATTGTCTTTTGAAACATATTAATATGTCCTAAGAGAGAAAACTAGGAATCCACAGTAGACTCAACCCCTCAAGGTGTGTACTTTGTCTGGGACTTGGGTCAGGCTTCTGTAATCCCCAAGATCTGAAAATTTACTAGGAGTCAAGAGTGTTTCCCAGTCTGCTCCTTTTCTCTCTACAGTTAGATCGTCAACATCTTTCAGTGCTTGAACCATGGTTATGTTGCCTTTTGCCCCCTTCTTTCTCAATTCACCTTGTTGCTTCCAACCAGCTCTTCACATCTGCTAAAAATAAGACATGCATCTCATTGTTTCCATACCTTGCCCTCCGTGACCTTTTCCTCTGTTCAGACTTCTGTTGAATTATAAACACATCAGCTTCTGCTTTCCTTCTTCCTAATGACTGAGCCAAAGCTAGTCCAACATAGAGCTGCAGTGGGACGAGCTTTGTGTCTTGAATGTTTTCTGACCGCGTGTAGTGTGCATTCTGCAGTAGGGCAGCAGGCAGATAATCAGTCTTGAATGTTGCAGTGCATCAGCCATGCTGACCCAACATTGGGTTGCCATCTCAGGATGTACTTTCTTCACAAATGGCGTACGGTTGGCCCTGAAGTAGCCCTTCACAGTGGTAAATATAATATAATGTGCTGTTTCATTAGGCAAAAAGAAAGAAAGGTATTTCATACTCCACAAATCACAGGTGCTCATGGTCATTGTATCACAACCGAATGAAGAATTATAATACAGAGGGAGGCTGCACCAGACAGACTTGTCATTACGTTGACCAAAATATATTTTGGCAGCCTCGTGTGGGGTTCCCTGCATGGTACAGGCCAGTGCCCTTGAGGTCTAAGGAGTTTGTTTGAGTTTTGCATTTCATTTTGAATGTTCTTCCTAGTGACAAAGACGCTGGCTATTCCCACCCCCCCACCCCCCAAAACAGGACAGCAGCCAAATTTACCTTTCTAATATAAGAGCGGATAGAATCCCTTCCTTGTGCTGTTTCATGAAAGCTGGAATGTAAAATTGACAATACTGTTCCAGACCTCAGGGCTTCAATGTACCTCCAAAGCTTAATTGACTGTGACCTCTACTGATACACTGATAAAGCAGGAATAACTTGTGTTTTATTGTTCCTTTTCTGCAGGATAGCTGAAGGAATCAGGTTTACTAAATTTGCAATAACACACCATTTTTAAAGGGTAAAAACCTTGCTTTTAGGATGACAAAGCTATAGCTTGTGTGGATGTTGCAGTAACATTTGGGAGGGGAGATTTTTATGTCACTTTTCTCTCAATAAGTATTAGCTGTGTTTGTTTAATTTTATAGTGGGCTTGATATCAATTTCCCGATAAACTAAAAGGAAGCAGAATAGGCTCCAAGTCAAGACAAGAGGGCCAAAAAACTACACTGGGGCCATAAACAGTTATTAAAAATAAATAAATAGTAATAATGGGAGAACAGTTGGCACAGCTTTAGTCAAAAGCCTCTGTAGGAAAACATTTGCCAAACAAGTCTTCTCCATCATTGTTACAGCATCGTTTTATCAAAACTGTTTTTCAGTTTCCCGTTTGTTCTGAACTACTGCAGGATATTCATTTTCCTAGGAGGCGCTATGGCTTATTTCACACAGTCATAGGAAAGGACTCGCCTTGACTGAAGGAGTAGCAGGCTGTACCGCTGGCCCCGCTCACCCAACATTGCACAGCTTTCCTGTCCCAGACACTGAACACAGGCATGTAAGTGGGGAAGCCTCTGTGTGAACATCTCTACATGTATAGGCTCCCCCAAGCACCCCACCCATGCTCAGTGTGGGGATGCCAGTGTGGGTAAGCTGTGCAGTATTAGGGGCTAATCTCACAGAACCCCTTCACATGACTAATACATGAAATACAGGCTATATTCTGTGCAATTCTGCTTCTTTGAATTAGCCCCCAGTTCTTCATCTTGAAATGCTCTGAAAGCAGAAGCTCACTCCATTATAGGGAGCCTATCAGTTTGGCTGAAGGAAATAGTTGGGAGAAGAAAGGTAGCATTAGGGAAGAGTTAGCAATATAACTATTTCCACTACCAGTTGAGTGGAATGTCATTGTCTTTTCCTGGGCTGTTAAAATATTTCCCATGCATAGTGTATAGGAACAGGTTTCCTTGGCCAACTCTTAACCCTTACTTATATGACAGGCATAAATTCTTAAATTGCTACTTTTAAATTTAGCACTTTTATTGCACTTTACCTCTTTTTAAGAAAGACACTACTAATATTGGGGGCGGAGGAAGAATCAGTGCTACTTTTTAAATAAATAATTTGATACTACCACAGGCTAGAGACGGAGAATAGTTTTATTAGTATTTCTGAGTGGTTATAAATTATTTGTAATGTCAGTCGCACCTGGGAGCATTGGCCGAGATCTGGCACCACAGGCATTGCTTCCCAATAGTAAAAAGCCACATCTTGTGTGGATACATCCTCATTGTCATACTTCCACTGTGGCAAGAATTAGAACTACAATTTAGAAGCATCTGAGTGTCAGGTGCTTCAAAACATCTGCCAAAGTGATCACTGACATTAAAGACTAATCGCTATTCTGCCCTTAAAAAGGCTGTGCTAACCTTTTGGGGTCCGTGAACACATTTGCCATGTGGGCAAATCATTGTGGGCACCATCCACACACCACACTACAAGAGAAGGCTTCTTTCAAGCCTAATTCCAGTAAGACAAGGGAATGTATGCAAATAGCCAACACACACGTGCAAATGTGTATTTGAGCAAGCAGAATAGATGCATTTATGCAAAGCTGAGCACTAAAGCACAATTTTCAGCTGCTGGTTTAATGACATGTTGCAGATAAGAAACCACTAGCTATTTTCTAGAAGGAACACTGGAATGAGTAAGGATTTAAAATAGCACAATATAATACAGCATAAATTCTGTAGTCTTTAAACTATGTTTCCAGTAAGGGTACTAACCTTGCACGAATTTTTCCCCCAGTGGTCCCTGCTGCATCTGTGGTAGAATCGCACCAATTTCTTCGCATCACCACACACTGAGTCATATGATGTAATTTACAGACGTAGCTTAGTAAGTCTAGGCAATTTGCCGTTTATTATCAGTGGTAGCATATTGTTTTCAGGAGGAAGATCAGCCTGAGCTAGAGTATACAAAACCGTGCCTTCTCATATCAGCTGCTAAAAATCACAAACGATTCATTTCCACTCATTTAGTGCGCTGCCTTCAGTACCCTGGGTGCAGATTTTTTAAATACTTGAAGTGTGCTTGCTGTGTTCTCACGTTGCCTCAGTGTTTGCATTTGCATGGGATAAAACTTCTTGTTGGAAACCTCCTGTAGAGCAGCAGCTGGGATGCCATTGTGGAAGATCCATATAGGTCAGTATTTGTGCCCATGTTTTTTATATGCAAAAGGCCCAGAGGTCAATCCCCAGCATAGGGTTTGGAAAGATGACTGACTGAAGCCCTGCGGAGCTGCTGTCACTCAGTGTAGTTAATACACAGTTATTTGAGCCGGTATTTTCTGACTCGGTATAAGGCAGCTTCCTAGGTCTTGGGGCTGAATGCTGTGGCACCTACCCTAACATTTTTTTTTTAATCCAGCTATTTTTTTTAAAAAAATTGTCACTCCTTTCTTTTCTCCACTCCAGCCCCAGGTTATCCATGACTTATTTGGGCTTCAAGTTGATCCCATCCAGTGTTTAACATGTTTGCTATTAAGATTTGGCATGCTTTTATAGGAAGCTAAAGTGTGTCCCAATCCACTATGTACAATGTACAGGAGGAGATTCTGAAGGATGCCCCATTCACTTCAAAGCAAGTACAGTAGCAGGTCCACAGGCACAGCTCTTTGTACATGTAAAGCTGCCCTTCCATTGAAGTGAGCAAGAAAACGTTTGTGGGCAGGAGAACTTCCTCTATGCACACTAGATCAGGTACCAGGCTATGGCTTACACTACAAGCAAGTCAGCATACAAGCAAAAAGTAACAGTCAATGCTCTTATGCCTTTCTTTGATGTTTCTCCAAAGCAGCTCCTATGCCAGAAAAGGCAAGCCATTACTCAGTTCAAAACGTTGTCTTGTCTCTTCAGGAGTGACAGTTGCTTTCAGGAAGAATTAATGTCCCAAATGTAATTTCTCTTACTTGCACGCAAGTGACTTTGACTCAAGAACGTCATAAGCTATGCGGCAAATTGCAATGTGTTGATTTTTCTGGTTGTGGAAATTCTAAGTTACTGTAAAATTAAGCATTTAAACCCTTAGTAAATGCAGTCTTCTATGCATTGAACAGCAATATTTCTTTACACACATTTACTAGACAAGAAACCTGGTCACAATATTAAATCTTCTAATTCTCGATTACCCTTGCGTTCAGATAAAGTATATTCTCCCCTCAAAAAGCCTTGAATCTCCTGCTGAAAATGCCTTAACTGATCAAACTTATTTATGTAATTTATTTATTTGGTGTCTCCGTGTTCATTCATGCATTTTTCTCCCTAAGTGGTGAATGTATCCTAACCTCACAAAGCTCTGAAATGAATACCAATGATGTGTGTTTATTCTTACTTTGGAAGTGAACCCAGTTTTTCTGTGTTAAGAAACCTTTGTATGTATATTTTGTAAATCCAGCAGCATTTTCTTCTTCGGTGTGCACAACAAAACTGCAAGCCACCTGACCACTGTGCCCTTGAACTACTTGTAACTGGGGTAATAGCAGGGAAGCCTGTGTCGTGCAGCTTCTCTTATGGAGCAATGCCATGAACTCTGGATACTCAACCTTCATTAATGGACAAAAGCAGAGATAGGCAAGCTCTCTCAAACATACCTGTGGATTAACTTTGATCTCCCAATTGTTGCCCCAAATTATTATATTTAGAGCTAGTCTGAGGGCTCAAAAGAATGCTCCCAGTCCAGCCAGTTTTCAGAGTTCCCAGATGCCCTACCTGCTAACCCACTTTCCTGAAACTAACTTCCCCTTTCCTTTTGGTCCTTGAGAGAAATAATATATTTCATGGTTCCCTAGAGCTTCCAGGATGCTGTTTATCAGTACAGGAGGAATAGAGAGAAAGAGGAAAAGGAGGAAGGGCCCTTGCATGCTACCACTTCTGCCTGAAAAGTAGAGAGGATTCAGTTTTGGAGAGGAGCTAGGGGAAAGGTCTTTTGGGGACTGGAAGAGCTGGCAAGGGTGGGTGAGAAGCCTAAGAATCTTATGGCTCAAATTTTAATTCGGTCTCGCTTCTCAGACATTCATGTCTAAATCCAATCTGAGCTGGAATCCCTGTTCTGATAGGAAAGCAAGTCTGGATTATCTTAAAACCGATCAGTGTTTTGCATATATGACAGTGTTGCAGGGAAGGCAGTACTCCCTGCCCATTTAGTTTTGTAACTTAAGCAGAAAATGAAGGTTGGGTGGCTGCAGTTTCACTGACCTATTTTGGTGTTGATTTCCCCCCTCCCCTTTTATTGTACCACACTGTTTGTGATTATTACTCCATGGTTGACATTTGCACTTTAATAAAGAGATGAGAATCTTACAAAATGCTACATGCTTGAGCTGTTCTTGTGATAAAATCAAAGGACTTAAGATACCTTCTGTCTGCTTATAGCAAAGTGAGGTATGTCTTGAATTACCAGGGAGCAGTGTGTGGAAGAAAATGCTTAGCAAGTTATCAGAAAACGCGAGCTTCCAGAGAATTGCCATTAAAAGTGAAAAATAATCACGGGGTGGCACAAAGGCAGGCACAATATTAAGGAAAGCCCATTCATATTGCCCACTAGAAATAAGGGCAGAAAGCTAATCTAGAATTTGTTCCCACATACTATTTAATGGTATTTTCCCCAACATTAACTTCAGGCACCCACGTACAGGTACTGGGCCTGAAATAGGTTTTCTGCTAAATAAAAAAAGAGAGTCCCAGATTCTAGCACGGTGTAGGGAAATTCAGCTAATTGACATGACTATCAAGGAAATATCTCAATATTTGCCATCAAAATAATCCATTTTTCATTCCTACAATCCAGCTCTGGTGGTTGTATATCAAAGAGATTGACAAGCCAAGTCAAAGTAATTAACGTTAAGTTTATCTAATGTGGAAACTGTTGATTTACACAAATCCACATTTCTTCTGAGTTTTCTCCTGAGATTATGGAAGTTCAATATTTTGTGCTGACAAACCTGTGTTTTGTAGCTTAAGCCACTTTGAAAGCAAGCGTGCATGTCAGCAAACTTAATTCTGTCCACATGTTAGAAAATCAAAACTCCAGGGTATCAAATTCTAAAGAAGTTCTTGCTTGAGACTGGGATTTGGCTTTTATTCAGATTTCCCCCCACATGCTGTATTATCTGGTCATTGTAACAAGCAGTGGCGTAGCGTGGGGGGTGCAGGGGGGGCCGGCCGCACCGGGCGCAACATCTGGGGGGGGGCGCGCTCGCACTCGCAGCTCTCTGCCCCTACCTGGCTCACTCTCTCACTGCAGTGCTGGCTGTGCGAATCCGATCCGAGCCCCGGGGTCGCCGCCCACGGTGGAGGGGGTGGTGCCATTCGTGCGGTTCGGTGATAGAGCGTGGGACTATCTGGGTGAGGGACAGTGCAGCGGCCGCCCAGCGCAGCGCTGAGCACGGGAGAGAACCACACCAGACCAGACCAGGCAGCAGCAAGAAGAAGCTGGCAGCGGCGGCAGGTTAGGGGTTAGGGGGCGCAAATTACTTGCCTTGCCCCGGGTTAGGGGGCGCAAATTACTTGCCTTGCCCCGGGTGCTGACAACCCACGCTACGCCGCTGGTAACAAGTGCCATTTCTACAATTGGCTTTCCATAACGAATCCTGTTTTCTAACAAAGCCAATTAATTGTTATAACATCTTGAAACAAACAGAAATTCTAATTTGATTGTGCAAACTTGAAACAACGTAGTTTTCAAGGCCTCTGTGCACACGGTGCCTATTTTTACCAATCTGCATTAGTTTTACTTTCTTTGGCGAGTCTTCTACAATAAGTTCAGATATTCATTGCACATACTCCCATTCAACCCTTCTTTGCACAGTTTACCATGGGATGCCTGGCTGTGAAGATACAGTGGTACCTCGGGTTACAGACGCTTCAGGTTACATACGCTTCAGGTTACAGACTCTGCTAACCCAGAAATAGTGCTTCAGGTTAAGAACTTTGCTTCAGGATAAGAACAGAAATCGTGCTCTGGCGGTGCGGCGGCAGCAGGAGGCCCCATTAGCTAAAGTAGTGCTTCAGGTTAAGAACAGTTTCAGGTTAAGAACAGACCTCCAGAACGAATTAAGTACTTAACCCGAGGTACCACTGTAATGTAAATCTAGAAGGAAACCACCCCATTTACCACAAAACCAGAAGAACAGGCCAACATGCATTTGTGTCAAGGCCTCTCATCTTTGAACTAGGTCCCCCCCCCCCATGGCCATTTGTTCTTAACTCAAAGCTACTTCCCTTGTTTTATTTAAGCTACTTACAGATTAAGTTAAATAAAAACAGGAAGCCAAGTTTTAAGCAGAATTGCCTTCAAAAACAATCTATTAAATGTCATTTCATACTTCATTTTATTTACATCTACAAGGAATGTTTCAAGTATGCCAACAGCACATCTAATATGTACAGGGATTGATGCAGGCTTAATATAGGAGCATACAGTACAAATGCCAAGGCTTACATTTTCATCATTGACAACACACACAGACCAGCTGTTTCACACACAAAATGGTAAGTATGCTGGCCATGATCCAAGGAACCAAGGTGATTTCTGCACATGCACAGGAACTTTACATGTTCTCCATCTGTCATAACTGAAAATCCTCTTGTTCAGGAGGGGATGGGAGCTGGAAACAAAATCTGACGAAAGCCTCCTATACATATGCAGGTTCATTAAGCATGTGCTCTAGGGTCTTGGGATCCCTGCAGTTAGCTAGAATCTAAATTATCAAGTCACACAAATGGCACAGCATGAACTTGAAAAACAATTTTGAACTTGCAATATTGGAAAGCAACCATGCTCAACTCCTTGTCTATCATTCAAGCAAGTGGCAGCTGTTAACTGTGAGCTACTGAAGAATTCAAGCTTAGCATTCAGTTTGCCATCGACAACTCAATTCTATTTCTTCCCACGCAAAGAAGTTTCTTACTGGTGCTTATTTTCGGTGGATGCCATCGATACATCATCACGTCATAGGCAACAGTTGCGCTGCAGATGTACAGTACTAATGTCTGCTACAAAAGAAAAGGCACAACTTTACCCCAGATTTGCACATGGGTATTTATTTATTGGTGATAAATACATTGGGAAACAAAAGAAGCAACTCCCTTAGTGTTTGACTGGTGTTTGACTTAGAACGCAGCTACTTTAAAATATGATCATGGGGCATCCAGAAAGTATAAAACAATGCAGCTATGTAAGAACACGAATCATTCCCAAAATAAAATTATTAAGGAGCCTCTTACTTTAATTGTCTCAAAGAACAAACAAAACTACCAGACCCTGCCACACTAAACCTCAAGCAAAAATGCTTATGAAATTGTTCTCTTAACATCGGGATAAAAAATACACAAAACCTACCTGAAATTCAAGTGTTCTAGTAGCACAAATCCATCTAGGAAAGAATAAAATAAATTATATTCATAAATCTTTCTTAATATTTTAGGCATATGCAAAATCCTCCAAACATACCGTATTTTTCCATCTATAAGACGCCCCCTATTTTGGGGGAACTCAGATTTAAGAAAATGAGGGAAGATGTATCTGTGTATAAGATGCCCCCTAACTTTTGACATTTTTAAGGAAAAAAACGTAGTCATACACAGAAAAATACGGTAAATGCCTTAAAACTGGTGAATAGTTAAAGATATGCCAAGAATAAGTTTTCCTAATTCAAACTGCCAGAGTCAAATACTGATCCAAGTAAATAATCCATAGCCCATCATTGGTAGCAGAGTTTTGGTTTCTGGAGAAAAAGGAGTCAGGTTCTCAGCTGTAGAAAGGTCTGGGGAGCCCAGAATTTAATTTGAGCTACTTACACATTCAGATTGCTTCCTTGCAATACCCAATACCCAGTTTGTGATAATTGAGTCTACCAACTCTCCTCTTACCCACCCAAACTGTTTTGTTTATGCTCTGCTTAAAACATGGCTGTTCCATTCAACACCACTCGGAAAACTTACATTTGCCTTCAGAATTCCGACATATCAATTGGTTCCCTTCCGTAATATCAATGACTTCAAGTTGCTCGCCTGCCGTGATCCTCAAGTCAAGTTTTCCTTTGGTCAAAGTATTTGAGCAGTGTGCAACTGCGGTATTGATTACCCCAATCTCCTTATCATACTGAGAGAAGGGAATAAGAAAATAAATAAAGATGCAATCCAAAGTACACTTAATGGAAAAAGACCCATTGAAAATAATGGGGTTACTTTCAATTAAGCATAGGTAGCTAAAAGGGCTTGGGCATCCTGAATGGTCCTTTGAACAAAAGATATACACAAACTTACATGACAAGCTGCTTTGCAAAGTCTCATGTTTCAGAAGTAGGCTGCCACACAGCATCGGGATGACTGAGCATATGGATGAAGGTTTGAGAAATGCAAGGCCAAACCTTCATTGGGCGCGCAGAAGAACAAGTTGTATTATTATTTGGATTTCAGGCTATATCATGAGTTTGAACATTTCTAATCACTATTAAGGAGGATCTGCAGCTTTCTGAATAGACCATGAAATATATGAATGATGCCTACGGTTGGTTTGGTTTGGTTTGTTTCAAAATAATCCTAGTATCCAACCCACCAGGTATTAAAAGGTAAAGGTAAAGGACCCCTGATGGTTAAGACCAGTCGCGAACGACACGGGTTGCTGCGCTCATCTTGCTTTACTGGCCGAGGGAGCCGGCGTTTGTCCGCAGACAGTTTTTACGGGTCATGTGGCCAGCATGACTAAGCCGCTTCTGGCGAAACCAGAGCAGTGCACGGAAACGCCGTTTGCCAGGTATTAGGGCTCCCAAAATATAGCAGCAGCAAGGTTGATTCCCCCAAAGTCTCAGAAGCAGATTTAAAATGAAAATGAACACTAGATTTTTTTAAAAATTAGACTGTTTCAGTTCAACTCCATTAAATAATAAACTATGGAAAACATTGGGAGGGGACAGCTAGAAACGTGTAACAAGTGCTGTCTCCAGCATCGTAAATCCTAACCATCACCACCTAAAACACTATAAAGATCATACAAACAGTTCCTGGGGGTGTTCAGCTGCTGGAAAGTGTCAAGCATCAAAACTGGGATAACCTCTTAGGAGGTTTATGTCCTGGCTTACCAGAGACATCATATAAGTAGCTGGAAATACTCCTGACTGGGCTCAAGCAGCTGATTTGAAAAATCAGCATCAGATCTAGAAAACATTTCCTTGTATTGGAGCCCTATATTAGTATGTTTCTAGCAAACGTGTGCCATAATGATTGCTGCATTCTGCAGCCTACAATTCTTCAGGTACTTCTATACTTTGCAGCTCGCAGGTTTCTATCTGAACCAACGCCCAGAATCCTTGGCAAACTGCTGAAAAATTACCTATACAACTAATGACAAAATAATTTAAACAGAACAGTTTTCTGGAACGTTGCAGCTCACAGTTCTGTACATGACAGGAGGTGATAGATTGCGCAATAGACTTTCATGCATACACATGCATACACATGCAAGAGTTGACTCTGCATTGCAGGTAACCATGCCAACATATTCCAAGCTTTTTGTAAAAACAAAATAAGGAAACCTACCATGAACTTCTCTCTAAACTGCTTTTCTTCTTTTGTCATCTTGCTATTCTTCTCTAAAGCATGTTTCTTGACTTTGAAGAAATTTCTTGAGGAAGGCCTATGAAGAAAGAATATACATATGATAAACCAGCAACTCAATGTAAGCAATTCAGAACAAAAGTGGGGTGGTATTGGAGTAAGATGGAGACATATAAGAGCACTTTTCACAAGTGAGAAGAAAGCATCCATGTTGAGTATACTTATCTGGAAGCAAGTCCCACTGAACTCAATAGAACTTACTTCTGCATAGACATGCAAAGGAAAATGTCACAAATCTCACTGAACATACTTCAAAATAACATGCATAGGAGTCTGTTGTAAGAATGCCATTTAATCTAGAAGATATCATTTGTAAAAGTTATTAAGGGAGAAAATTTATTAAGCCAAATGTATTTTCTAGTCAACATAGACTTTATATCCAATTTCAATTACTTCTACCCTGCATCTCTAAACGTTAGCTTTACAATACAGGAATTGTGTCTACGTACACACGGAAACTTTTTAAATACCAAAAGGACAGAAGAACAAAAGGACACTAGCAAATATGAGAGAAATAAAAAATTACAGCTTAGTTTGGAGGCAATGAGAAACCATGATTTGTTGCTACAGAGGTGAGCCTTGGAGAGCCTCGGGCTGGGTTCCCTCTCTTCTGTAAAACATGATTTTAAACCAATCATGGTTCCCTTGATGTCTAAACACAGGAACCTCTGGTTTGCTTAAACTACAATTAGTGAGAGAACAAGGTACGGTCAAAGCATGGTTTCAGAACCCGATTTATTTCCACTAATTATAGTTTGTGGAGAGGGGGATCAACTACAGTTGTTTCAAGGCTTTCCATTACTAATATTTAGTGAGGAGCCAAGAGAGTGGATTTGTTTTAGGATAGATTCCCATAGTTTCCTGAAGCAAATAGGAAATAATGACAAATACATATTTTCATTGCATTTTGGGGCCATCAACATTTCTCCACCAACCCTTCTCTTTTGACTTGAGGAACTTTAACTTCCCATTTTATGAATCTCATTTTTCTCTCCAGAGAAAAAGGGAAACACCAGGTTTCCTAATGGCACACATGCTGCAAAAAATGCTGATGCTCCAAAGAGAGACAATGAGTATCAGCGAGATCAGCCACAATACCCCACACAAACAGGCCTCATTTCATGCACCACTGAATCACAAAAACATTTTCCAATAGGAATCATGTAGTTACAGCAGTACACAGTCTTGCAGTTCAATAGGTTGCAAGTGGAGAACCAAGCAGTTTTATTCAGCTGTAGAGCTGAAAGGGATTTTTTTATATATAAAAAATGTAAACATAGAACAGATGTCAAAAATTAAAATTTCCTTCGAATGCCGCATGAATTTCATCTCCATGGCTTTCTACCCCACGAAGAGACAGTTATACATTTAGTAGTCAATTATTCTCATGCTGCTGAAAAACTAATTCGTTTTTATCATGTTCATTTGCACCATCTCTATCTCCCACACACATTCTCACACTGCACACATACATACATTCATATAGACATGCAGTGCACACACCCATTCATTCTCAGTAACATTCACACACACACACACACACACACACACACACACACACTCTTTCTATAACCTCCCCACCTTATCCAACTGCAATTAAACTTGAAAACTTGAAGCTTATTTGCAATCCAATTGAGGCAGGGGATGGTTTTGTTTTGGGGAGGTCACTGTGCATGATGACAGGAGGGTTAACCCTTCCTTCCCAAGCTGCAAGTCTTCCCCTCCGAAATGCCCCTGGCTCTGCATTCAATAGGAGGCTTTTTCAAGCTTACATGTGGTGTGGGAGGTTGTGGGGGGCGGGCTGCAGAGCTCCACATGGGGAGGCCTCCTAGGCAGGATGTGACTACAGGTGCCAGCAGCCAGCACACACACACACACACACACACACACACACACACCACCATGGATTCAAGACTCCAGCTTGTCATCACATCTGTTAACCTAGAGCCATTGCCACAATTCACAAACTGGGGGGGGGGTGATCCTGGATCCACACGAAAAGCAGTCTATGGTGTACATTTATGCTGCAAACCTGTTTTGTTTTTGTCCTGCTATCGTGGCCCCTCCAAAGATTGCTGGAAATGTGTTGCTTGGGGAGAATGCCAATAATTTTCAGAAATCGCTGGCTCCCTTTGCACAAAGGGAATGCTCTTAAGATCTATTGAGACTGTAGCATAAATAAAACCAAATGCAAATCCTTCATATTCCGAGGCAGATGGTGTGGCTCAAAATGGAGTACTAGAAGTATTCTTGCTCAAATAAATTCACCGTGGACTATGTATTAAGCAAGCATACCAGGAGGTCCATCTTCAGAGCAGCAGAATCATTTACATAACACTACTGTGGCAATAGAATTTTGGTTATGAGAGCAAAATGTCATTTATCACAGTTTTTACCTACTTTGTATCATTTTGTTCTGCGTCGATGTTGTCATACACCATGCTTTCTGGGGCCATAACATCTGTTGTCAAAAGCACATGTGGATGTTATTATCTGTCATTTACAATGTACCTAAACTTTCCTAAGTGCTGTACAGAGATTTTTAAACAGGCCACATCCCCTGCCTACAGGGTTTATAATCTCATAGACATGACACAAAAGGAAACAAAGTGATCTGGAGCAGGGCCATAGGTAGGGGGTGGTGATGTGGGCCCCGCCAGGGGGACAGACGAGGGGGGGTGCCAAATCGGCTAAAATAGACCATAAATATGTCTATAAATAAAAATATTGATTATTGCCTCATAAGAAAAGGTTTTTAAAACTGGGTGAAATGTATGGGTGGAGGAAGGGGTTTGAGGAGAAGGGAAAGAAGAACTAATTTCTCCATGGATGGGGGTGCAATCTGGATGGTTCTGCCAGGGGCGCAAGATCACCTAGCTACGGCTCTGATCTGGAGCAGGGTATGGGAGAAAAGGGAAACACAGACAGATGAGCAACTGTCCATTAAAGTTTCAGCATTGCAACAGTTAACTCAGTTACAAACAATACCATAATCTAGGGGCACTGCTGGACTCTAGCTCCTGTTTCTCTTCTACAAGCCATTTAATGCACAAATCGGAATTAAACCAGCCTCAACATCTAAATCAACTCACAAAGCGTCTAATTGTTCAAAAATCCAGAAAGTGGATAACCTGCTCTTCAAATCAGGGAAATTGCCACCTCTCAAATCCTAGGCAACTTGCTTGTGGCATGAGGGTCATTTGCCTTCCCAGCACCTGTATAATAAGCCTTAAAATTGCTAAGCAAGCAGTAACCTTTGAAAATAACATTCTGGTTTGTATGAAATATAGCTCTGTGGGTTTTCAGTGCACACAAAGGCAGATTCATCCTGCGAGATCAGTGGCAGTAGGTGCATGAAAATATGTCTGGGCTGCATTTAGTTGTAAACAATTGTTATGATGTAAATTATAGGCTGTGTATAAAAACCAGTAATTACATCTCGTGACCTGTCTACTTCTCCATCCTCAGTGTCAGAGACACCTCACCTCCACAACCCCAATGTGTTCAAAAGGGAGGCAGTTTCCAGTATGGGACACATCAGCTTACCCAGATTTGGTGCAGAACTGGAAAGAATGCTGAGGAGAAAAACAAAACAAAATCTAAGTTGTGCGTTTCAACATGGTTCATAAATTTCAGTACTGGTTGTATGCAGTTAAAGACTTTGAAGAAGACTTTTGCATGCACACATCCGCTTTCTCATCACACTTACATTTTGGATGAACATTAGAACAAATTGTTAGACATCTGCTACCTAACCATATCCAGTACTGTTTACAGTATTATGCTAACGTGGCTAAGTAACACCAAGAATAAATCAATGCTGCAGGGAGGAATAGAATATATGAAAAGACAAGGAGAAAAGTGGCCTCAAGAGTTCATGAGCTATTTGACTTCTACACATAGGACTCTGTTTCTTATCAGTCCCAACCAGTGTTAATCAGGGATTATGGGAGTTGGAGTCCAACCCAGAGGGCTGCAGTCTCTCCATCTGTGCCATACACTCCTTTTGAACCCAACTCTTGGCGTTTAAAAAAATCCTTTGTTGTTGTTTAGTCGTTTAGTCGTGTCCGACTCTTCATGACCCCATGGACCAGGGCACGCCAGGCACTCCTGCTTTCCACTGCCTCCTGCAGTTTGGTCGAACTCATGCTGGTAGCTTCAAGAACACTGTCCAACCATCTCGTCCTCTGCCGTCCCCTTCTCCTTGTGCCCTCAATCTTCAGGATCTTCAGGAGCCTCAGCTTCAGGATATGTCCTTCCAGTGAGCACTGAGGGCTGATTTCCTTCAGAATGGATAGGTTTGATCTTCTTGAAGTCCATGGGACTCTCAAGAGTCTCCTCCAGCATCATAATTCAAAAGCATCGATTCTTTGGCGATCAGCCTTCTTTATGGTCCAGCTCTCACTTCCATACATCACTACTGGGATCCTTACGTATCCATATATCCATCACGGCAAACACCATTTTGTAACTAACAGCAGGTACACAATTATAAGAGAGTTACATTTGTAAAGTCCTGGGGGTGCTTTGTCCAATAGAGCTCCTACTGACTTGAGCAGCAACAAGATCATAGGACCAGTGGAAGAAGAATGGGCAAAGAGGAGAGCCTAACATGACTACACTATTCTAAGGTGAGCCAGCTATGCAGAGAGGCTGATGCAGAAGGAAGTCAGCTGAAATGTATGCAAGCACTAGTGAGCAGCTGAGCATGAAGCAACTGTTCAAGGTGTTAGAATTCCTTTGGCAGGTTGCACAACAGATCCTGGAATTACAAGTTACATAATCATTTTCTTGAGACTCCTGGCAAGGGTGGGGAGAGGGAAGGTCTGTAGCTAGAGCATTTGCCCTATGTGCAGAAGGTCCCTGGTTCAGTCCCCCAGCATGTTGCGGTGGGGCTGGAACAGATTCTGGTCTGAAGCCTTGGAGAGCTACTGCCAATCAGTATAGACTAGTGTTTCCCAAACATGGGTTTCCAACTGTTTTTGGACTACAACTCCCATCATCCCTGACCACTGGTCCTGATGGCTAGGGCTGATGGGAGTTGTAGTCCAAAACCAGCTGGAGGCCCAAGTTTGGGAAACACTTCTATAGGCAATACTGAACTAGATAGAGTAATGGTCTGTCTCAGCCAGCTTCCTATATTCCCCAGTGTTTTGATCCCAAAGAAATACAAAAATAGATAAAATGTAATTATCTGTTGAGTATTGGCAAGCATTTGACATTATCAGCTGCCCTTTCCTCTCTCCAAATGCCAGAATTGGGGGCTGACACCATTTCAGTCAGACACAGTCCTGGGTTCCAGGCAGCTTTATAGTCACATGCACATGAAGCCGGCTAGTAAATGAAGGAAAATTACTTTGTTTTCAGGATAAAGGGCAGCTGTTGATTTAAATTAAGACTACATACCGCGAATTCTCTTTTAAGTGTGAATTCTTCATTTTGAATTTTCCTTTCTTGAAAAATTTCCCAAGTCCCTTTAACTTTTCTTTGACATCACTAGGTAAAGAGAAGGTTAAAAAAATCAGATTAAACCCAGAACTGGGAAGTTATGCACATTCATCCTTTATCACCATTTATGAATGTGAAGTTGATTAGCAATAAGGTTAAGACTAGCAAAAGGCAATTATTCTGAACACGGCATATTCGTAATTAATGTCTGGAATTCAATACCACAATATATAGTCATTTCTACTAACAAGAGGTATTTGAAAGGGATTAGACAAATTCATGGTATAGAGGTCTAAATGGAACATGGGTGTTCTGAGGGACTACTAGATACTATTTATTTATTTAAATGAGTATCTTTCCTTTTCACCAATGGTGTTCAAAAGTGAAAATTCATAGGTTTTTGCCTTCATAGTGTGTGAAAACCTACTTAAGCTGCCAGTTCTGAGGTAAAAGACAGGGGGAAAAGCACTCACTCTGACTTGGTTGAACTATAGCCTTCACTTCGAACATCCTCATAGGTTTCTTCACAGGCATACTCTGAAACTTGATATACATTTAGATCTCTTTAAAAACACAATTCCCAGCAGTGAATTATTATCTGAACAGAAAGTCAAATGCTCGGAGATGTTAAGGGACGTAGCAACGAAGTTTAATGTACAACAGACCTTTTATTATACCTTATTAACATAGCACAAGTATTTCTTTGAAGCCTTAAGCAGAAACCCCCTCTGCAATCCAAACTCGGTGGCCAGCCACTGCTGCATCCACATTGCTACTACAGTACGATAGACAGCAAGAATTTTCTGTGTGTCCAACTGATACGCGATCGCCGACTTGCAGGTCCTTTGGGGCCTGGGAGAGGGCAGAACGGAGGTGCGGAGAGCAGAATAGGGGGGCTTATGTGCAGGGACACCTGTGCAAAATGGTTGCTTCCTGTACGGTGCTCAAGTTGGCCAGGGCAAATGGAGGGCAAGAAAAATGCCTCTTCCCTGCACGAGCTCCCCAACTGGTAAAGCAAAGACACCTGGGCCAGACCTGTTGCTCCATCCTCTCCCCTGAAATGCCTTGTTTGGGCATGGGGGTGGGGAGTCCACTATCTACCACCTGTGATAGCTTCTGCCTGCCTACTGCTTGGGTATGGAGAAGTGGGGCACTCCTCAGAAGCAGTGACAGAGCAGGGCTGGATGGAAGGATACCTCTGCCTCATCCAAACCCCTTCCAGCATGGCAGATTGGTGTCTGTGTGTGTATGGATTGCCTGTAAATTGTTGTGAAGGAGAAGGAAGGGTCAAGTGAATTTCAAATTCAGCACATCTTACAAGGGGAATAACCCACAGGAGTACTTCCACATAAAAGAAAGGCACTATTGGAAGGTCAATAAGCATTGAATTATTCAACCTATAAACCTCTACATGAGGACATGTTAAATGAGCTATACCTATATGGTGCTTTAACTAGTGTCTTTAAAATACCAACTTATTTTAATAAGCTTTGCTAATACTATACAGCCCATATACTCCCAGAGCAAAAAAAGAGAAGTCTATAAAATAACTGAACCAGAAGACCAGATTAGAAACTAGCACTTTCCCCTCAACTAAACCTCAACATAAAGACACATTTTAAAAACAGGGATAACTATGACTTCCACCATCACACACAGAATGGCTGCTGTTAAGTATTATTGTGGGCTAATCAGTCTCTCATAAAAGGGCCCTGACAGTACGATTATAACCCCTGAACATTTTAAATGCAGTTGCTTCAAATATAGTTAAGCAGGCAAATTGAATCTGCTCACTCACAAGGGGTTTGACTCATGCATAGTTGGAGACAGTTAGCCACTAACTTTAAGCCCCATTGATTTCAGTGGGCCTGTTCAAAGTATGATAATAACTGACCCAAAGTCACTCAGTAATCTTTTGTGATGGATCCATACGATCACTTGGCCTAACTTGGGAAAACAAGAGTAGGAGGTATGCTGCCTTGAGCTCTTTTAGTAAGAAAACTATAGTAATACAAAAAAGCTATATAATAAAGGTCCCGTCAAAATAAGGGTGAACAAGAACCTCTCAAATCACTGAACAGGTGCATAAGCAGATTAAGAAAACATTGGGGACAGCCCCAAAGGGATCTGGCAGAATGTAGCATGCATCCTATTAGCGGGGACTAGACATGCCTCAGACTCGGAAGGCACATTAGAACAACTCCATACAGCATGGATGCAGAACTTGTGTCTTCCTAGATGTTGTTGGACTAAACTCCCATGAGCCATAGCCAGCATAGCTGGGAGTTGTAGTCCCAGCAACATCTGGAGGGCTATAAGGCCCTCGTCCCTGCCATGCAACCTCAACAGATTTAATGGATGGAGAAGAAAGCGTTATTTCTGATTCCTAGAGGGTTATACCCTGTACAATAAGAAAAAAGACTGAACACCAATTCCTATTTTGTACATTACTCATCAACTAGAGGTTATCAGGAGACCACAAATTTGGATTGGCAAAGGTGTTCTGAACTAGGATTATAATGCTTTTTAAAAAGCATTCTATGCACGCTATTTCCACTTCTCTATTATAACCCTTGTTATACTTGTTTTATAATTTAATTTTTATTTTTTTTAAGAAAAAGGATGGTGTTACTTTCACACTTACAGGTCTCTGAAGTCAGTGAGCTGTGGGCATCAGAAGTTTGACTGCAACAGAAACAATTTTAAAAAGAGTTGTGATGAATATGTGCTTCAGATTTCGAAAGACATTTCCAAAACTTACATCTACACCTGGACACTCTGTTAGTACTCACAATTCTCTCTGTATTCCTTCCACGTCATCATACACTTCCTCATGAACTTGCACCACTTTGGGAGTCCTTGGAGCCAGACCTGAATTCTCTTCATCTGTTTTCAAAGCTTCCAGGCACACATAATCATCTGAAACTAGAGCAATATTCCTGCTTACAAGCTTTCCCGAGCCTATACAAAATTGATGCATTACCTAAACTTCTTAATGCTGAAATCGCAAAGCAGAATCCTGCGTTTCTCAGGTAGGACTACCATGAGTGTATCAGCCTCTCCACGCATGCCTCAAAAATCTACAGCCAACCAACATTCTCAGTCCTTACTGCCTGCTATGCTTCCAGCCTTCTTAGGACTCAATAGTGCTTGAGAAGCTACAGCATACTGATGTTCAACAACATCCAGTTTTGTATCTCATTTCTCTCCTAAGGTTTGACCATAATGTTACAGTAGCTAATCAAAAGGGTGACTTTGGGTGGGATCTGAGGTAGCAACAACAACAAAAGCACAACCTTGAGGATGGATGTGTAGATCAGTGGTTCCCAACCTGGGAGACACTGGCCACTGGGAAGGGATGTGGAGTTACCCAAGGGGTCCATCCACAAAGAATGTTCCTCTAAACGGCTCGATCATTTCCTCTGCTTTCCTCTTCTGCTTCACAGTGGCATCTCTAGGAGCGCTGGGTTATCGCTGAGGTATTTATGACCATTGGCAAGCACAAGATTGCCACTGAGTGGCTTTTGCCTGGTTTCCCTGCTGTTATTTCTTGGTTGGTACTTAGTGTGAGGTGCATTTAAAAGAACAAGTGGTGGCAAGGCATGGAAACAGTGAGTTTTGACCTTGCCCTCCATGCTTCTGCTGGTTTGTCTGCAGAGGTGTGTTGTGCCTAGGTTTTTCTGGACTTTGATACTGCACTACACATAGGGCTTATTGGCGGGAGGTAGAATACATGGCATGGTGGCTTGAAGGCCCTTCATTGGATTTTAGTGGACTACTTACTGTGGACCACTGATTGTCTTCATTCATCCTAATTACTGATTTCATTCGGGCGCCTGAGTTTTGGCATTATCAGGGAGTATTTCTGGTGCTCTGTAGGAATAAATTCTATGGATGTGGGTTGCCTAATTCTTGGGTGGGGGCCTGGATGAGGTAAGTTTTAGGGGCAGATCTTTGGAGGCTGTTTTAGGATTTGCTACTCATGCCTACTAGCTTATTTTAAAAAATGAAAATAAATAAAATAATAAATATATATAACAGATTATTACATGAACTGTATATATAAATAGCTTTATTTACAGAGATTAGGGATTTCACTGGAGTATACAAATGATGGTTCTGATTCTGTACAGAATATGCTACATTTGTAACTATGAAAGTTTGCATTTTAATTCGAGGATTACTTCAAATGGATTGCATTTAAGTTCAGTTGGATATAAATAAATTTGTATTTAGTTGTAATTTGATTGATTAGTTGGTTTATCATTGGGTCTACTGGGGAAATGATATTTTATAAGTAAAAATATCTTCCATACCTTTAGCAATTGATTAATAGGGTTGATTGGTGGGTACATTGGGGAAATGAATGAATTTAGAGTTATGAAGAAGTTTGCATTGAATACCTCTTAGAATTAATTGCTTGAATTGATAATTGGTGGGGTACATTGGGGGAATAAAGAAATATTTTTTGCCACTTCGTTTGATTTTGGCACATTTACAAATTAATTTAAAAGCATTATTGAGGTCATAACAGTTGTTTGCCATTATGTGTTATTTCAATTAAAAGAGCCTAAAATGGTGACAATTAGCATGGAGGGCATATTCAATACTTGTAAAGGTTGAGAACTACTGGGGCAGATAACACTCAACAAGAGGTCATTTATTATGAAAAGAAAGAAAAGGTGCATTCTTTAGTTTCCAAGTTTTTAATCCAACAATGTCGTTCTCTGGAAGATAGCAACTTGAAAAGAATTGAAATGATGATAACAAACTGGGAAAAGGATGTGTTTCATATTTTCCTTGAAAGGGAGAGCAACATTATTTGAAAGCGTTTCCCCATTCATCTTCTTCAGGTAGAGCCGCATTTGGCCTTTGAACATTCAAACCCTACCCACACCCACCCAAACTATTCCATTCTGTTTTCTCTCCACTATCATACCAACCCTGCTGAGGCAGGCTAATGGCTTTCTGTGGGAGTCGCAAATGCATCTAACGGCTGGATTAAGCTTTAACACAGCAGTGTTTATACTTGGAAGAGATGTAACAGCATGAAGCGAGCCCAGCTTCCAGCTCACAAACACTGTGGCGAGGCTCTTTTATATTTGAAAGCAGAACAGGTTACATTAGGGAAGCTGTCAGAAAAGATTCACAAACAGCACACGTGTCATCACAACATTTAAAGGCAGCACCAACTTTTTGCCAAGAGAATCCGCATGCATAAGAGAGAGGGGGCTCATTGTTTGAGTGACAAGACAAGCTCAAACTAAAGTCATTGCACAGCAGGACTGGAATAATTTAGAAAACAAGGTCTTGTTCTATTCTTAGCTGATCAGACAAACCTGATGGGGGGGGAGTTGCAGTCATGTACCCCATTTATCTGTTTAATATAAGTTCTGGGTTCTTCTCCAACTGTTCTCATGGAAAAAATACATATTGCACCTTATGGAGCAATTAAAGCATGAATTATCTAGCTGTGATTGTTACAACAACCCCATAAGACAATACCAGAATCATCATCTCCATATTTCCCAGGGGGCTGTAACTGCACAGTGTAAACCGTACTGAACTCAGATTAAATTAAAGTAGTAGCAAGAAGTAACTCACCGTTTCCATCTTTTGCCAGCTGTACCCTAGGGAAAGATGGTGTTGTCTCCTCTTGAAGTATGCCCTTCTCACCTCTATATTCTCCAGTGATTTTTGGTTTAGCGAGCATAGCTCCTGGGGCACAAATCTAACAGTAAACATTGTGAAACTCAGGTTATAGCCTTTTCAAGACATTCCTTCCCCGATTCTTGCTATATCAAACAATGACATGACCATCATTATCTGTGCATGTTTGCATCCCACCTTTCTTCCAGTTTGGAAATCAAGGCTGTGAGAAGGTTTGAGAAATCATCTGATGGTAGTGGTTGCTCTACAGACTAACATAAAGGGAATATGGAAAAGGTTGGGGTCCACTATGGTTATTCCTAACGAAAGATCATCAGCATTTCCACTGACTAATTTTAAAGAGTCATACTTGATGTTTGCTATGCACATGTACTTTAAGGCCTAAAAGAGTAGAACCACCACAGGGTATTCTCTTATGTGCTTCTATTTAAATATACCTTGCCTGATTCTTTAGCTTGTTGGCGTTTTGTCGTTTCATGATTCCAGGGTGGTCCTCTCTCTTCTGTGTCCTCTCTTTTAGAGCTGAAATTTCAACATATATTTTAACTCATGCCACAATATTATAAATGTAATCTGCATTAACACAGATCCAAAATATATTTCAGTGGACATCTAAGGTAGCTTTAGAATAAGACTACTATACATATATTTTCAGTCCTATTCAGTATAATATATATACATTCCTGCTTGGGAATTTTGTCTGGACTGCAAAATGGTGGGAATGATCAAGAGTCATACATATTCCCTAGAGTAGCTGTGTACTGGAGTTTACATTTATCTTACAACTTTCAAAACAATCCATATAGTTTGTTTGAACTGCTGTGCTGTCTTATCACCTGCTATTCGGCTAATACCCCACTGGGCCTTCTTGTGGCAGCTACTCCTTTTGCTGTTGGCCCTTGCTCACACATGCATACCTCCTTCAGTGACCTGTCAAAGCCACCACTGTCTTTTCCTCACAAAGGCATTAGCCTCTGAAACACCCAGGTTAAGTTGCTATAGAATGCCATTTTTCTAGTGTTTCAGCTGTAAAAATTAGGATTGATAAAAACAGGTGGTAATGAGTTGAATCACAAAAATATATGAAAATACAAAGTCTGATGAGTAATCAAGTGGACTAACTCTGTAACGTGTTCCACAGTAGTTTCATTCTGCTTTGTCCATTATTAGGAGACAAAACTCATTGACAGTTCAATAAGGTTGCATGCACATCATTATGTAGCATAGCCATGTTCTAGGCCAGGGGTAGGCAACCCCATGGGGGTCATTTAACCTGCCCAAGAGCTGCCCCCAAACCAGGCCGCCCGCTTAACGAGTCCCCACGCGCTGCACTAAACCAGCGCAGGGTGGCACAGGGACTCGCTCCTGCAGTGCCGGAAATTGTGTCTGTGCATGCTCAGACTCCAGAAATCGTGTCTGCACAGACACCAGAAGTTGTGCATGCTCATGCATGATCCAGCCCACAGAGGGATCTCCGCTGGAGTGAACCGGCCCAGGCGAGGTAAACCTTGCCAACCCCTGTTCTAGGCTATATGCTCTAGCACTGAAATAGCAGCATCTCATAGAGGGCAAAAACAGAAACTTTTGCCTGCAGGCGGTTTGCTCCCTCATGCTGTTAACCAGTGTATTTTGACTCACAGAACCTATTTTAATTTATAATGCTCCAGATTTGCATTAGGTGAACTAGTTCTTTGACAGAATGAGGGTGAAATCTATTCAGTTCTCCAACAAACTCAGAAGATACCTATAGATTACTCCTTTGATTTGCCTCCCTCATGGCAACAGATTTTATCAGGGGCTCAGCAAGAGGCTTCTAAATGTCCCCAGCAACATCTGCCACACACCCAAAAAGGAACCAGCAAGCCCATCATCATCAGTGGACGCAGTCAAGCCAGTTCTGCCTTTGTTGATCTCACTTATGTCTATTGCTGACAATCAAGTTCACTTGTTCAAAAGTGATGGAAATTAATGAGCGATAGTAAACCAAGTTTTACTCAGAGTAGGCGAACTGAAATTAATGGATCTAACTTAGTCATGTTAATCTATATCAATGTTGCTACTCTAATTAAAACTTGCCTGAATACCACCAAATGTGCTTAAATTTGGGAGGATCATTTTTACAGTGACTTGGCACCACTGTTATTTTTGTGCCATGCAAGTATGTCTAGAGCAGCTTACCAAACATTCCAAAAGGAAAGATGTAGTTGTCACAGGGCCCTGATATCTATTGATATCTTTTGATTTCTATTGATCTATTGATCAGCTACCCTGCTGTCTATTGAAACTCAAACTTTGCCAATAATATAAAGTCCAACAAATTCCTCAATAGCCTCACTGACAATACCATTGCACAGAAGGTGGAAAAAGCAACAAGGGGACCACCTTTCTTGGATCTGGTCCTCACCAACAGGGAAGAACTGATCGATGGTGAAACTACAGGGAACCTTGGGAGAAAATGATAATGATCTCTTGGGTTTCATTATACACAGATAGGAGAAAGTTGAATGTAGTTGGACATGTACTATGGACTTTAAGAAGGCTGATTTCACTTCTCACTTGAAGTGTGTAAAAATAAGATTTAAGTTTTAAGGTTTTTTATAAGATAAGATGAAAATAGATCAAGGTAATGTAATGACGGAATATTACGAATTATGGAAAGGATTTGCTGCGATAATTAATAACTGGGATACAAAAAAAGGGAGGAGGAGGAGGTCAAAGAAAGAAGGTAATGAAAGTTGAAGATTTGAGAAGGTTGGTTTTATTTTTGTATGTTTGTGGTGTATTTTTGTTTTTTTGAATTTGTATTGTTGGATGTGGTTTGCTTTTTCCCCTCCTTTTCTGTTTTTTCTTTTTTCTTTCTCTGCTTTGTCTTTTTTTGTAATTTGAAAAATTTTCAATAAATATCATTTTAAAAAAATAAATAAGAAGGCTGATTTCAAAAAGCTTAAGTAACTACGGATCGAAGTCCCATGGTCAGAAATGCTGAAAGAGAAGGAGTCCAAAATGGATGGGAGATTCTTAAAGGTGAAATATTGAAGGCACAAGGGCCTTCAAAATTCCAACAAGAAAGAAAAATGAGAGACGTGTGGCTGCATAAGGAGCATTCAGATAAGCTGAGATGTAAGAAACGAATGTGTAAGAAATGGAAGAAAGGGAAAACCATGAAGGAAGAGTGTACATAAGTAGCCAACAGTTGCAGGGAGATGGTTGGGCAGACCAAAGCTCAGAATTATCTTAGGTTTGCAAAAGAGGTTAAAAATAATAATAACAGTTTCTTTGGCTAGATTTGAAACAAGAGAAAGAACGCGCAGTGCCCAACCTAGAGGTAACTGAATAAATGATGCAAGGAGGACGCTGCAGCCCAAGATATGAAAGGAGGTGGTTAGGGAACACCTAGCTCCTTTAAAGTCAAATCTCCAGGGCCTGATGGGTACTAAAGGGTACCCAAGGGTACTAAAGGAGCTTGTGGGTGTAATCTCAGAGCCTCTGTCTATAATCTTTGAGAATTCTTGGAGAACAGTTGAGATCCTTAAAGTCTGGAGGCAGGTAAATATTGTCCCTTTCTTCAAAAAGGGGGAAAAGAAGACCCAGGTAACTACTGACCGGAGAGCTTGACATTGATTCCAGGAAAGGTCCTAGAACAGTTGGTCTGTGAGCATTTAGAAAAGGATAATTTGAATACTATGACCCAGGCTTCCTGTTTCTGCCTGTGCCAGGAATGGAGGTTTTCTTGACATCTCAGGGAGATACAGACAGAGATAAACAAAGAATGATGGGGAAAACTCATTCTTTGAATTCCTCTCTAGGTGGGAGAGGTATGGGCTTTCACCTGTGGATTGCCCTGCAGTCTGGCACTCCCTATGGAATGCGAGGGCAGGCAAAGGCACTGGGTGCATGGAGCACTCTGACTGCCGTGACTCCCCCCCCCCAATCCATTCCTGGAAACAGAGGATATCCTGCTAATTGGGCTTTAATTGGAGTAAAGTACAGGCGCGTGCTAGGAGCAATGAGATGACAAACTGCGGAACATTTCGGCTGCAAGGATTTAAAGGCTGGAATTGAGATAAGGTTTCATTCAGTGCCAGAGACAGTGGGGGGAGGGGACTCCATAGTTGTTTCTTCAAAGTTTTTCTTCTACATTTCTGATTTGGCAACCCTCTTTGGAATGCAACATTAAAATATAATACAAAATGTGAGATTGAAAGGAACTGGATTAATATAATGGAATTTAGCATCAAACTGGAACTGCGTGTATGAGTGGAATGGAGGGAGAGAGAAAGGGAGGGAAGTTTCACTCTTTGAAAGGACTATGTTGGAATATAGAAAGAAAACTCCCCTACTCTCCATTATTTTCAAAGGAAAGTGAAGGAGACTGAGACAATTATGAATGTAATCTAACTGGAAGGATAACTGGCTATAAATGTTCAGCTGATAGGAAGAAAGGAGTCTGCCAGCTGCAAGGTCAGAGGTCTCCATATTAATCACTGGACTTTGGAATCAGACCACTCTTCCTAGGTTGAAAAAAATGGCAAGGACAGTTTATTTGTTGGAACAGAGGGATCTCTAACAAGCTCTTGAATCATGGGATGAAGTGACACAGAGGCTTTTGGAAAACTGAGATAACTGCTTCCCTCGAGTCATGATGGGAAATATCAACAGTTGGAAGAATGAAGGACACAACACCATATATGGTTGGGACAACATCACAGGGTGGGGGTGGGGAATACCACACACAGAAAAGAACAATGATTACAAACTGAGTAACTCACTTGAAACTTTATAAATTACTTATTAATCAATATGAAGTGAAACCATGAGATTATAGCTGTTGTATAAGGGATTATTATCTTGAAGGGGATGTAATGGAAATTGTTAAGATTTTGGAACACAGAAAATAATAAAAAAAGGAACCCATCAAATCTAGCACATGAGGAGGCCACTTTAACTTAATTGTATAATTCAGTATATAAATAATTGGTTTTAATAATTGTATTAATTGGATAAAATTGGCATTGTTATAATGAGGCTGTTATTGGAATGATATTGGGTGCCACAATATAAGGCTATTGACAAGCTGGAACATGTGCAGAGGAGGGCAACCAAGATGGTGAAGGGTCTGGAAACCGAGCCTTATGAGGAACGGTTGAGGGAACTGGGTATGTTTAGCCTGGTAAAGAGACAACCAAGAGGAGATATGATAGCCATCTTCAAATATCTAAAGGGCTGTCACGTGGAAGATGGAGCAAGCTTGTTTCCTCCTGCTCTGGAGGATAGGACTTGAACTAATAGATTCAAGGTACAAAATACAAGATTCTGATTAAACAACAGGAAGAACTTCTGACAGTAAGAGCTGTTTGACAGTGGAAAGGAGTCCCTCAGAAGGTGGTGGACTCTCATTCTTTTTTTTTTTTTAAATATTTTATTAAGGATTTTCTTGTTTTACAGAAGTGTAGTGCCTCATATTTTTTTTTTCATATAACATTTTTACAAATCCGTTTCATTTGTTGAGGCATTAGGGGGAGAAGAAAAAAGAAAGAAAAAAGAAAGGGGGGGTGGAGAGAGGGAAGATGGATGGGGGTGGGGTCGGGTGGCGGTGTTTCTATTATGTTTAATGTATGTAGAGTTTGGTGTCAGCGTTGCTTGTGTTGTTCACTTGTGTTCCTAATTAACTAATAAACTGAAACTGACACGGGGACAAACAGAAGAAGACGCCTTCACCCCGGTATGGCTCCCCTTTATCACATACACAGCCCAACAGGACTCTCATTCTTTAGAATTTTTTAAGCAGAGGTTGGATGGCCATCCGCCAGGGGTGCTTTAGTTGAAATTCCTGCATTCCAGGGGGCTGGACTAAATGACCCCCAGGGTCCCTTCCAACTCCACAATTCTATGACTAGCACTACTTGGCACAGAGATCAGGAAAATGTTTAGATGGCTGGTCAAACAATAAAGGTACAATGGTTCCTTTCAGGAAATAAAAGATGAAATGTAGTGTTACACCAAGGTCACTGCCTAACTCCTTTACCTTCCTGGATACACTACAGAATGTTTGGTGATATGTAGGCCTAGGTTCTAAATTCACACACATTTACAGATAGACCTTCCTTATTCATTCAGCTTCACTTTTAAGTCAAATAAATCAATAATTAAAATCCAGTTGCTCCAGGTATCTTACTTTAAGAAAGCAAGGGCAAAAATATAAAATGAAACTCCAGAAAGTACACTTACCTAGGTGCGGCAAGGAGAAAACTTTGTTTCTGTGCAAAACACAAAGAAGAGAACTTCAGCTTTCACAGCCTGAAAAGTCAGGTCAATCAGGCAACAATGCGGTGTTGTTTGTCTTGAAGCAACATGTTTACTCAAGAAATATCTTGATCTACGTCTGTTCTTTCACATACTTAATATGAAACATGGCCAGAATCCAAAGACGACGCTAAATTACAGTGTGTTTCCATGTGCGTACAGAGGTGTGCATGCCTGCCAATTTTCCCTTCTTGACTAAGTCCCTGACAACAAACTGACGGGCATTCCAGAGGGTCTGCCACTCCGAAGGGTTTGCACAGAGGGAGGCAATCAGCTGGTGAGAAATGCATGGCTGAAAAGCCCCCATGTGCAAGACAGTGTGTGGGCCTTTGGATCCCAGGCAGTGTTCTTCATTTACATAGATGAAGCATGTCGCCAGGTCTCTTAGCAAAAGATTTTAAAAATGTCACAGGCAGCTTCAGCTCTGTACTAAACCTCCCATGTTGTGACTATGCCCATTTAAGTAGGGTAATATGTTCACCTGTTGAAATGGGGGTGAAAAGGAGTGATGGCATATCAGTTGGTCAGTGTTATATATAGTGTTCAGTATTATAGGACCAATCAGTTACAGAACCATTTTTACATCAGATGCAACACCATGATTTGGAGCTAGGTATATGAGCCCTGTGCTCACACACTCCCTACTTCCCCTCCCTTCATGTGCTCTGATTTTGTACATCACACTTACCATAGTTTGAGAATACATACCTCAATATTCTCATTTTTCCCAGCCTTGGAAGCTAGAGTAAATATTTTTGTAAAAATTAGTATGTTCCATCTTCATTTCATTTAATATTATTAAAGCCACTAATCATAATATGGAGTTTAAGCTGCAATGGTAGGTTACCCAACTTTTCTCACCTGGGCTGCTATAAGCTATGGAACCATCCCACAATATAACTGCAGCCTAGTATACCAAAAGGCGTCCTAGATTTATTTATTGTTAAATGACAGTTACACATGCAAGACTCCATGCATTATTTGTATAATTAGAGATATAGTTTATTGTCACCCGCATTCAAACCCTGATAATTGACAGGTTCAAAATTTACGCAAGTGAAGTGTTTGAGATTTTCCATAAAGGTATAAAGATAAAAGGTTAAAAAGGGGGAGAAGGGGAAGAAAGCTAGAAAGACGGGTTAAAGGTTAACAAGCAAGGGATAAGGAACTGTGACACCAGGTACCCAAAACCAAGAGACCAAAGAATTTCAGACAAAGCAGAGCCAGGAGTTTTTTGTTGTGTGAGGATAGCTAACTTTTCAAAGGTGGTTCACTGCAACACTAACCAAACTCATCCTAAACAACTTTCAGAAGACATCTGAAGGCAGCTATTGAAAAGTTTTTATTGTTTGATGTTTTATTATGTTTTTATGTATGGTGGAAGCCGTCCAGATGGGCAGGGTATTAATAAAATAATAATAATAATAATAAGCAGAAGCAATGACTTTTGAGTAACTTTAAATGGCATATGGCCACCACAGATCAGAACTCAACTTGGCTCCCATTCAAAAGTGGCACTCCCTCCCACTCCTTAAAAGTATCTGGGAACTTGAAGAGGAAGATGGGGAATGTCAGTGCAGCAAGGTCCAGCTGGTGCCTGACCTGGCCAACCATCAGTACCAAGCCTGCCCACACAGCATGCATGGCATAAGCATACCAACTGTTAATAGACTTACGATGTGTGATTTCTTGAGCAGCATTGGTGGAACTCTCTGGAAGCTTCAGGTAGGACATTGTTTCTTCATAAGTGCCTAGTTCTTCTGTTTCAGGACTAAGAGAAATGAGGAGGGGAAAGCATTATTGTTTTGTAGACTCTCTTGGGGAAGATGAACGGATTAGAATCTCTCTGAAGAGGTGCCTTCCTCAAAAAGACACAGAGTGACAGACTTTAAAGTTCCTATCCAGATGCTGACCAGAACCATACAAGCTTAGCGAGAGAGGGAGAGAGGGAGAGGGAGAGAGAGAGAGAGAGAGAGAGAGAGAGAGAGAGAGAGAGAATGAATATGTAACAACAGGAGATGACTGCCCTGTAAGTTCTGAAATATTAAGAACTGCAGGCATAACACAGCAAAAAACTTCTAAAACACGTATCTATTAAGAGACTGGGCCCTGGACCTTACTTACTGGCTGCCTATACAGCCCTGCATATAAAGACTAAACTTTGTTTGCCAGACATTTGGAGCACTGTTGGGACATAGAAAGGGGTAAGTGCAGCAGAAGGCATTGGAGAGAAAACTGGCCCAAAGGGCAGCCTTAGAGAAGTTTCTGGGGTTGCTTCATTAAAGGTGCAAGCAGGATGACATCAATGACTAGGGAGCATCTCCTGTGGTTCAGTGCCAATGGGGCAAGTCAACCTCCTGTCTCCTGCTGAGGGCTAGTTTCCCAACATACTGTTAACAAATGCTAATAAACAACAATAAACCACATTTAGTGGCATATTTTTAAAGAGCATGCTATTAAACTGAAACAAGCAAATGAATGAATCTGCCAGCTACCCAGGGGTAAAAATACCCTGACTCTATCTCATCAAGCCAGGAGCACATTTGTTGACTGATTTCTCCATAAATCATCTCAAAAGATGGACTCGACAGAGCCAAATGTGTTGTGCACAGGTCCCAAAGCAGGCGGCTCAGCTTGTTTATCAATGAAGTAGTATTGCCAACATGATCTTGTTGTGTGTAAGTATTACAGTGTTAGGTTTGCAGATGGTCAGCTGGGCCAAAGACAAGAAGCTGCCAAATATTCAACCAGGTGCCAGGAATGCTTGCAATCTTACATCCAACATTTGTCTTTTTTAAAAGATACTTTTGTTGCCCAGGATAGCGTTTCTGATGTATACATTAACCCAACTAATAAAACCAGGCTTCTATGGAAACTGAACCAGTTGCTAAATGGCAACCTGCCTGGGACTAACGTCCACTCATCCCTTTGCATATACATCTTACATTTAAAGTCCACACCATTCTCCAAAGAACCCTAGGAACAGCATTTTGTTAAGGGTGCTGGGAATTGCAGCTTTGTGAGGCATAGGCTACAGTTCCCAGGATCCTATACAGTAGTACCTCCGGTTGCAGACGAGATTTGTTCCGGAGCTCCTGAGGTCTCCGCAACTGAAGGGACTGCTTCTGCGCATGCGCGCATGGCGGTAGAGCACTTCTGCACATGCGAGAGCGGCGAAACCCAGAAAAATACTTCCAGGTTTGCCACATTTGCATCTTGAAGGATACGCAACCAGAGGTGTGCATATCCAGAAGTACCACTGTACAGAGAAGCAATGTGTGGTGTGTGAATGCAACTGTTAGGTCTTGGGTACTTGTCTTTCCTCCGAGCTGAGTCCGGCTAAGTTGAAGCACATCTCTCCAACCTCAGCAAAGCTGCAAGATGTCACTGCAGTCAATCCCCCAGTTTATTCACCAGCTCACACATCTTGCCGAACTGATACAAGCAGTATAGATTTACTTTTGGCACATTTTATCTGCTCCCCACAGCACCAGATATCCAAGACACACATACACACAGAGAGAAAGGTCCAAAAACACAAGCCGTTCTCGAAAGGCTGTCTAAACAAAGGCCACCAGACAACAACTTATGCAGCTTAAGCCCACGCTTGCTGCCTAAACATTAGCAAATGCAATCAAAACTCTCGCCTGCTGACAGCCAGCGATAACAATAAAAGTTAGTGCTCAGCACCTGCGGATTAAACTAGCTTGTGTGTGTTTACAGGAACAGGCCTCAAAGCTTCTAACTTCAGAAATGTCAAGCCAGAGAGAAGGAAGAGATAGGGAAAACACTGTGTGGGAGCAGATCTCTTTAAAGAGGGAGGAAAAGCAAGTACATCGCTGCACAGAGACATACGTTTACGTTCACCACAGGTTCAAAGGAGTACCAGCAAAAGACAGCTAGATGTAAAAGAGAATGAGGCAGAACTGGGTCTGTAGTCTTGTAATAGGAAAAGTGAAGAAAGTACATGAAATGAAGTCTCTTTTGCCAGATTCCTGTGTTAGCTATTTGGTTTTGAATATGAAACAACTTGCATTACTGGTTTCCAGAGAGTTAGTGATTCTTTCTTGAAGCAGGGATGGGGAAACTGTGGCCTTTCAGATGTGGTTGGACTACAACTCCCACCACCCCTGATCACTGATCACACAGACTGGAGCTGCTGGAAGTTGGAGTCTAACAACATCTAGAGAGCTTAAGAGTCTAGATTTTCAGGCAACATAAAGAGAGGTGCACTTACGTTTCAGGAGTCATGTAGGCGTCATCCACAGCATCTGAAAACAAATTTTTGTAATGTAAAGGAAACAATAACTGCAACCACACAGTATGCCAGAGTGAAATTTAGTGATGTAGTGTCCTGGTGGTTCCATTCCTTGATCCTAGCAAGAGTCCCAGAAGAAGTTGAATTCAAACAAGCCTGTTGCAGTGGAGAAGACAACCAAGGCAGTAAATGGACAGGATTGATTCCAGACTTTGAGCTTGTCTACACTTCCGTTTGTCCCCAAGGGCATACCTAGGGGTAGGTTAGGTTGACTCCCACCAAGAGCCACCAAGTGATGGGATGCATATACACAAAAATCATGCCTCTTCTTGTTCAAAGTAGCCCGCCCAACCATGTATACACTCCCTCTCGGTCACCAAGACATGCATTTGAGATAAGTGCTCCTTCCTGTTCTTGACTGGAAATTATCTCAATTTCTTGTCAGCATCCACCAGCCATTGCTTTAACAATGCCTAAAATCCAAACAGAGAATGCCTTACCTGGAATGTTCTTCTGGAAGGGACCAAGGTCGACATTCGGAGGCCTTGGTGGTTTCTTTGGAGGAGGACCAAGTGAAATAATGGAAGGAAGTGGTTTGGGCTTTGGGCTTTTTTCAACCTCATGCCATCTTTCTGTAACAGAGGGAAGAAACCATATTAATGCTTTGGTAGGGAGAATGAACTTCCATGCTGGAATTTTGCAATGGGTCAAACTAGTGCTTTTTTCTTCTTCTAAAAAAAATGTTTAGAGGTACTCTTTTCCCCCTACTCATATTGAAATACTGCCCCTCAATGAGGTTAAACTTAGGTTCATAAAATGTTTAGGGGTATGTGTACCCCTGCATACCCCCCAGAAAAAAAGCACCGAGTGAAACAGACCAAACAAAAATCATGGTGTTCCTTTTTTCAAGTTTTGGCAGATACAGTTGCCCCTATCAAAATGATGGAATTGACATACATTGACACTTTGGCTGTCGAAACGGGTTCTTGATTGCTTAGGTGCACACACAGCAGATATTGGATTATTATTATTATTTTTCTCAAGTGGGGGAACCGACAACCTGGATGCAAGACACGGCATTCACAAAATTAATTGCTCTTTTGAGAAAGAAAGGAAAAATTCACCCAGCTACAGGGATTCTAACCACAAGCCTGAACTTCCTTCCCACCTGTCAGAGCATGCTTGGCAGAGTTGTAACCCAGTAGGCAAGAGTAATTACAGAGTTTGTCATTCACTGACCTATAGGAGTCCAATAGAGTAGGGCTGTGTAAGTAATAGGCTTCCTGGGGGTCTCTGTGGACCACCTTGCTCTACATGTCAAAGCCATCAGAAAAGGAAACCTGTGCATATTGGCAAATATACCGTTCTGTCACATAGCAACAATTTAAACTGCACTCATGACTAATAGGAAGAGCCCTTTGGCATGGTACAAAGCTGGCAAAGTGCACAGAAAGGTTAGCCAGAGCAGCATCCTGGAACACACACACACCTTATCTGATTAGTCACCTGCAATTCATTGTAAGTTGGCAAAACAGCTGCTGAATGCTAAGTTCCTGTAAGGCAGCTTGTTCCAGTAAAGAAAGAAAAAAGATGTTTTTCGTAGTTGGCATTGGTCCTGGATTTTGTAAAGACAGCATGTCAAACCAGAAGCTTCCTGGCTGGAGGTTTTTTCTTCTTCTTCAATTAGCAAAAAGGCAATGCAAAGATTAGTTTCAGCCTTAATGTTGGACTCCCAAGTACTGGTCTGGCCCAAAACGTCTACTCCAAAGTTACCATGACAGCAGACAAGTGTTAATATTTATAAAGAATGGACATTGATTAGCAGCTAGGTACATTCACTTCAGGGAACTGGTCAAATTGCAGAAATAAGGAATGCATTCAGATTGCCAATTGTTTACACAGTGCCTGCAAGTACCAGGTGATTATTAGGAGGAAGAAAGAGTTCACTTATCATTGCCCTTATTGTGCAATTATAAGAGGGGCTACTGATTAAAATAACCTAGCAGCGTCTCAGTTTATTTTACTGCAAACCCTCTCCAGTTGTGAAGATTGATCAAAAATACATTTTAAACATTTCTCCAGAGTTTTTTTGAAACAACACAGCTGGACACCTACCCTTCTTCATGCCACACCTTCTGAAAAATTAAGCGGCGAGGGTATTTTTTGCTCAAAACAATGTAGGAACTACCCATGTGCATTTCATGTTCTCTTCTGAAAGTCTAGGAAGTAAAGAAAACCTACTCACATTATCCTGAACTGACTGGCTTTTAGCCAGATACTAGAAACATCATAGGCAAGTTCTTTAACACAAAAGTATTGTTGTCCACTACTGACTTAGGGCTACAAAATATAGTCAGGTAACATGGCTTACCGTTTGAGCATTGCGAGGTCTTGCTTGGCCTGTCTAAGTCATTAGCATCTTGGGGGGGATCAGCAACTCTAATGGCACTGTGGGCCAGTGTCTCTGAGCTTGTATGATTTCTTGGTGGAACAGGTGGCGAGACTGTGGGAAATGGAACGGGTTCGACCTGTAGGCGAGAAGGGGTGCTTGGTGCAGAAACCACTACTGCTTGCTCATTTTCAGCTGATTTTGCTGGAACCTCTAGAGTGACAGCAACATTCACAGTTTTGGGCTGGGGAAGAGACGTTGTTCTGTTGGACCGCTGAGGAGGAGTCTCGGAGCCCTTTTTGTCACTCTGCAACAAAGCACTTTCCCAGATGTTCAGAGTATTGCGGAAAGAATTGCTTGCCGGTGCAGTTTCTTGAAGGCAATGATAAGATGCCGGACGTTGCTTTGGTGAATCTTCCACCAGTACAACTCTTGCACAAACTGTCTCCATAATGTCTTTGCTTTTTCTATCTTCATTCTTCCTGACTTCAGGCAATTCGTGAAGCCGGGCCCTTGGTAGCACGACAGGCTTGATTTGTACTATTTCAGACTTCTGCGATAAATAACTGAAGGGCGCTGTCTTTTGCTCAGGATCTGGAATTTGTCGTCGGCACAATGGTTTGGGTTTAGGATGGGATGCAGGACTGCCATCGGTATTTTGACGAGGGAGGGTTTCTGCAGGAAGGCTCTTTACAGGCTGGATCAATGCACTGGAAAAATTGGAATCATTCTGAAATTTTGCTCGAAGTGCTCGGAAGTCTCCAGCTCTTTCCTAAAATAGCCGAGAATACAAGAGACAATCATCAATCATATTTTTAACAAAGCAGTTCTAAACCAAATTGAGAAAGAACCCAGACTGCTGTAGTACTAGGTGAGATGGTTATGCAATCAAGACTGGATTCAGGATAGAGGAGGTTTGTGTGAAAAGTATATTCTGACGGGGCCCCTCTGATGTCAGAGGGCCTCTTGTAGCTTACCTGATGACAGTGCACAACTAGATACAGAGAGGAATTGGGTTCGTCCTCTTTTCACAGTAGGCTGGCCTTATTTAATTTTCCCAAATGTGCTTGTGGATTGGAATATGACTGCCAGATTATGCATGGTGGATTTTGTGCTAAAGTTGCACTCCTAAAAAGTGCACATAAAATATATATTCCCTATGCTGAAAATGCATTGAATGTATGTATTTTATAGGATATGTGTGTACAAAATGCATACAGTTCACATGCAGATTTTTCCATGCCCGCCCCTTTCTTAAGGCTGCAAAAAATGAGACAAACTGACATAGGACTGACTGCTGTTGAAAATGACACAAAATAGATTTAGGCATATCTGTCCAATTCATTGCCAAGCATCTGGTTCCATCACGCAGGGACAGTGTGGGCAATTTAAATGGACCCAGATGCTTTTCCCCCCAAAGAGGAGCACAGCACATTGTGAGTGATGGGCACTGTTGGGGTACTGACAACTTCACAAGGAAGCTGTGTCTGTGGGATGAGATTGGACCAAAGCTTAATTTCTAGAATTTGGGGGGGGTGTGCTTCATGTCCAGATGCCCATCTCAGGGGCTTAGCATCCCCAGCCAGTAACCAGAGATGATTTATTGGAATAGTGCACATCATAGGGTGACCTCTGACAATGGCCAACCCCTGCTATCCATCAACAATCTGTAATCAATAAAAGCTGTCCCCTTATTTGATGCCAATACTGGTTTCTTGTGCCTTCTTTGTGTGCATGCCCCACCCCAATGGTTCCACTGCACCTGGGCCTGGAACTAAGCAGCTCAGGGAAGGGGGAGAAAGACCACCACATTTCTACTCGCCAGATGTGAAGGTGTATTCAGATAACTGATTGAGAACAAATCCTTCCCTCCCCTGCTCCAACTAACCCCCAAGCCCACCCAATACCCCAGACTCTGCAACTAGATTGCATCAGGACACCATTTGCTTGAAGGAAACTTACACTTGTAGGATATGGGTGAGATTACAATAGCCTTCTCTTCCATATACAAATCTGACAATATAGGATCGTCGTCATCTACAGTTTACTCTATAATGACCACACCCATATCTAAAATGTTGCAGCACACTTTGGGAGCCTCAGAAACTAGGCACTGGATGTCAAATTCCACAGTTCATGAAATGTGGCCATTTCTTACTTGCTCTCTGTTTGGAGCTACCTGTATATTGTGAGCTGCCTTATAAAAATCTGAATGTGCTTGCTCGGCAGGAGGAACAGCAGCCATGCAGATCAGCCTTGTGCAAAGAACTGTGCTCTCCTGCAATAGCTTGCTGGATCAGAAAATTAGGTGAAACAAGACAACCTTGGACAGAAGCACCATTATGCCGAAAAAGAGACACAGATGCCTTTAATGAGAAGGCAACACAGCAGAGCCTTGTCCTGAGATTTTATTGAATTTTGCGTAATTGCATCCAACTTATTAAATACAAAACAGTTTCTCCTGAATAACCCCTTTTAGTCAACGCTATTATTTTCACATTACACAGCATGATGCAAAGCACCTAGGAGATATTTCAATTGCTCCGATTGTACTGGAGCAGCCAGCTGTATGATACAACTCAGTATTATGCCCAAGCCCAGTCTGGAATGTATATGCAATTAACATTTCCGTAAAGGAAAAGACAGACCAAAACCCCTCTGATCTTCATCCAAAACTTCACACTGAGTTATGACTACAACCAATGGAAGCCAAGGCAAAATAAATGCCATTGTTTCTTCAGCATGGGTGCAATATCTGCAGGCGGACTTTAAGATCTGCTCAAATGCACAGCACTGTTTACGGTGCTTTACTGCAAACCAGGTGCTTCTTTTATTACTGAATTCCTCATCAGAGCTGCAGAGAGAAGCCACCATGAAAGATGAAACCTTTGCCAGGTTGCCACCCCCTAACTAGAGATAAGCCTTTTTTTAAAAAAAAGAAGAAGTAACAATTGCTTTGTGATTTTATTATGCATTGAAAGCACAGCTGAAAATTACAGAGTTGAATCCTGGAGAGCTCTTCCTGTTTCTGAAAGGGCAACACAGGTGCTATTGCTTTCCCAGGCAGTGCATCCATGAGCTCGCTGGGGTACTTCGCCCCTGAATGCCAGAAGCATTAAGTGCTTGACTGTTTCCATGGAAGCATTTCCATAATGTGGACATATTACCACCGGTAGCAGTTTAAGCTCAAGTTTCCAATCTCCCTCAGTTCACTATTTTTACTTACAACAAGGACAGATGTTTTTGCTCTGTTCCATTTAATTATTTTAACATTGAAAATGTCCTGTTCTACCCAAGCCCTTGACATTCTCAGTCCATTTGTTCCAACTTATCATTTACCAGTTATTTTTGCCTGGGTGAAGAGTAGCACAGAGAGTAAACTAGGGATTGTGCCAACGCTGAGGCTCAGTTTGCTGAACCCCATGCAGCTGCTGAACTAACCCACATACTCACCCCCCAAAGAAGGCTGCAAACTGTAGTTGCTGCAAATTGTAGCTCTGTGAAGTACAGGTCCCAGAGCAGAGCAGGATGTGATTTAAAGGTATGGTGTGTACATAACCTGACTCTCAAAGTGTGGTTTGGTTTTTAACACAGAGCCTGCTGATGACGAAAAGGGTGAAATTAGCTGCCAATCTACCATTTGGGCACTACTAAAATCCACTAACCAACATTAACTCATTTCTCTCCCTGTGTTTTCATATTACAGATGAGGGAGGGAGGGAGAGAGAACACAATAGGCCTTGAGAAGTCTGGGGGCATCTTGTTTAGCATTAAAGCTGGCTTGCAAAGAAATGGAATAATGAATTCAATAATTGGGGATGGCTGTGAGGTTGAATGGTGTGCTGTGGTGTGCTCCTAGCAGACCACCTGACCAGCTGTAACCACAACTCACCCAGAAAGAAAGGGAAGAGAGCAGGAAGTAGAAACTATTAACAGGGCTAAAGGTAAAGGTAAAGGGACCCCTGACCATTAGGTCCAGTCGTGACTGACTCTGGGGTTGCAGCGCTCATCTCGCTTTATTCGCCGAGGGAGCTGGCGTACAGCTTCTGGGTCATGTGGCCAGCATGACTAAGCTGCTTCTGGAGAACCAGAGCAGCGCATGGAAACACTGTTTACCTTCCCGCCGGAGTGGTACCTATTTATCTGCTTGCACTTTGACATGCTTTCGAACTGCTAGGTTGGCAGGAGCAGGGACCGAGCAACGGGAGCTCACCCCGTTGCGGGGATTTGAACCCCGACCTTCTAATCAGCAAGTCCTAGGCTCTGTGGTTTAACCCACAATGCCACCCACGTCCCTCTTATTAACAGGACTACCAACATTTAAAAAGCCAAGTGCTTAAGTCAAGTTTGCAGATCACCACTCAGCAGGGATGCCGACTTGAATAAAATTGGGGGAGGGAAGCCCCACCCGGCATAATCTATCAAAATATGTGGCACATGCACATCATTTGAATGTCAATGCCCATCAATGGGGGGGGGGGACGACCAAAGGGACCTGGACCCCTAGAAGTTGGCTCCTATGCGACATAGGCTATGTCACTCAGGCAGATCACTGTCCCCGGTTTATATGTAAGAGGGAAAAAGTCTGTACAGCAATAAACTTGCCACTTCAGCTCTAAAAGGCATGAAGGACTCAATGCTGGGTTTGTATGCTCTGGAATGAGTTCCCAGATTATTTATTACATTTTAATCTCATTTTTCCTGTTAACAATGTAACTTTAATGAGCATAAAATGTGATGGTCGTATGCACGGAAATAAAAAAGAGGTTTGCATTAGGCAGCATCTAGGAAATGCGGAAGAAGACACTAGAAATTTCTGTTCCAGCTAAGTGATGACTAATCTCTGGAGCACCTGAGAACTCAGCTTCTTAGCAGACCATAGAGCCTGCAGCAGCAGGAGCTCAGTGATCTGGAGCAAGCAGGTTACTTGTATAGGATTTCTCTCTGGGAATAGAGAGAGGAAAGTTAAGGTCTTTAGGAAGACTGGACTGTATTGCTAGTTTAAGAGCAATGTGTTACTTTGTATTTTGCAGTGTTTGTTTTGTAACTGGTTTAAGACTGCAGAAAAACTCTTTGAAACTTGTGGAGAGCATTAATTTTGGCTCTGCACAATCAAGGATGCAGATCAGGGATTCCATTTGCAACAACTCTCAACACATCCTTCCATGAGGCCTAGGCAGCATGCACCTCACCCCCATCCCCACCCCTACCCCTGCCTGCCCAGGTCTATATTATGCTCAATATGCAACCCTGTGAGGTAGGTGAGATTTGCTCAAGTTTGCTCAGTGAGCTTCATGGTGGGATGGGCATACCAGATACTATTTGGAGGATACAAATCAGCTTCCCCAGTTTTTGTTTTTTTAAAAATACTTTGCACAAGACTGTAATCCACCAGTTCCACAAAGAGCCATTTACAGGAATCTCTTATGGTTCCTATTTATGGAACTGATTGGCTTTGTAAATCTCAACAGGAACATTCTGCAGATATCATTTGTTTACTCAAGACAGTACTCTGACCCCCAGCAGCCACAATTGCTGGAATTTTGCCACATGCTCCAGGTACCATCAATCAAGTTTGATGACATCCAGAAAGTATAAACTCAGGCAAGTTTTCCTGCAAATCCACCCACAGTTTCTCAAAAGACTAAAATGGAAAGAGGTTCGCCAGGTAGTTTCATAGCCAAATCAAAGACACTAGAACGACTTTGGGAGGGAGAAGAGAAGAGTGCATGGGGGCTGTTAGTTTAGCAGTACAAACCTAGGCATATTTACCCAGCAGTAAATCCCACTGTGTTCAGTGTACTTCTCAGTGAGTAGATTAAGAATTGCAGCCCAAACTCTTAAAATAAGAAAGGGACTATGGTGTTTACAAATTGTTCAATGGTTACAAAGAATCATTAAAGGTTATGTTCTGCTCCCCCCCCCCCCGCCCAAAGGGTTTAAAAGGAGGCATCAAGAAATAAGGATGGGGGGAAAGTTCAATTTAGACACATTTAAAGCCAGATTTATCAAACTCATAGTTTCCGAAGCTGAAACCCAGCCACCCTTTGAAATTCACGCTCCTCCGAAGGTTACAACGCAGTTCTCCATCCAACCAATGCTTACAAAAAATGCGTATGATAAGGGGAAAGGGTGCATAAAAATGAATTACATTACCAAAAATGCATAATATTAGGAGAAATTGCTTGCAAAGATGTGTGCATTAGTCAAAACTGCGCACAAAGTGCACTTACTAGGAAAAATGTGTACTAAAATGCGGAAGAATTTCCATGAGGATTTTAAAATAAATAAACAAATTGCAAACTGCTGCAGAAACATGGAGACTGGAAAAACCAAGAAATAGAACTAAAACAGACAGGAGGAAGACTTGGCTCCTGCAATGCAGAGCTGTGCAGAAGAAAGAGTTCAACAGGGATAGTTTCGCTCTGTGTGTCAGTCGGTCTCTCTCTTTTACACACACTACTGAAAGGGGCAGCCCCATGCTGCACTCCGCCACCCTTTTATAAGCACTTCAGGTAGTCTCAGGCATGTGAGAACTTCGACCTTTCATCAAGAAATCAGCCCGCACTTTGTGCACCCCATGTTTCCCTCAGAAGGTTTCAACCCTAACACTAGAAAGTAAAGAGGCGCATTTATGGCCAGGTTAAGGCACTGATTGGGAACCTCCAGTGGTTCCCGGACTACAACTCCCATCAAACCTGACCCACGGGCCATGCTGGCTGGGGCTGATGGCAACTAAGGACACAGATGTCCCCCTGCCTTGGTTTTTAACCCTGAACATCCCCATATCACTATAGCACAACCGTGATATCTCCAAAAAGTTGCTCTTTTCTCTGGACAGGGTGGGGTGGAACTTAGCCCCACAAGACCAGCACAACAAGTTTCCAGCAAAAGTAATAATAGGGAGCTAAATCCTGAAAGCATTTATGCCTCCCTATCAGGTAACCTCCCCCAGCGTTGAACCGGCTCCCTGTTCTTTGCAGTGATCCATGTAGAGCTACACACCAGGTTACAAGATAAACCAAAGAAGAACTGTTTGAACAGCAAACAGAGGCAATGCCCCAGAAAGACACATAAAAAAGCAGCAGAGCAGCATTTGTAGTTACCATTTCCATGATTTCTCTCGCTTTCATACCTCCTTCTGACGTGGCTCAGTGTTGCAGCCCATTTTTGAGCTTGTGAGTAGTCTGCTCCCAGAGCAGAGTAGTTTAAGGAACTTCCTTCCTGGCAGCTCAGAGTAATCCTGCAGTAAGAGCCAGTGGGCTTAAGGTGGAGCATATGCAGAAGGATCACACCTGAGCTGAAGGACTTGGCTCCTCCCTAACCCAACCCACAGTGTGTGTGTGTGTGAGAGAGAGAGAGGGGGGGGGCAGACTTGATTCACCTGCAAACAGATCTCCCCTTTTGTTGCACAAGAACCAGGCATGCCCATGAAGGAAATGTCAGTCTTTGGAGAACTGTTAGTCTAGCAAAGGTATGCTACAGTCATCGTGGGTTGTGACTGCACGGCCTTGAATTTTGAGGGAAAGGCTGCACAGAGCAGGCTGTGCATTTTGGAACAGAGATCACACTATACACACAGCTGCGTAAACTAGTTTTGCACTCACGTAGCCCAGATTCTGTGACTAAATAAATTATGCCAATAATTTGGGTGTCGTTTGGGTTATATTTCTCTCTGTGGAGATGCAAGAAATCAAACTAAACACTCCCACAAAATTCAGGTGCAGCTTCTCTGAAATGGGGGAGGGGGCATGGGCTACTTTCATGTGGGCCTAAGTTCCAAAGCCTCTGAAGTGTCTCTGAAGCCTCTCACATGTCCCCGCATTGATGTAGCCATAGATATTTTTATTTTTTTGTTGGACCGATGCCATCACCAGTGACTCTCCCCATGTTGAGAAAAGATGGCTGGGAGACAGAAAAGTTCAGGGAGAGAGGTCTTCATACTTTGAGGGGGAAAGGCCAGAGAAGTCATTGTAAGACATTAAAGAGATACAAAATAAATTAAATTAAAAAAAACTAATTATAGCCACTGGGGATAGAAAGGAAGGAGAGAAGAGAGGAAATCAGTTAGATGAAAAAGAAGTAATGATAAAAAGGAAAAGGTGTGAAAGAAGCAAGCAGTTCGAGGGGAAAATAGGGTACAAACCTATCCTTAACATAATTTAACAGGTATATTAAAGGATAAGAATGAATGTTGGCTAGGCAAGTTTATGCATTGCAGCAGGAATGGGGAACCAACCTGTAGCTCTGCAGATGAAGAAGGATGGACTATGAATGGAGGGGGGCCCTTATCCCTCCCTTTGGAGCCCCTGGGAAACTCTGCATACCTGCTGTACTTGGAACTGGGTGTGGAGAGTGCAGCTGAATGGGACACAGGTGAGGGCAGACTGAGGAAGAGCCATCTGCCTTGGGCCTCCCCATAAAAAGCAAGTCCACAGTGAGAGACTAGGGTGATGGCCGCTATTTCCATGAACTCTTCTCAATGTGAGACTTTTGTGGATGAGCTGAGAGTTTGTTTGGACGCTGGATGAGAATCCAGAGGCCAGGAGGGAGGGTGTGTCAGAAGGAAAATGAATTTATATAGATTTATATAGATTAGTAACTTTGCATTCATGCAGCATTTTTAAATGTAACTGTGAATTTTTGTGAGTTGTCAGTTGCTGCTTCAGTTTTCTGTACACCGCTTAGAGACATTTTCAATATAATAAGCTTTATGGAAATTAAATAATCAATCTCCCATCAGCCCCAACCAGCATAGTCTGTGGCCAGGTATGATGGCAGCTGTAATCCAACAACACTTGGAGGGCCACAAGTTTCCCATCCCTGCATTATAGCTTCCAAGTGCAGGGAGTTTTAAGCCACTCTGTATGCAAGGAGAATGGGCAGTTTTTTCTACGCTGTCCCAGGTTCTTTTATTGTGGTGGTGGGGAATTAGAATGCCTGAGGTGAAATTGCCCTTCCTTGTTTTGTGTATGGCAGACCACGTACTGACAATTAGCACATGGAGCAATTTAAAGCAGCCTCGACGCGGCAGCAACGTATAACTCAGCCCCAAGTCAACATCCCATCCTTACGCTGACCCTTGATGTGCGGCTGTCTTTTTAAATGCCATTCTCTTCCTCTTTACCAGCAGTAAGCCTGAGGAGGGACAGCTATCATCTTTCATCATACAAGCAGTGCTTTCTCTGCTATAAATCTCGCCGTACAACCAGGTTTCCTGAAGCCTAAATGCAAAGTTAAGATATGGGAAGAGACACTTCCCCAGAGCAAAAGAGCTGTGCTTTTATTGCCAGGTAACAGCGATAGGTACGTTCCTTCCCACACACAGCCCTCCCCCAACACTTCACAGTGTGGTGTTGTGGGTAGAGAGTAAAGTTTGGTTATGTGTGTCATGAGTCCTGAGGCAGCAAGCAAGGAAGGTCTATCCTGGCAAGGGGAGAGGAGGAATGGGGTGAGATGGCTGAGAGATGGGGAGGTCAGAGCAGTGTGCTTGGAAATATCGCCTCCGTGCTGCTGAAGAATGTTCCAGAAGAGGAGGGAGGAATGTGGAAGCAAGTCACCCCCCTGCCTCCTGAGAGTGAGGTTGCCCTGGCAACTGAGGAAGTGCAGGAGCCTGAGTAGGACACTGAGCTGGCCTAGCAGACCCAGGTCCCACCTCCCACAACCCACTGTTGGATGCACCAACACAACCCGGCCCATGCTATTTGCAGGAGCGCCTGCCTGCTTGACCAGCTCCATTTCTCGAGGTGAGAATCACATGAATGACTGTGCCTATCCCACTCTTCTAAAGGTGAGCAAAGTGGGCATGTCAGGTGTGGAGTCTTAGCTTACTCTTTAGCGGCGTATCTCAGAGCCTTGCTTTTGAACTCTATAGACTGCATAACCTGTATCTTGATCTGTAGTTGAACTGTGTGTTGACTTTTGGAATAAAGCCTTTGGGAATCCTTGAGAGTCTGTCTGAAAGTGGGAGCTAGGACAATGGGAGACCCAGAGTCGGGTTCCAAACAGTCATTTCTGGGTTATTATTGGAAGGGTAAATAACTATAGAACTGTAAAGCACTTTGTACACTGAAAGGTGCCTTATTAAAAAAAATATATATATTAAGCTGCTCATTTCTGCTCTTTGGTGAACTGCTTCTTGGAATCTGACCTATCACTTTCTTTTCCCAGGACAGGACATAGCAATTACTTTATATCTCTCTAGTGGATAATTGTTTATAAGCACAGCGCTGTGAATTCAGCAAATCTGAGAATGAGTTTTCACAATCACACTTGTACTGGGGAAAGGGAAGTGAAACCATAGAGTGTGAAGTGTTTTTTGTGGGGGCAGGCATTAGGCTGTATGATGTGTAAACCCCTTCTAATTTCTGGATCCAGCAAAGGTTAAAATCTAGTGGAGGATCCCATTGTTGAAGTAGCCAGGCCAGCTTCTAGTTAAAGGGCCCTAGTGGATGGGTCATTAGTCTAAAGAAAGGAAGTTGCTTTGTGCTGGAGGGCCATGGGTGGGCCCCCTCCCTCATCTGGCTGGTAGTGACAATAACCAGAGCTGAGTTGATTGTGTCAGCTGAACTGCAAGTAGTCCATTGGAAGAGGTCAGGGCATAAGAACCATGCTTGCTTTCTGCTTGAATCCAAGGCTGTGGCTATTGGAGAAGCAAGACCTTGGGGTGTTAATGCTGCAAGTCCTTCCATCACAGACTTAGGTTGTATATATGTGTAAATAAACCATATATCATAAAGACACCAAAGTCTCCACTGTCCCTTGTTCCCAGGAAACTGAATCCTGGGTAAGTGCCTGGAACCCCAGGAATCTCGCACTACTTGGAGATTAGCATAGTGTACAACAGTATGTTTCTGTTCCATCATCACCTGAGCTGTGCAGTTTATTTCATAGTGCTGATGCCCAACTCTTTGAGGAGTGAAACCCAGCTGTGGAAAGTCATTTGTTACTTTAGCCTGTAATCCTGGAGCTGGTTCATCTCCTGATTGCAGCTCTGCTTCTCTCTGAAAAGCAGACCGATTCTCTGTTAGAAAAACACTGAGGCCTAATTTGAATAGTAGAATGTCTGGCATCTGGTGGGCGGGGCTTTGTGTTGTGCTCTGGAATTGGCCCCTCCCTTTGGGTATTCAATTAAGTTCAGTTAGAGAGGCCAACTGCCATTCTTGCCTCATGTTGTTTTAGTTTCTCTCAGACAGTATGTTATTGTGTTACAGTGTTTTATTATTACTGAAGCTTTGTTTGACATATATGTGAGCCGCTTACTTTGCTGAAAGAAAAGAAACTCTGCTGAAGAATGGTGGAATATTCTAAACTGGGGTTGGGGCGCAGATATTCCTAGTCTGCCAGGAGGATTGGGTTTTTTTAATCACCCCACCCCCTAAAACATTCCCCAACCCCAACCCCACTGGAATGGCCTGGTCCTCAACACACGTTCAAAGCAATCCAACCTTGAAATGTCTAGGAAAATGAATGTGAAATGTCAAGGAAGGAAAGTAGGACCCATACTTCAACGAAGGGAGTAGCATAGGAAGTTGCCTCATACTGAGTCAGACTGTTGGCTCATCTGGCTCAAGATTGTCTACCCTGACTGTCAGCTGCTCTCCAGCATTTCAAACAGGGGACATTTCCAGCCCTACCTGGAGATGATACTTGGGACCTTTTGAGATGGTTTGCTGCTGAACTATGGCTCTGTCCTCTTGCTTTATGAAAGGACTCCTAAACTGACTTATCAGCTTGTTGAGGCCTGACTCATAATGGAAGAGAGCTTTACTACAAGATTCAGCAAGACTGTGTGCTCCTTTGAAAATAGCAATCAATGTCATTCCTGAAACGCAGCGATCTCATGAGAGTGGCAAAAGCCCACAATATATAATTTGATGTGGGGAATGAGATGAGGGACACTTTAATCCTAACTAGAGAAAGGGATTTGCTCTTGCAGTATTTGCTTTTATTTTGAGACAAGCATTACAGATCCACCTGGATTTTTCCTAGGAACACAGGGCGAGTGTGGTGGCACTCTGTTACCCCTCCAGCTGTTTTATACCAAGTTAGACCATTGTCCCATCTCCTTTAGCATTGTCTACACTGACTGCAGTGGCTCTCCAAGGCTTCAGGTGTGGAACATTTCTAGCCCCACCTGGAGATGCCAGGAATTGAACATGCCACCTTTTGCTTGCTAGACACCTGCTGAAAACTTGTCTTCTCCAGCAAGCCTATCCAGATGTTTAATTTTGTTACTTGCATTTGTCTCAATGTCTTATTGATTCTACCTTTGCTTTTAGTGATAAATGATGATTTTAGGCATATTTGTATTTAATTGGTTTAGGTATTTTAGCCATTTCATTCATTTATTTATAATGCTATCTGCACACCGCTTGGGGAATTTCTTTTGATCAAGCAGTTTTATGAGTTCCCTCAATAAATAAACGAAGTGAATGAGTGTTTTGTTGAATGTAAATTTTATGTGGACATAACAAACCTCGTTGAAGCAAGAACTTTTTATTTTGTATGTGTGGAAGGGCCTTTACAGTCTAACCATATGCATATTTTATTGAGTGAAAGTTTCATTGAGCTCAGTGGGAATGGCTGCCGAAGGGGGCACAGGATTGCACCCTAGGCTCCTATGTCCTGCTTGCAGCTTTCCACCAACCTTCCACAGGTGCCTTTCATCCCAGTTTGGTATGGCCAGTCATGTTCAAATTGTTGTCTGAAAAGGGTTTGGCTGCAAATCTCCACTAGAGGGTGAGCTAAGCTAGCGAGACCCACATTGGGTTTCTTTGATGTAATTCCTCCAGCATTTGAGGAAGGAAAGGGTGTGGGGGGAAAATATCTGAGCACTTATTGATCCTTAAGTTAAACACAGACAAGGTGGGTAATGAAAACTTTTACTGGGCCAACTTATAAATTATTTGCCAGACCAATAAAATTTATTGCACATCTATTATTTTTCCCCTCAGCAATTTTTAAGAGAGCTCTAGCCAAACAGGACAATGAAAAAACCAAAACAAATGGGAAAGTGTTTTCTGGGCTGTCAATTGCTCTGAATTTCCCCTATGCCTGACCAAATGCTTCTGATATGCCACTCGCTGTGTCCATAGATGGGGCTGTCCTTGAGATAACAACCTTTCCCAAGTTTGTTCAGGACAATCTCAACCAACTTGAGCCACCCCACAATTTTTCTAATAGGCACCTCAAATCCTAAATATCCTGGTTTTATTTCCTCTCTTGTCTCCTGAACAGGCCAGAGGGGAGAGGCAAAGGAAGCATTTGAATCTGGCTTCTGCTGAGTCATACCACTCTCCATAATGGAATGCAACTTTTGATGAGTCATACCACTGATTCATCCAGCCTCGTATTGTCTGTTCAGATTAGCAATGCCTCCTGATGGGTTCAAGGTACAGTCCCAACTCTGCTACCCGATAACTAAAGGTGTCACTAAAGGTACCAGTATACTCTATAGACCATGGGGGGGGAGGGGTAAAAAAGCAGGACCCTTCTCCCCGCACCACTTTTAATAACTATCTGTCCTGCAGTTTGACATTGCTTTACCATTTAGTTTCACAACCCAGGTCAATCAAGAGTGTCAACCTGCAAATGAGCACAAGGGTTAGGTGTGTGCCTAACATGCCTAGCATGTGGAACCACTCAGTTACATGGGTAGTTGTGGTCATGAGAAAGGGTCCATTGCTCTGTTGTAGAGCACGTGTTGCGCATGCAGAAGGTCCAAGTTTCAATTCCTGCCATTTCCAGCTCAAAGGATTGGGCAGTAGGTGCCAGGAATGACCTCTACCTTAGGATCTGGAGAGCCCTTGCCAGTCAGTGTAGACCATGTGGACTATAGGGATGAAGAGTTTGATGTAGTATATAAAGTGGCTTCCTGTGTTCTTATGACATAACGATGGGCTCATCCAGACTTTCTTTTGTACTCTGTTTCTAGGCACAGGTCTGAGCTTTAAAGCTGTGTGTCTGAGTGATAGATAGATAGATAGATAGAGAGAGAGAGAGAGAGAGAGAGGATAGTACTGGTGCTTTCCCTGCGAAAACTCGTGTTTAACCACTACATCGGAGCAAATGGCAAATGAGTTTTCCATGCATCACCACTTGCTCAAATTCAGTGGTAAACCATGGGTTTTTTTCCAGGGAAAGCATGGGGGGGGGACCCTGCTCAGACACAGAGCTTTAAAGATGTGCTTGATTGCCTTTTACGCTCATTGCAAACAAAGGGTTGCCGTAAGAGGGCTACCAGGATTGTGCTGAGACTCGTGATCTCTGTCCAGTGTGACAGAATTAGCACCCTTCTCCCTTTTTGTTCCTTTCATACATCTGAAGTTTCATCCAGGTACGGGTCTTATTTTATGACATTCTGTTCCGAGATGGGGGCAATTTTGTGATCTGTGACCATGCATGGATTCTTTTTATGCCTTTTGGATTTGGTGTGGGAAACTGAGCTAGGAGGACAGTCTCTTGAAGGTCATTGTGCCAGCCAGCCAGCCAGCTAGATTGATAGCAGGATATCCAACCAGTATTTCAGGCTAGTTCAGCTCCTCATTTTCTTCTACGTATGTGGAAGTATAACTTTTAACTATCATTTTCAATATGGAACACCTTGCAATGGGGAGACTTGTTATATTTTACCCGCAATTTGCTCCGCTGCTTAAATCACTCTAACCCTCTCCTGCCCCCTGCAACACACACACTACAATGACCTACCTACCAGCACTCTGAAATTGGAGATGTGCTTGATTGCACAAGGCTGTCTGCAGCCTTATTTCTAGAAGAAGATCCACAAATAACTTTAATCACATGTGGTATGTTTCTGATGCTGCTATCAGGAGGCGGAAAATGGATATAATGCTTCTATAATATCTCTAGATGCTGAGAAGGGAGGTATTTGACTGCGCAAAGCAGCCATTTATATTAAAGGTCGGTCAGGCTTTGGACTTGAGAGATTCTCAGCGGCTGGGGTTCACTCAGCATATAGAATTAAAGGTGAATTTCATATTTTAAGTTGCCGCTTTCTTCTCTCAAATTGCTTTAGAAAACAAAGATTTAGATCCCAGTGATGCAGTGACTGAGTAGGCAAACATGACAGCCGTTATGAGCTGAGCAATAACTCACTCTGCCTCGGATGCTAGAAACTCTTTTATTGAGACAGGCAATGGGGGAAAAATGAATTGCCATTTCCTTTAGGGCCCTGTACTGTGTACATTTTGTTTTTCCTAAGTGAATTCTTACGTAAGATGCAGTGCACCATTTTGCAAAGCTCTCCCGCATGACAATCCCTGGGTTGCCAGGTGGTAAGTGTGGGTGACTTTGCAGAGGTCCAACGAGGCCTAGATTGGTTTAAAGAGTCAAAGGTTTGTGGAATCATTTTGTATTTTTGTAGCAGGATGACCCATATCCAGTGCCAACAAACTGGCATTTTAATACATTCCTGGCTTCATATGAGTCAGGTTTCACCAGGGCTTGAGCACTGAACCGGTTTGAATATCAGGACTTGGCTGCAAAGGAATAAAAAAGACAACCTCAGCAACTTACTTATCACTCTCCATTCCTGACTCATCTGAGCTTAAACAGGACAGGCCTCCTGGTTTAGCAGGAATGATGTGGACATAGACTGGATCCTCACACCCTACTTTTTAATCAGTCAGTGGACACGTGTCCTGATACTTGGTTAGCAGCTCCCATGACATGAGCAGACAGCCATTTACCAAAGGGTAACGTGGGTGGCGCTGTGGGTTAAACCACAGAGCCTAGGACTTGCTGATCAGAAGGTCGGCGGTTCAAATCCCCGTGATGGGGTGAGCTCCCGTTGCTCGGTCCCTGCTCCTGCCAACCTAGCAGTTCGAAAGCACGTCAAAGTGCAAGTAGATAAATAGGTACCATTCCAGTGGGAAGGTAAACAGTGCACTGCTCTGGTTCACCAGAAGCGGCTTAGTCATGCTGGCCACATGACCTGTACGCCGGCTCCCTCAGCCAATAAAGCGAGATGAGCGCCGCAGCCCCAGAGTCGGCCACGACTGGACCTAATGGTCAGGGGTCCCTTTACCTTTAACTTTGCCAAATGGTGACTCAGCTGGATAGCTCAGTTGGCTAGAGCATGGTGTTGATAATGCCGAGGTTGCAGGTTTGATCCCCATAAGGGATAGCTGCATATTCCTGCATTTCAGGGTGTTGGACTAAATCAGTCTTTCCCAAACTTGGGTCGCCAGTGGTTTTGGACTATATCTCCCATCATCCCTAGCTAGCAGGACTAGTGGTCAGGGATTATGGGAACTGTAGTCCCAAAACAGCTGGCGACCCATGTTTGGGAAACACTGGACTAGATGATCCTCAGGATCCATTCCAATTCTATGAAGCTCATGAAAGACTTTAGTGTTCTCCTGCCAAGTGTTCGGAGTATACCAAGGGCAGCTGTGTGATTACATGATCATCAGCCCACCCACTGTAGAACAGTCTGGGAAAGTTATGTTGTGTAAAAGTACCCCCTGCCCACAGCACCAACCTGGGCAGTGTCCTAAATCAGCATGTGAAGCCATTAAAAGATCCAGCTATACTTTGCAACTACCTCCAGCTGCCTAAGCTAGAGTAAATTTGATATTGTGTCAAGGATGAGGTTCAGTGCTTCTGACTGAAAAGGAAGCAATGCTACTAGCACCAGATCTCTTGGCACTGTTAAATTGTATGGCTCAGGCTACTCAATTACTGCCTTCCACCAAGCTCCCAAAGCATACATATGTAGAGATTGCATGCATTGATTTCTACATACAGCCAGATTTTTCTAACCAACCTGGACAACTCAGGGTAGTTAATGATAGTTAAAGGCAACATCTGCCTCTGGAGGTGCTCAGCGTGTTAAAAGCTCAGTGTAGAAAGGAGAAAAATGAGAACAAATCCTCTAGTATCTGGATGTAAAAGACAGTAACATTGCTTTTCCTTTTCTTAGCCTCACACATGCAGAGTGCATAAGAACAGACTTCTGGATCAGGCCAGTGGCCTACCTAGCCCAGAATCCTGTACTCACAGTGTCCAGTCAGATGCCTGTGGGGAAACGCGCAAGCAGGACTCAAACACAAGAGCACTCTCGCCTCCTGTGGTTTCCACCAACTGCTTTTCAGAAGCATTGCTGCCTCCAGCTGTGAAGGAAGAACATAGTCATCATGGCTAGCAGCATCTGGTACCCTTATCATCCATGAATTTGTCTAATCCTTTTTTTAAAGCCATCCTAGATGGTTGATATCACTGCCTCCTGTGGCAGCGAGTTCCGCAGTTAAACTATACATTGCATTATGAAGTGCTTTCTTTTATCTGTCCCGAACCTTCCAACTTTCCGCTTTATTGGATGTCCATGGGATGTTATGAGAGAGTGAGAAAAAACTTTTCTCTGTCCACTTGCTCCATGTGATGCAAATTTTTACAAACATTGCTAATAATAGTAAGAAATAATTTTATTATTTATACCCTGCCCATCTGGCTGGGTTTTCCTAGTGCCTATGTCATCTCTTACTCATGTCACCTCTTACCTTTTCTCTTAACTAAAGCTGCATTTCCAAGTGACGTCCACTGCAGTCTTGGGTGGCTGCTAGGACAAGGTCCTGTACACAGTCAACTTCAGGTGGAAGGCATCACTCATCATCTGTTAGCCTGCCCTACCCAAGAGATTGCTTTCTGAAACCTTTGTTCACACAAGCAAGCAGACAGACCGCAGCAGAAATGATTGTTTCTTTTGAGTGATAACAATAGCTTCATAACTCTGTAATAAACAAAACTCTGCCCTTATTCCCTTATGGGGGACACAAGAGCCCTTGTAGAGTCCTTTGTAGGCTCTCCATCGGTAGGAGAAAATAACAGAGGCCAGCCAGAGAATATTGAGAAGCAAAGCAGCTCGTAAGCCTGATCTTTATTTAAATGTTGCAACAGGGTGCTCCCCTCACACACAGGAAAGGAGGAGGACCCAGAACCAAGGTGTGCCTGCCCTTATATAGACATTTTAAATTCCCTGCCCTGGAGCTCAAGACCACCCCTCCATACATCATACATACATCACAGAAGGGGTGTAACCCAAGACTACCCCCCACAAACATTATCCCTACATCACAGAAAAGGTGGTCTACAACAGAAATTTGAGTACATTGTTGAGTACACTGTCTGGCAGGTTACCTGTTAATGGTCATTTGATTGGATACCCTGGGGAGCCTGGCCAGTCTTTTGTAATGATAAATACTTAGTTCCTGAGCCAGGTCACAGGCTCACCCTATTCATACACAGACATACCCTTAAGACAGGATTTGTGAACGAAAAGACAAAGGGGAGGCTTTTCCATTTTCCTTCGACCTTGCAGAGAAATATTTGAGGTCAATTTGGGAGGGACAAAATGGTTTCAGGATTTTTTCTGTGGGGTTTCAGACATGTGGTTTATATATGCGGTTATGAACATTTCATATATATATATATATATATATATATATATATATATAACCTTAAATATTTTATTTCAACACAGAGAGCAGCCCTCTATGCACTGGCTGCAAAAGAAATAAGGAGAAAGGAGTTAGATAAAATCACTATAAATTGTTGTTGTATTTGGAGGTTTAATTGGAAATCAAGCTGGATTTGAGTTTGTCAACATCTCTGGTAACTGCTCTCTTACATCATGGAAGTATGGATGTATGTGATCTGTCTTGTTTTATTGGCTGGTACTGTTGCTGTGGGTTTGCCATGGCCTTTGGCTAGAACAATAAACTTAAATTGAATTCAAAAATACTACAACCCCAAGGTGTCATTCCTGGTCAGTCACCACCAGTTGAGACCCCCACAAGCATATTTGTGAATTTTAGATTTTTTGCTGAAAAAGTACCAAACCACATTCACCCAAAACTTTATTTTTTAATGTGGCTCCCTTAACAAGAGGGAGTTTTCTATAAAGGAAACCATTTTTGCCTCATGACTACTCAGAGGGTTTCAGTTCAGTTCCACTGATAGTGCTTGCATTGACTTTAGCATGCAAACAACAATTTCCCGCTTTGCCCAATGTTCGGGAATCTATTTCCAAAACAGTGATGTCCTTCAGATTATAGTCCGGGCCTTTTGTTAATGATTCACAATACTATGAGAGCTCAGGGTGCAACCTTCTTTTTTAAAAAGCTCACTCTCCAAAACAGGTACCTGGAGGTTTCCAAACCAAAAATGAAAAGCATTTGTTTTTATTAAAAGAAAATGTGGTTCCATCTGAGTAGGCTTTTTCCTCCTATGATTCTCTTGATAGCTTATCTACTATCATGTCAGGATACAGTTGCAGCACGCAGTAAGCTAACAGGATTGCCATCCCAGAGGTAAGTCTATCTCCATGTAATTTAAGATACTGCCTTACATATAGAAATTGCTGTCTATCTGGTCAGTGCATCAATTCAGACTGAGAATGAGGCATGTGGGTCCTATTACTTTTAAGCAGCTAGCAGAAAACGATTTATACAATAGTCCCATCACAATATGGTGAGAGGGCTGAAACATGAACCATTTTGAAGTCTTATAATTATACCTTTTTTAATACATTTCCTTCTGCACTACAATTTTTTCTCCAAGAAGATTTCATTCCTCAGTTCTCATCTTTCACATATTCTAATTTGATATGCAGCTTTTAAACTGCCGTTGTTTCATAACACAATGAGCTGATACGGTATTTCATATTATTTCGGTGATAATGAAGTAATTCAGACAAAAGTGAGAGAAAATATATCAAGATGCTGTTTCTTCTTTCTTCTTCTCCTTCAATATCTTATTAGATAATAAATAATAAATAATAATGTTGTGTGTGGGTTTGGGTTGTATGTATTTAAATCATGTATTAAAGGAAACTCTATGGGCCTTTTCCCAAGCTGCTAATTGCAAACTGGACCAAAAGAAATATAATGTAGAAAGATCAAAAAGTGGTATCAGTAATAATTGGGATATAGACGCAGGGAGGGGGGGAGGCAGCGGAAAGAAAAGATACATTTAATTATGAAGGCTTATTCTAGTAATCCTTACAGAAACCAAATAAAGAACAGATTTTTGATGTTTGATGAAGTTATCAAACAAAGCAGGATAATGAAGAGGCACATTTTAAATCTAGGTGAAGGTGAACTCACTGAATACTTTCTGGAAAGCTGAAGGATAGAGGCATCACATCTTTCTACCACCACAATATATGTACACACACACACACACACACACACACACACCCCTCTCTCTTTGTTTGACTGCTGCTTGTCCACAGACACCCTGCAATTTGATCCTACACACACTGATGTGTATCCACAGGCTCATCTCTTGAGCATTTGAGTTTTTCATTTAGTGTTCTTTCTTCTGTAGCTTCTGATGAATCTCTCTTCTAATTATCAGTAGAATTACCATAACTCTGCAAAAAGAAAAAGAAAAAAAATTACACAGTCTCCTAAGCAAAAAACAGCCTGTCTGTCACACGACAAAGCAGGCTCTAGCCTACAACACCTCACTCCTGCCAGGATAAAGTGTCAGTTTTTAAGGTGCCCTAGGAGTCTTTGCTGTTTTGTTCCGCTTGTTGGCGTTAACAGATGATAACCGATAATGATGGAGCTCTAGTCAGAAACTCAACAATAACATGTAATTCTGGGACCATCTCCTCCCCTTCTCCATCAATGAATAATCAAACTAGATGTGTTCCTTATTATGGAATATGTAGGATGCAAATCATGGCTATGTCTCACAGTGGGAAAATACATATTTTGCTTTGTTCTCCGTCTAGGCTCCTTTTAGAGGATATACCCCAAAGGGACACATCCTCACACTGTTGTAGCTTGCAGGCTCTTGTTAGTCACTTGACAGAATTTCAATGCGGGAAACACAAAGGACACAGATACAAAGAGCTTCTTTAGTTGTGCTCACTGGGACTTTTGCCCTCTTCCCCCTCCCTTCCTCCTTCCAACAGCAAGCTACTTATGTCATAGGAACATAGGAAGCTGCCTTATATCACATCAGTCTACTTGTCCATACATCCCTATGTTGTCCACTACAGGGGTGGAGAAACTGTGGCCAGCCAGATGTTGTTTGACTACAATTCCCATTAGCCATGACCATTGGCCTTGCCAGTTGGGGCTGATGTGAGGACCACAGGTTCCCCATTCCTGCTCTAATTTGACTAGCAGTGGATCTTGGGGATCCCAGGCACACCATCACCTAATACTGAATCTTTGTAAATGGAGACACCAGGGCCTGAACCAAGATGTTTAGGAGAAGGGCAGTAGCCCATTGGTTGCCAGGATCTCCAGCAGAGGCTGGGAGAGATTGCCTGTCTGAAACCCTGGAAAGATGCTGTCTGCCAACGTAGACAATATTGAGCTTGATGGACCAGGGGCACCTGAGGTGAAACTCCCCACTGCCACCCTGTGATGGGGGCACAAACTCTGTAACAAGTCTTCCTCGCTGGGGTGGTTGTCCTTTAGGGTTCTCTCACCCCTGCCCAGCAATGGGGCTTTGCTCCAGCTCTTCCCTTCAAGAGAAACCAGTGCAAAGCCCCATCACACCACTGTGTCAGTCTCTCTCTCTCTCTCTCTCTCTCTCTCTCTCTCTGTGAAATCTGCACCTGCACCCAGTGGCAAAGCGGGATGGTGGAATGCCTCCCCTCTCTGCCCTTAGGCATTCCACAGAGCTTTGCCACCAGCCTCTCTCTGCCGGCTAGACCAGTGGCAAAGCTGGGGAGCTGAACAGGTGTGCCACCCCTTGAGGGGATGCCAACTGAGGTGGCCACCCCACCCAGCCTCATGGGCTGGTTGGGTCTGAGATGGACTAGTGGGTTTGACTTAGTAAAGGACAGCATATGGAGGATGTACCTCTCCTATCACACAGTGTTTTTTTAAGTCTTGTCAAGATACAAAGGTTGTTTCCCATGCAGCATGGGGAGGGGCAGGGGGAGATAAGAGTACCATTGTTCCTGCTCAAGAAACACAAGACCAGAGTCCTAATCCCATTTGGGGGATGTTGATATTCCATGCCCAAAATTCTCTGTCAGGGGCAGCTCAGGAGTTCATGTCTGCCATGGCAAACATGGGTCTGTCCCAGATAATTTCAGCAGTGCCCTCTCAAGATTTGGACTTTGTGCTGGATGGGATGAGGGTAATCTGAGGGTGGAGGAACATGATATAGTTCCATGGTCATGGACAGATGACCTGCTCAGGTCAGTCCATTCACTGAGGCCCACCTTTATGTCTTAAATAGCTATGGGTGAATCTGTCAGTTTTAGTTCTCTCAATTCCTCATTTTTCCACTCTTAGATTCAATTCTCTATATCTATCTATCATCTATCTATCTATCTATCTATCATCTATATCTATCTATCATCTATCTATCTATCTATCATCTATCTATCTATCTATCTATATCATCATCTACCATCTCCTCACAAAAATGCATTAGCAGTTTAGTGTGAATTCCTACTAATAAACACATTTTTGTATGTACTTTTGACTGGTATGCACATTGTTTGAAGCAGTTTCCCCTAAGGTAATGCAATGTTGCATGTTACTTTCACTTCTGTATGCATATTGGTGCACATTGGAAAACTGAATCACAAAATTCAGAGATGTGCAACTTGCAAAAGATATTTGGGTTTCAGTTCAGGTATTGGTTTGAGGACTGTGAAATAGGTAGCTGCTCATTAAATGAAACATGGGGGGGAAACACCTCTCCCATGCCATTAGTTTCAGCATCCCCTGAAATGTACTTACTTGGCTGGGAGAAAGCATTTTCTGCACTCAGGCAGTTGCTTCTGGGGGAAACACAGTCACACTCCTTCTTTAATGGCCATCAAGAACTTACCAAAAAAGCAAAGAAACACATTCTTTTAAAGGCTTCTTTGGGATGGAGAGCCAGTGTGGTGTAGTGGTTAAGAGCAGTAGACTCACAATCTGGGGAACCGGGTTCGCGTCTCCGCTCCTCCACATGCAGCTGCTGGGTGACCTTGGGCTAGTCACACTTCTTTGAAGTCTCTCAGCCCCACTCACCTCACACAGTGTTTGTTGTGGGGGAGGAAGGGAAAGGAGAATGTTAGCCGCTTTGAGACTCCTTCGGGTAGTGATAAAGCGGGATATCAAATCCAAACTCTTCTTCTTTATTGTATTAGTTCTTATCTGCATCTTTTGGAGTCACTTTTACTGCAGCTGTTTCTGTGTTGTTATTTTTACGGTTCTCCTTAGTTTTTTGTAGCTGATATTTTAAATGGTTGAATTATGGTTTGACTTTGTTGCTAGCTTCCCTTACTTTTTTATGAGGGAGAAAAGGTTATACATGTTTAAAATAAATAATTAAAACTCAGCTCATGGTGCTAGCTGCATTGTTATTTGGGTAAATCCCAGATTTTCACCCTTCTTGCAGCAGATATGATGTCTGTCTGTCTGTCTGTCTGTCTGTCTCTCAGACTATCTATCTAACTTGTTGAATCCATAGCCCAGATTAATGGTTGTGTCTTGGGTCATGTTTGGCTCATGCATTTCAAAGGAATCGTGTGAGCACCTTCATCTGAAAAGATTTAATGGGGATTAATCACCCATCCTGCCTTTTCAGAGTTGAACAGGATCCGACACAATCCTGTCGGATATCTCTGGAGAATGTTGCAGTTACTGTGTAATGGAAAGGCTCAAGAGATCACTCTAAAAAGTGTATCCATGAGCTTCAAACATTATCTTAGAAATTACCTTTCAGCTCAGGATGGGTAACAAAAGCAGCTGATGTCATGTATTGTGCATGGGCCCTGTGAAGCTGATTGCCAGTCCACCAGTTTTAGGGAAGGGAGGAAGGAAGGCAGGAAATAGTAACTTTCCAAAGACCATTCACAGGCCAACTTTTCAGGCCCAAGTCCAGCATTCTAGCTACAGTACCGTACCGTTGGCTTTTGAAGCCACAAAGACTGCCCAACAGTTGTTTGTATTGCAGATGGCACTGTTTTTAAAAGCCTATTTTACTTGGATTGGAATGGATTTAATTCATCTGCATCTACACATTTAATCTGCTTGCATTGGAATTTATTATTGATTTTGTTGAGCTTTAAAGGAAACCCACAGGACACAGTATATTTTCATGGAGAATTTCTGACACATTTTTATCCGTTCTAGTCCTGAATGTTAAATTTGGCCTCATGCCTAATGCTTCCTGGTTTTATATGGAATTTGTTACAGGATCAGGAAGAATTCAGAGTGAGTAATGCACTCTGTATTATACCTCACCAATGGGAATACGAAATCAGTTAATTTTGTTTTAAATGGACAGGCTTATGTGGGCCTATTCACACAGCCATTCCCAGCTATAGTTGCTATGTAAAACTCTGATGTATGCCCAGCCTTCATTCACCTACTAATATACATATACTGCCACACACAGAATCCAGCTTTTGATACACTATCACAATATCTGTGACCAATAGACTGGGATCTTATGGGCATAAGATGTAGAGTTGTCTTTACCAGGGCATCAAAGGCACATCAAAGGCAAAACCCAGGATGCCAGCTTCTGGGACTCCCTGTTTTTCCTCATGAGAGGATGATGGCCATTTTGGGTGCTGCAATCTCACGTGATTTTACCCCCAGAAAGCGTGAAATTACATGATATCATGGTGCCCCAAATGGCTGCTGTCCTCTTGTAAGAAGAACTGCTTTTGATTTCAGGTGTGCAGGCAAATTGTAGACATGCAGTTCATCCCTTGAAGCATAAATCAGGCACATACTGATGTGTGTTCGTTTCACCTACATGTTTTGAAGCATTATCCAAATGTGAATTGCTGTTTAATTTTATTTTGCTATTGTAATGCAGTGGCTGCCGTGCACTTGGAAATGTCATTATCTTGGCACTTTGGTGCTGAGATGCTGTGAAAGAAGCCAAAAACAGGATTTGATTGTAACCTTCTAATTTTTTGGCATCTCTCCACTGTGCTTCAGGTTGTTTTGCTGCTCTTTCCCCTAACACAACTGAGTCATATTTTCCCCCTAGTGCTGGGGGGGGGGGAATTAACATCCAGAATTATTTATACACATAATAGGACCCCACAGTAACATCCATATGTATTTGTGCACATAATGCACAAATTATGTGCAACCCGCATGCAGAGGCATATTTACACATTGATCTCCCATTACCACCTGTGCAAGTTTAAGTTGCTCTTGAAGCAGTAATAATAATAATAATAATTTTTTATTTATACCCCACCCTTCCTGGTTCAGAAAACTGGGCTCAGGGCGGCTAACAACAAATTTAAAACCTTAATTGATGCAACCAAAAACAGCATAAAATACAGTATAAAAGGTGAATAACAATAAATTCAGAATTCAAAAATCAGTTTAGGGGGAAAATCCATCCAATAAACATTGGATGATCACCAGGGCTAGTATTGGGAAATATTTTTCATCTTCACTCTTGCGTTACACATGAAGGTGGCATTCCAATCTAGAAATCCATTGACCCATCCCTTCTGAAATGGGAGGACACGGTGTAATCCCCCTACCATGTACTATCATTTCAGCAGGAGAAGTGGAGTTAGAGAGAGCTCTGTAGAAGTACTGATGAACTTGCTGGCCTTTGAACTGAGTGCCTCCACCTTATCATTGCTTTCTTATCACTCCATCTGACTCTGATGTTCAGAGGTGAGTGCCATTCCTTACATATCAAAAAGGGCACCAGCCATGCACTAGAGGGTGACATCAGTAGGCTTGGACGAACCCCAAGGTGTGCAGACATACAAAAGGCTTTCAGAAGGGAGCGAAGAAGACGGGAACCCCCACACAGCCCACTGAGACCTGAGGGTGCTCAGTGTCCATGGGATGTTTTTGGAGTGTGTGGGTGGGGGGATGGAGTGGCTGGAATCTTGAACAGCATCACTCCACACTGCAACATTTTGCATGGTCAGGTTTCAAAAGCACCCAAGAAGCCTCTATGTACAGCAAGGTCTGCAGATGCTCATCTTCCCACATGTGGGTGGCAATGTGGCAATGCAGCAGGGTGGAGGGCAGTGAATAGACTCCCATTAGAATTCTAATTGTATCAGGCTTCTCTGTGCATCACCAGGTGGCCCCAGTTGGGAATGCACATAAGAGGGTGGACAATCACACTGGCTCCCCCAAGAGATGCTTACTTCCAAAAACAGATTTATTCTGCTGGATTGGGACTGAATTTAATTTTTCTTACATTTGGTGACCATCAACAAAGGACACCCACATATATGCATTGTGGAAATATGGTATTTGCAAGTATTTGGTGCTTTCTCTAATGACTGCTGAGAAATAACAGCTTTTCATCAAAAAACACATATAATTACACTTCAACCATTTCCTTACTAATATGTCATGGGAGTCCCTTTGAAACCTCACATATAAACTTCTGTCACTGTAAAATTGACTCTGTGTTTGTGTATGTGTGTGTGTGTGTGTGTGTGTGTGTGTGTGTAAGTGTGTAAACTGAGTCTAATTTATTAAAAGTTGCTCTCTGCCCAGGGGCCTTGAGAATAAGGGTGTGGTCCTAAGATATAGGGGCTGCGGAGACTGAAGCTAGTTTAACCACCTCTTCACCGGACATCCTGCTGGGCTCTGGTGAGGGTGGAGGAATGCTCTACTTCTCCATCTGTTTCTAGGCATCAGGTTTTTTCAACCCCCCCCCCCCTTGTTTTCTCTCTCAGTGGGAAGGGAAAGAGGAGGAAAAGGTTTAGGCACACTCAGGAACCTGTCTAAATCCCCCACCCCACTTCCTGTAGTCAGTGCTTAGGCCTGAATTAAGGCAGGACTGTCTGAGAGGTGCTCAGTGAAAGATCCTTTCAAAAGGTATCTTGGGGCCCCTCAGCTGTAGATATTAAATCTATTGCAGCCATGCGTATCCTGCTGAAACTGATTTCCACAGGGAGCGTGCAATATAGGGACTTTCAGCATTGCCAATCACTTTTATTCTCCTCAGGAGATCAAGAAGACAAGCTGGAACACCTGCTCCCATCGATTGCCGCCTAAGTCAGTGGTCAGGATGGACCGAATGTTTCCCTTGTCAAGGAAGAAAAGTAAGGCTCCACTCAAATATATCCAAGCATTCTTTATAGCTGGCTGCAGTGAAAATAGACACAAACTTTGAACACAAAGGGCAGTATCCAACCTCTGTCCCATCGGCACAAGGATTTCCAGAGGCACAATGGGACCTCCCACCTCTTCTTCCTTGTACAACCCATGCCTTCCCCAAATCTTCTCCAGAGGGTTAGGGAACCCCTGGAACAGATTTGAGAGGGGGGTGCATCAGGGGAACAGTGTCGCATTGCATAAGTGAAAATCATTGCATTGGTAGAATGGTGACTTAACACTACACTGAATACAAGCCAGTGGTTTACAGTTGAAAACAGATGCATGTTTACCCAAGCCCATTAAAACCAATGGGCCTAATCTAAGCTGAGAGATGGAGTGTGGCCTATGTGACCAGCAGTTCAACAAAGCAGGATGCCCATGAAGAATATAAGAAGAGCCCTGATAGAATGGAGACAGTTTCGTATATGCAAGGCAACAAACACATGGAGTGCACGGGGCAAGCCTCTTGCACAGACAAGTAGTCTGTAGACACATATAGTAGAACTCTCAGTCATGTGACATTCTATCATGACTGGATTGGCTTTCAATCAGCCAATGAAGTTACTCTTCCATTTAAGATATTGGGAATGATTTGACATGCATGGAAAAAGTCAATTGCAAATACTTCTGCTGTGTTGTTAACCTTTTCATCCCTTCACATTTCTTCCCTATGAACTTCAAATTGTGTTTTAAGTATTTTTTTGGTTTTGGCAGGCATAGCTGTACTGATAAAGCCTTAATTTGTTTTACATTTTTAATACTTAAATAATTAATGCTTGCTCTTGCTAGGTTAAAATATTGTATAGATCTGTTTTTATTGCCTCCTGATGTTTAATTCAAATTTTATCATTTTGTATATATATATAATTTATGGCAGATATCCATTTAAATTTTTTTACAAATGCATATTATAGCACAGATATCGAACTTTGCAACAGCCAGCCAAATACAAGGGGAGCATATGTACCGGCCACCTTTGGAATGAAGTTGCGTGCCAGTCAGCAGGAGAATGTATTGTGAGCCAAGACTGTGGAGCTGATTTTCGGTGTGAGGAGACTGGTGAGTATGATGCCATTACAGATCCATTAACTGATGCAGTGATACTCCTTCACACCATTAACCCATTTCAGGAATGCAGAAAAGGTACTGATCTACTGTTCCATGCAATAAAGTTAAAGTGGGGCACAGTGACATCTAGGGAAAGAAGGAATCACCTAAGAATCTGCCAAAGCCAGCCCTATCATGTAGTAGCATGAGGTGAGCTTGATCCAAAGGTACCTACCTGCATGCGTTCAAAAGGACAATGTGTGCAGAGAGTGCTCTGCTGCATATGCAGATTCTGGAATGACTGCCTGACCAGCTGCACTGTATCCTCATTTGTGCCAATCTCCACATGTGTAACATTTTGTGCATGCAACAATAGATCTGCAAATCTGCAGCTGCAGGGCCAAGCTAACCCTGGACTTTGGCCCAAATGGTGCCCTCTGGGTACAGATTTGCTGAGCCACTGGTACACCAATTGCTTTCTTGTCTGCTCCTCACTCAGGTTGAGTGCTGTATGGCAAAGCTGTTGTTATAGTGTGAAAAGCCACACCTGCCTTTTTCTTCAGGAACACTTTCCACACTGCTGGCTAAAGCAGGAGAAGGCAGGAATCTACTCTTAAGGATGTTCCTTGAGTGTTCGTGCCTTAGCCATCATTATTGCAACAAATTTCTCAAGCACATTCTGCAACATCACAGCGCCAGCCCATTCTTTAAGCTGACAGTGTTCATTTCTCCAAAAAGTAGCAGCAGGAGACTTTTAGGCTTATAGTTGCTTTTAAAAACCATAAGCAGGGATAACAAATGCATCCTGGGAGCTTTGACAAAGTGAACCTGACAAGGAGAAGCACACGGTCTATTCATAATCCATTATTTAGAACTGAAAAGGTGCCCAGCTAAAGCTTTTCCTGTCTTACCGCAGTGGTAGAGAACAGGGAAAGTTTCAGGATTCCTTCTGCAACTAGTTTTGGGAGCACCCTTGAAGCGATGTGCTTTCCTTCATTCATACAAAGAGAGATCTCCAAAGTCCAAAGTCTGGAATGATAAAGAATACAGTAAAGCGTCTTGAACAGGAGATTCTTGTAATGAGTGTGTAGTTCACTAAATCATAGAGTTGGAAGGAATCCTAAGGGTCCCTAGTCCAACCACCTGCAATGCAGGAATCTCAACAAATTCAGTCACTATATAGTTCAGTCCCTAGGTGGCACAGGTGAGGGGCTATAGTTCAGTGGTAGAGCATCTTCTTTGAATGCAGGACATCACAGGTTCAATCTCTGGCAACTCCTGGTAGAGTTGGGAGAGGACCCTGCCTGAAATCCTGATGCTGTTAATTAGTATAGACCTCTCTCAACATTGGTTCCATAGATGTCGTTGGACTACAACAACCATCATTCTTAACCAGCATGGCCAGTGGTCAGGGATGATGGGAGGTGTAGTTCAAAAACATCTGGGAACCCAAGGTTGAGAAAAGCTGATGTAGACCATACTGAGCAGGATGAAGCAATGGCCGGATTCCTTATCAGGCAGTTTCCTGCATTCGTATGTACATTTATGGATGGAGTCTAAAGTTTCCTGTTGCTGTTTTGTTCTTGTTTAAGGGAGACAAGAAAGTTATTGTCTAGTTTCCTGGCTGGTCTCTCTCTCTCAGCCTCCAATAAGTGAGGCCCAGTTGCCAATGCAGGGCTGAAACTGAGCCCAAACATTTGACCCTCTGTTAGGACCAACACTTTTCAAAACCTTGCTGCAAACACACATTCCTACTTCACCTATCTTCTCATGGTTGCTTCATCCTGAAGCATGGCAAGGTGTGTTCTGCCCATTGCTTCCTCCCAGTGATACCTTGCAGGTATGGTTAAAAGGTGTTACAGCAGCTTCTAGCCCAGAAATAATCAGGTAGCACAAGGGTCCCTATAGTAAGGTTACCAGACGTTCCCGTTTCCCAGGGACAGTCCCCAGATTTACAAATCAGTCCCTTGACAAAATCCATCCATTCCGACTGAAGTTGGAAAGTGTCCCTGGATTCATTGAAAAAAATCTGGGGACCTTACCCTATACTTACTGTGAGAAGCCAAGTTACAGGGAACCAGGCAGAGGGCCTTCTTGGTAGTGGCACCTGCCCTGTGGAACACCCTCCCACCAGATGTCAAAGAGAACAACAACTACCAGACTTTTAGAAGACATCTGAAGGCAGCCCTGTTTAGGGAAGCTTTTAATGTTTGATGCATTACTGTATTTAAATATTTTGTTGGAAGCCGCCCAGAGTAGCTGGGTAAGCGCAGCCAGATGGGCGGGGTATAAATAATATATATCTAAATAATATATTATTATTATTATTATTATTATTATTATTATTATGCCCTACAAAGCAACATCTGTTGTTTGGGTATGGATTAACCATTCTGTTGCCTTCAGGAGACCAGCCTTGAGAGGTACTGGCAACTGGTTGCAAAACAAAACCCATTAACTTCAGAGTACAGTGGTACCTCAGGTTACATACGCTTCAGGTTACAGACTCCGCTAACTCAGAAATAGTGCTTCAGGTTAAGAACTTTGCTTCAGGGTGAGAACAGAAATCGTGCTCCGGCGGCGCGGCGGCAGCAGGAGGCCCCATTAGCTAAAGTGGTGGTTCAGGTTAAGAACAGTTTCAGGTTAAGTACGGACCTCCGGAATGAATTAAGTACTTAACCCGAGGTACCACTGTAGCTTGTAAAGACATAACAATTCAAATTCTAAGTGCTTTTCGCTGTCAATATAAAAAGACACCTGGAGTCATGTGCAATTTTGTACACGATATCTTGTTGCATTTGACTGGGAAGTCTGAATAGGAAAGGAAATTCCATGCCACACGCACAAAGCCACTCCTGTTCTCAACATAGTTCTCTTTGAGTATTCTTCACAAAGACCTCCTGCTCAGTTAGAAAGTGATAACAGCACAACCTGAGCAAGGTCCTACACTATCTTTGTGATTTGGTTTAAGTGAATCATTAAGTCCAGCCTTATCTAGCTAGAGCAAACATGGATTCTAGAAATGGATAACAAATCTTTATCTGTGTTGCAGGTCGCTGCATTAAACGCCACCTTGTATGCAATGGAGAACCGGACTGCAGAGATCAATCTGATGAGGCAAGTTGTGAGGATGCTGAAAGATTCTGTGATGATCTGGATCCAGTCCCCGGGATCAGTAAAGTTGCACAGGGGTGAGTTGCCATACCCAAGTACTATGGTTCTTACACATGATTTAAGCATTGGGAAATGTTCTCTTTAATTTTAACTTGCTATGTTGTGTAGTTTAGAGAACTCCCAAGTTTTAAAACTTCTTAAATAAAGGAGAAAAATTGGAGTCCATGTGTTTATTTATTTTCATCCACTTTGTCTTATCATTCATGAGCAAATTGTGCCTGTTTTGCTCTTCCACATGAGCACTGGCAGAAAACAAACCATGATCCCTCACTCTGCATTAAATTCAGATCAGGAATTGTGGTTTGTTATACTCAAACTACAATTGATGAGCCAAGAAGGAAACAAGAAGGATTGTATGGAGTGAAAGTGAGTCTCTCTCTCTCTCTCTCTCTCTCTCTCTCTCTCTCTCTCTCTCTCTCTCTCTCTCTCTCTCTCTCTCTCTCTCTCTCTCTGTGTGTGTGTGTGTGTGTGTCTGTGTGTGTGTGTAAGAGCTCTAGCAAACTCTACTTACATGCCTGCTCCTGTCTCTTTTGCTCCTGAAAGATACAATATCCTTACACAAAAAGAGGCTCAGATAGTGTACGATCCTGCATTCTATGGAGGCCAGTGTGAATCTGTCTATAATGGAGAATGGCGAGAATTGAAGTATGATGCAGCATGTGAACGTCTGTATTACGGGGATGATGAGAAATATTTCCGAAAGCCATATAACATCCACTACTATCAGTTTCTTGTAAGTATTTGTAGGCCAACATTATCGGTAAGGCTGAGTGGGCAATTGGACCTCAGCCAAATATAGACCCTTGCAACACGTGAGCTCCTCTGAAGTTCCATACCATCTACTGCTACCTTTTAAAAATTTCCACTGTCCAGAATATCACATTAGCATGTGATATCAGTTTTAGGTGTTGTATATTTTGGGGGGGCATTCTCTTTATTACATATTATCCACATATCAACCAGATAATATGTGAGTGCGGAAGCATATGCAGATACCTCTGAACCCTTTCTAGCAGATTTATCTGTAAGACACTTACCAGTTGGGGCCCCCACGCATCTTTCCTCTACCAAACTTGGACGCCACGTGCAATGCTTTTGATGTGCACACCCCTCTATACACTGGGCACAAATGGCTTCTCAAAAGTCTCCTACTTGAGGATAGAGACATCAGGGAGACCTGATTTCTCCAGGGGAAGGATAAATTATCCTACCATTTCCCAGTGGTAAGGCTTACCGTTAGAAGTGACAGGAGCACAGCTCTTTTCTTTTGTGCCTCCTAAGTGGGGTTTTTTTGAGGGGTTGCTGCCACTGCAGGTGACATGACACCTCTGGCAAATGGCAGTCAGTGATTGTGTTGGCAGCCTGGCCCCCATTTTGTATCTTCTGAAATGGCCTGAACTCCGGCATTGTTCTGGGGCACTGGGGTGGGGAAACAGTGGCCTCCATCAAAAAATGGCGGAAACAATTCTGAAAAGTAGTCTCCTTTCTTCCACCATGCCCTTCCTGATCACATGTTTAATCAGGGGGGTGGGAGCAGGGAGGAAGAAGGAATGGCAGTGGAAACACTCCAGCTGAGAACAGAGGGCTTGCTGCTGCAGGTCCTGCTTGTCCAGGGTCTTCAGGAAGGCTCTTGAAAGGCAGTTCCCTGCAGCATCAAAACCCCCGAGGGTTGCATGCGAAGATGCTCTCTGCTCTCTGACCAAGAGCATGGAGCTCTGATTGAATCCTCTGTGGGCTGCACAGGGGTCCGTGCACAATTCTCTTGAAAGCGCTCTTGCAGAGGGCTTTTGGGCAGCCCCTTGCTTCTGGTTGAGCCTCTGAAAACCCGGACTGATCAGGATTTCAGCCCCATTCATCAGCTGATGAACAGAGATTGAATCCCGCTGCCTTGGTTGCACAGCCCTGTTCCCTGCTGGAAACTGGAGTATGTGACCAATGCAGGATTTAACCCCGTCCTCCCACACTGTGGTAGCAGGAAATGGGCATGGCTTTAGGGAAAATGGCCTTGTGGCCCAAACTGGGCTCCCTGGTAGGCGAGGATTGGCCAAAGAAGTAGAAGTTCCCCAGCCTCATTATAGAGGCTAACCACACAGACACTTCATCCAGTCATATAAAATCCTTACAAAAATGCAACAATGAGTTAAAACAAGATGTCATCCTGGTGCATCATTTGAAACGATTATGCCACCAAACTTTAGCATTTTTTTTTTAAAAAGTCTTGCAGTACCACTGAAAACTGCTCAGGCTTGGTTTTTGTTGAGTCTCCAGAGCAAAGGAGAATCATCCCCCATTAAGCCAATATGCTAATCTAAAATATCTCCATCCAGCTAAGATGTTTCTCTTTTCATTTCAGGCACATGCTGATTCTGGCTTTTCTTCAGAGTATTTTGATGATGCCAAGGACCTACTGAATGCCATAAAAAAGGACACCTCTCGAAGTTATGGCTTTACATTTGGCATAAGCCCTGAAGATGTCCCTTTGACTCTGAGTATAGGCATTGGCTTATCAAAGGGTCAGGGGACCCTGAGAAATTTTACTGAATACGCAGCAAAGGTAATGAGAAAGCAGGCGGAGGGGCCTTCTTACTCCTGCGATGCTAAATCGCCCAAACACTCTGTTACTGATATTGCTTTATTTCCCTGCCCACATGTTTTCCCCTTGAAACAATAATCATCCTACCTTAATTTGTTCATGTAATTGCACGTGTGATCATTAGCAATTCTGTTTGCCTTCCTTATTACACTGAAGCAAACAGAAGCATTGTAATGGGAATGAAATTGAATTACAAGTAGAACAACGCATGCCATCTCGCCCCATCCCTCCTGTTTCATGGTGACATTAAGTATATAAATGAGTAAGTGCTTGGAGTGGCGAACAGAGTGGGGGAATTTAAAGAACTGCACATCAGCAACAGTTGTCTTTGGGGAACATGTCCCAATGTCACAAATATATCTTGTTTAAATTAGTGCAAACCTGAGTGAATGGCTGCGAGAAGCATTTGTTTTCTTAATGGATATGAAATCTTTGGGAAATCCAGAGATGTAAACAGAACTGGGCTTTGTGTTTTGTCTTGCTTAAGCGTGGAAACCTTGTGTAATGGGTAGTTGCAAGCAGGGACCTATGGTAAAAAAAGGTAAAGGACCCCTGGATGATTAAGTCCAGTCAAAGATAACTATGGGGTCTCTTGCTTTTCAGGCCAAGGGATCCAGCATTTGTCTATGAACAAATGGATGAGGGAGCACAGATTGAATTGTAAGGGAGCAGAAAAACTACCTCCCCAAATTAAATTATCAGCTCTGCAACCCTTGCAAGCCCTTTGATGTCTGAAGAATACTTTCCTGAAGTTCCTGAAAGGATCTGCAGGGAGAGGGGCAGTTAGGCTTGGAGAATTCATAGTACATGGCATGTATCCTTTGGTCCCTGCCTTGCATATCACCACTAGCTGTCCTCAAGGTCATAATTAATGGTAAAGGGACCCCTGACCATTAGGTCCAGTCGTGGCTGACTCTGGGGTTGCGGCGCTCATCTCGCTTTACAGGCCGAGGGAGCCAGCATACAGCTTCCGGGTCATGTGGCCAGCATGACTAAGCCGCTTCTGGTGAACCAGAGCAGCACACAGAAACGCCGTTTACCTTCCTGCTGGAGTGGTACCTATTTATCTACTTGCACTTTGACGTGCTTTCAAACTGCTAGGTTAGCAGGAGCAGGGACCGAGCAACAGGAGCTCACCCCATCACAGGGATTCGAACCGCCGACCTTCTGATTGGCAAGTCCTAGGCTCTGTGGTTTAACCCACAGCGCCACCCACGTCCCCTAAGGTCATAATTACATAACCAAAACTCTGTAGCTTAGGATTGTTCCACAAAGAAAAGAAAGATATAGTCAGCCCTGCAACAGGCGAGATCTTTTCATTCATTCGTACTCTAATACTAGAGTTGCTTCTCCATCTTTAGAAATTATTTCCTTCAGTTTGCTGTTTAATCAGATGATCATTATCCACAGCATCATTTTAGATCACCAACTGGGAAAAGTTCTCAAGCATACCAACATGTGTTGCTTCATGCTTGAAATAAACTGGGATTGTATAAAATGGGGTAGAAAACCTTGTTCACTCTGAGGGTCACATTCTCCTGTGGAGAACCTGCTAGGACCCACATGCAAGTGATGCACAGGGCCAGAGGCCAAAGGATGTGACTCTTCCCTTTGTATAGCAGGCTACGTTCTAGCTATGCAACACTCAGAGGTTTATACCCACACACTCCTTTTTGTCCAGGCTTCAAGGGAGTTTATCACTGTTCAAACACATTGTAGCTTGGCAATAAAATTTGAGGGGGGTGCAGAGTAGGCTGGTAAGGAGCATGGTCTGGCGAGGGGGAACTGCCTAAGAAAGAAGAAGAGGAGGAGGAGGAGTTTGGATTTGATATCCCACTTTATCGCTACCCTAAGGAGTCTCAAAGCTGCTAACAATCTCCTTTCCCCTCCTCCCTCACAACAAAGAGTCTGTGAGATGAGTGAGGCTGAGAGACTTCAGAGAAGTGTGACTGGCCCAGGGTCACCCAGGAGCTGCATGTGGAGGAGCAGAGATGCGAACCCGATTCACCAGATTACAGGTCTACCGCTCTTAACCACTACCCAAGGGCCAGGTAGAGAGGTATGGAGGGCCAAATTTGCCCTCCCCCCAAGGTTCTGCACCCCTGGTATAAGAGCACAGCCTTGCCCTATTGGTCTCTTTTGGTGCCCACCAAAAAGAAAGAAGGATATAACTTCAGAAAAAAGTGGGTAAACTATGTATTTTGCCCTGCTTCATCTACAGAATGTTGGATTTATTCGAGCTCTTACCAAAGTACAGACAGCCCGTTTCAAGATGAGAAGAGATGACATCGTCCTGGATGAGGAGATGCTTCAGTCTCTGATGGAGCTTCCAGATCGGTACAACTACGGAATGTATGCCAGGTTCATTAATGAGTATGGCACCCACTTTATGACATCTGGGACCATGGGAGGCATATTCGAATACATCCTTGTGGTCAACAAAGATGAGATGAGAAAAAAAGGTTTGCAGGTTTAATTTATTCTACCCGCTTGGCACATTGTAGGATGCTAGAAACTAATTTCTTGATACACGTGAAGCATATTGATCAGCAGTATGTTGTAATGACCCAGAAACTCAAGATTCCTATTCAACACACTGCTCTTTTATTCAATGATGTTATGAACTTGCATGCCCAAACTTGTTTCTTGGAATTAATAAATAATTTCCTTCCAAGTATAGCAAAAATAACAGCAATGATAACTCCAGGAATTTCTTGTCTTTAGCCTTGAAATTTCTGCATTTCAAAGCACACGAGACAGCATCCTGCAGACAGACCTAGATAAATTCAAAAGCATTTCTTGACTCATAAAGTGTAAACAAACAATGTTTTTGGCATTGCACCTACCATTTTACACAAGGTGGCTTTCAAACTGCAGAATGACAGAGTTCTGCTAGCTTCAGCTTTCAGCAAATGAAGGCATCCAAAGACAGCATAGTTCTGCCTACACTTTGTGTTCATGTAGCCAAGCTTCTGCAGTTGTTGCCATGCACATTTCATGATAGTTGAAGCATAAAGCCTTCTAATCATCAATGGGAAATTTCCTATAATAACATGATTCTCTTGTTCATTTTTGCAAAGCCATCTACTGTGTTGTAAAACCCAGAACCTGCTGTGCCTTTGGTGATACCAGTATATTAGTTATTCACATTCTCTTCCAAAGGTTCTGGTTTGGTGACTTCATTCTGGGATTCTCTATGGAAAAGGGTGACATCAGCAACACCAGGCTTAGCCAGGTATCTCTAATCTTAGGAAGACTAGTTCAGCATCCCTGGTCTTCACAGTGTGTCTTGGCTCCCACCCAAAACATAGCAGCAGGTGCACCTGGCAAGGAAGCAATGCTTTATTAAAGCAGATTAACAGCGCAGATTCAGTTGCAAGGAAAGATCCAGATATAGTCCAGAAGGTTTTGCAAGGCAAAGGGTTAGCAGGGAAAGTCTGGCCTAAGAGCAAGGGCTAGGGTTCATGAATCCAAGATAAGTAGTGAGAATTGCATAGCTGCACAGGAACTGTGAAGTTTTTCCAAGAAGTTTCCCCACCTACTCACCAAGCAGAGGCAGAGAATGCCCAGGTACTCACAAGAATATTGGTTCTTTGCAGAAACTCCTGGCACATAATTAAATGTGTGTAAGTTTAGGGGTTACTGTCCTCAAAGTGAATCCTGACGCACTGTAGCCTTTGTTTATTTATTTGAATGATTTATATCCCAGCTTTCTATGCTGAAGTGTACTTAAGGTAGCTCATAATAAAGCAAATTGGCAACACCATCATGGGCAGGGACCATCACTAGCAACTCACTAGCAAGTTGTGCACTCTGTTATTGCTCTCTTTGTGCCACTGCCTACGTCTTTGTCAAACCTAGATTAGGGTCAGCAGGATTCCCAGTGATTTTCTGGATGAGTTTCTCTGTTTCCCATTTTTCCAATCTTTCCAATCTCAGTTCTCCACATTTCCACAACAGCCTGTGATTATCTTTTTTTTTTTTTTAAACCCTCCTAAAACTCACTGGCATTATAGTGACGATTTCTCCTAATATACACATATTTGTATGCAGTTCTGCCTAATATACATTTTTGCAAAGCAATTTCATCCCTATTATAGTGCATTTTCATCTGCTATTTTCACTAACGTTTATACACTCTTTACCACCATATTTAACTTTTTTGTACACATTCCTTGGCTGGAGAACTGCATTTCAAAATTTGGAAGAAATGTGAATTTTGAAGGAGGCCTGTATTTGAGTCCTTTTATTGTTTAGGAAAGTGTGGATTAGGTCAGTTCACCAACTGAATTGAATCCCCGTTCCTGCTTGGGAGTAGGGAGACTGCTATAAAATTCACGGTCCCCTGCCAGCTGACTGCAGCCTATCATCCCTCCTTCTCTCCCGTTCATTTATTTGTCCTTAATATTCTTGGGAAAGTGTCTTTCCTGGACATGAAGGCTGAATGATAAAGAAAAGAGCTTGCCAAGAGGGGCTTCAGGAAGCTGACTGCCAAGTGAAGAGGAAGAATGAATTAGCAGCATCTAGACAGAACCATTATTTTACTTTATATTTTGCTTACTGTATTTCAAAAGTGCTGTGATTTATTGCAACAAGATGGCCCTACTGTAAGGAAGAGGGAAGTTGAAGTTCTAAAAGAGACAAAAAATGTGTCCCAGAACGGACATAATTTTTACTTTTATGTAGGATACTTGTATAATTTCATCTACAGTGCATACCATAAAAAGAGGGCACATTTATCAAGCTGGTGCTCTGGTTAAGTGCTACATTGAGTAAGGAGACGCAAATCAATGGTTCAGCGAACAGCAGCCCTTTGCTTCAGCACGGCCTGCGTCTGAAAGCAAATGTTTTCTTGAGAATTATGGGTTTGTTTCCCTTCTTTTAAATATGCTGGTGATGGATGCAACTGGTACCCACTCCGGCATGGATGGCCTGATGAAATGCTGCAGAAAATACAGCCTCGAGGGCTTGACTGCTGAAGCTTGCCTTCATGGTCAGGGTCGGAGCAATTGCTAGATTAAGACTGTGATCCTATGTACATGTAAAGGTAAAGTAAAGGGACCCCTGACCATTAGGTCCAGTCATGACCGACTCTGGGGTTGCGGCGCTCATCTCGCTTTATTGGCCTAGGGAGCCGGCGTACAGCTTCCAGGTCATGTGGCCAGCATGACTAAGCCACTTCTGGCAAACCAGAGCAGCGCACGGAAACGCCGTTTACCTTCCTGCTGGAGCGGTACCTATTTATCTACTTGCACTTTTGATGTGCTTTCGAACTGCTAGGTTGGCAGGAGCAGGGACCGAGCAACGGGAGCTCACACCGTTGTGGGGATTCGAACCGCCAACCTTCTGATCGGCAAGTCCTAGGCTCTGTGGTTTAACCCACAGCACCACCCGCGCCACTCCTATGTACATGTACTTGGCAGCAATTTCGCATAGCTGCCCATTCTGGCTTCTGAAATTTAACCAGATATTGCCCATGTACTTTCAAGCATGTTTTTACAGTTGCAAGGCAGAAGATCCCAGATTCAATCTCTGTTATCCCCAGGGAGACCCCCCAGGGAGCTGCTGCCAGGCCGTGAGCGAGAGAGACCAATGGTCTGACTTGGTATGAGAAACCTTGGGCTATTCCATTTGATTTTTTCTTCTTTTAATGAAAGCAGAACCTTGTACCCACAAAACAAATGCTACACTTGGGTGTATGTAGAACTGCAGTTGCATACAATCCTAGCTTTTTAAAATCTGATTACAGTTACTGTGGATAATAATAATAATAATAATAATAATAATAATAATAATAATATCATTTATACCACGCCCATCTGGTTGTGTTTCCCCTCTGGGTGGCTCCCAACAGCATTAAAAACGCAGTAAGACATCAAACATGAAAAACCTCCCTAAACTTGTTAGAAAAGATAATAATGAAAGTGGTGGGATTCCCCATGCTCACCTGAACGCTGGTTGGTCACATTGCTGCTGGTGGAGAGGGAGGTGGCAGCAAGGTTGGTGTGGTGCAAATGCACCGGCAGGTGACCAGATTGACTCCAGTGTACCTCACCCACGTCACAGCCACCACACCCCTCCCTCTCTACCTCCCAGGGAGCAGCAGTGATGTGGCTCATCTGAGCTCAGGTGGAGCAGTGGTGCCTTACCACATGGTCCACCAAGGAATGAAATGAACCTGTCATTTGTTATGAAAAGGAGGGTTTGTTGATCTGCAAGGAAGTTAGAGGAAAGCAGGATCCTCGTGAGCAGCCCCAATGTTATCTTTTACTCTTTCTTTCAAAGGAAAATGCTTTTGTTTTACGACTTCGCTGAGAAACAATGCAATTTACTTGTGGTTTATCACTACACAGAAAGCGATTTTTCCCCTTTTGTGATTAATTCAAAAATTAAAAGCATAAATCAATCTAATTGGTGGGCCATATTCATATCATTGGATTTGCATCCCGTAATAAGCAATCTTGTTTACTCCTTCCTTAAATTGCCAATATTTTGTATGATCATCATTTTGCTGCTTCTGCTGCATTCAGATTGATCAGCCTTGGATTCTTCCCCCCTGTGGCAACCAATAACAAATTGTATTGACTGGCCTTTGCTGAAAATAATTACTTAACAGGAACAATAATATATCAATTAATCAGAGTGTAGTTCAACTTTAATTTTATGGCACTCAAACAGTGATAAACAATAATCATTCCTATTGCTTACAGTAAATATATTTCACTCGGTTGTGTTGTTAACAGTTGTAGACTAGTTAAGCACAAGCCATTGAATACTATAGATTTATTAATACACTGTCAGCAAGCAGCAAATGAATATAAATTCAGCAATTGGGGGAATTTGTTTTATTAGCTGTGGTAAAGAACTGACCAAGCTATAACTTTATTGAGAGCCTTCTCACTAGGGAGCTAGAAGCCCTAACTTCTGTTAATTAGAAGTCTTGCCAAAAAGCACAAGCCCCACATCTTAACATGTACACTTTCTGGATTGAAAAACAAGCAAAATTCCAAACTGTGGGTTAAATCTGGTATCTGCTTTAACTAAAATCTCATAACAGTAGCTGTTTTGGATTAAAATTTGCCATTCATGTGTTCCCCTTTTCTCCCTCAGTCTCTGCCTTCATTGCGGCTGCAAGGAGAATACAGTGGTACCTCGGGTTACATATGCTTCAGGTTACAGACTCTGCTAACCCAGAAATAGTACCTTGGGTTAAGAATTTTGCTTCAGGATGAGAACAGAAATTGTGCTCCGGCGGTGCAGCGGCAGCAGGAGGCCCCATTAGCTACAGTGGTGCTTCAGGTTAAGAACAGTTTCAGGTTAAGAACAGACCTCCAGAACGAATTAAGTTCTTAACCTGAAGTACCACTGTAATTCAGAAGCTTTCGCTTTCATTTTTAATTAAACACAGTTTGTTGTTTCATTCAAATGTGACAAACTGTGGTTAGTCTTAACTATGGAGTGGAAGAAGCTGCCTTGTTTCAACGAGCCATACTTATGGTTCATCACAGTTTAAAAGCTTCCAGTCTCCTCGTGGCCACACCAGAGGGGAGGGGAGGAGAAGCATGCAAGCCTAGAGTTTGCTCTGGATCCTTTCCATTATAATGTTCCATGGTTTTATATAGTATTTACCCCTTTGTCCACATATATCCAACTTCTCAATGGCTGATTAGAGGCACTTGTGATTTGGGGTGGGGCCAGGGAAAGTCTTTGCCCAGGTCCCTTCTTGTCATGCTAAGGTTGCAGTGGTGTGTATACCAGTAGTGCTATTTTACATTTTGTACAATCCCTAAGCACAATGTTAGCAGCACCAAAGCAAATAAATAACTTGAGTAGCTGGTAGTCCTTCTTGTGACTCTGATCCACACTGCTGGTTGGTACATCCCCTTCTAAGTACATGGTGCAGCATGCCACACTGATAGCCAGATACTAAAGGGAGGTGAAAGGGGACATGACCCAGCAGAGAGCATTGAGCAACATTGCTTATGATCTGTTGAAGAAATATCACCCTTTACAATTGATGGGAGACAAACAGGGCTCCACAGGGCTCCTCCTATGTTTCAAGAAGAAGAAGAAGAAGAAATCAATAGACGTTCGACTGCTGACTCCAATGGAAAATGAATGAAGTTCTTTGCCTGTCGTAACATCAATGTAACCAAATGACTGCTGAGCCTTTTCGCAGAAAATTCTCTCAAAATTGAGATTACAAATCAGTGTTGGAATGTGTAGCTTCAGTTGCCCTCACACATTTCTTGGTGGTGTTTCTAACCTTTTTGGGCTGGGGCTTTATACGGTGGCAACTGTAGAATAAAATTTATATTGTTTTCAGAAATCAGAATTGTACTTACTGCTTCACTGGTGATAGCTTTCCAGGTTCCAGCTATTGATTTTTTCTTTCTTTCTCCCTCGGACAGTGACTAATGAAAAGTAGCTCAAATGGAACTGTACGTTTTCGAGTTATTGTTTGCATACATGTATTGAGTAACATCATAACACTTGAAGATTTATAGTCAGTATCTAGGGATATAAAACTGTGATTGACACTTGCCTTCCCTCCCTTTCCTCAGGGGTTACAAGGGACATGGTAAGCTCCTGTTTTGGTGGATCGTTAGGGTTAAGCTATAACCTTGACGATGCAGACATAACCATAGGTGCCAAGGTGTCCTTCGAACGCTGCTCAAAGGATGCAGGCCAAAACACAGGTAGGAAATGCATCCACATTTTCCAAAAACCTCTCCTTCTTTTTCTTATTTGAAAAGGGTGTATTTGCCTTCCAGGGAAGTTGAATCATTTAGTAAAGTCATTCTTTTGTAATCACAAGGACCACACCCACAAGAACAGTCCTATACCTCTCCACTTTCTTCCAATGGGGCTGGTGTAGTGGAAAGTGCTGTAGAAGCCAGTGGGACCTACTTCCATATCGTGTTTGGGGAGAGGTGCATTTGATAATGATAATGCTTAATAATAATAATAATAATAAATTTATTTCTACCCCAGCCATCCTGCTAGGTCTCCCCAGCCACTCTGGGTGGCTTCCAACAGGTTAAAAATACATTAAACCATCAGTTATTAAAAACTTCCCTAAACAGGGTTGCTCTGTTAAGTGCTCATGACGCTTCATTCATGCAAGGCACTCAATATGGAGCTTCCATTGTGCTTGATCAGGAGGATGCAGCTAGGGCAGAATGCTGCAGCACAGTTCCTGACAGGAGTGAGACCCTGTGCTCAGAGGAAAGACATGCCTGTTCATGGCGCATTCACTTAGCTGCTACCAACACCACCATTTGCAACCTTAATGTCATCCTATGTGTCCCGTTAGTAAAACAAACAAACAGCAAATAATTTAATTTAAAAATCCTTCATTGTCTGGCATTTTCGGGCACTTTTACCACCTACAGCTGAAAAAGTGCAATGCATGCGATGCTATTATGATACTGTTATTACTCTCATCTTGAATTGCCTTTAAATAAAACAAATAACAAATAAAATAAAGATCCTCCTAAGTGAGCTCAGGAGCACACAAGTGGCATTTGAGCTTCCTTTGGCATCTTACCTCTATGAGTGTCTGCTAGGCCATTGCCTTGTAATAGCGCCTTGCAGGCAAATGTCCTCCACCAAGTCACCTTGACGAACCAATTTTGACTCCACTAGTGGATTCATAGAAGCGAACAGTAATCCATTTCATTGTCCAACTTTCCAGACACTCAAAAGGAAAAGGCAGTCATCGAGGATATTATTCCCCGGGTTCGAGGCGGAGACGCAGCCTCGATTGGAAGGCTGATGGGAAGCTGGAACGCCAATGCATACCGTTATTGGGGGAGGTCATTAAAACTTAATCCCACTGTTATTGATTTTGAGGTAAGCCTTTTTCTTTCAGTTGTAGAAATGCCACATCTCCAAAGGATTGAAAGTGTACTAGACCAGATCATTTTATATTTTTATTGCTATTCCATCTTAGGACAGGATTAAATGTAATGGGCCACTGATCTGCTGACCTATTTCACAATGAGCAAATGCATTTTTTTAAAGCAGCGCCTTCGAAGCAAGGGAGATAAGACACAGAATCTATCTCGAACATCGAAGTTTCAGTTCATTGCAATATGGCGACTAGCTTGTCAAAAAGAAGCTTTAAACAGTCATATTCATCCATGTTATATAATTCTTGGAAAGGGAGAAGCAGAATCGTGCATATTCCCCCCTCCCCAGGATACCAAGTGCAGCTCTAAAGCAGGCATGGCCAAACTTGGCCCTCCAGCTGTTTTGGGACTACAATTCCCATCATCAGGACCAGTGGTCAGGGATGATGGGAATTGTAGTCCCAAAACATCTGGAGGGCCGAGTTTGGCCATGCCTTCTCTAAAGAATCTGCAGAAGGATTCATATGCACAGACAGGTGACATGGAAGTGGTGCAGGAGACTTGTGGAGTGGACTTGTGGAGCAATGCATATTAACAGGTCCTGCTGGGGCTATGGGGAGGCAGTGTTGTAATCCATCCATATCGGATTTCTAAGGCAGGCTAGCTGTGCAGCACCAAGTGAGCAGCTAGCTCCACAAATGGCTAGAGGTGAGTGGAGGCCTTAAGAATCTCTTCCCACAGCCCATGTTTCTCAAGCTTTAGCCCCTGGTTTGAAGACTGTGTGGTTGTAAAAGGGACAGCCCTGTTGCCCAAAGGGGGTGTGCAACCTGTCTGTTGCACACCCTGCAGCATTGGCAGTACCAGAAGCTCCTGATTTCTCTGCTGAGCCAGGCTTGGTGGGGTGGCACCTATGAGAGTTCTGACTTGGGAGCTGAGAAAGAAGCCATGATGTGCTCTAGAAGGTCCTCCTCCAGAGCAAGGCGTTGTGAGTGAGGCTGCATGGATGGAGCCTGCACCACTACTCCTTTGCTGCAATGGGGGCAAGTTACTATTTAAAGTGACCTAAAACCATTATACTTGTTTACCACCGTCATCCAGTGCACTGTGGATGATCTCACCTATAGTGCCTCACTCTGAAGAAGGACCCCTCTGAGCTGCTGCTTTGTTGGCTGTTGTGTGGACAAGCGAATGGGAGGGAGCTTCAGAGTGAGGCACCCGGGGAGGAAGGTTGAGGTGATGGGGTGATGGTGCTTTGTTTTTGAGGCTTATCACGAGAAAAGGCTCTTAGCAGTTCCTGGGTATTCTCTGCACAGATCTTCCATTAATGCTGCCCAAAACACACTACTGTTTGCCTGCAGCCTACTCTATAACCTTTAAATGGCTGCTGCAGGAGCTCTGCCAGCTTGTAGTTTTGGAGCGGATTCAAGCACCCAATAATTAGTTATGTCCACTTGAATGTCCCCTTATCTTGACTCATGGTTGTTTGCTAAAAGGCCTTGTGTAAATATTGTTTCGGAACATCATTTTTCAAGGCCATGTCGCAGCTCTTCTGTGGAAATCCCTACCACCCTTGTGAAGTACAGAAAGCAAAACCTCTGCAAACAGACTGTCCTGTGTGGTCCCGGCAGCTCTAAGCATTATTTGTATCTATATCTTGCTCTTCGCTGTTCCTTCTTGGGGGGCTCACTGTCCTCCTTTGCGCACGTGCACATACACACCCACCTACACACCCACCCCAGGATGACTGTTTGACTGAGGGTTGAGACAAAATAGTTTCCCTGATCAGGTGCAGAGCAATCCTGGTTTTCTGTGGTTGGTTTTTCGCTTTGCTCTGCAAGAAGTTGTTTTTCACTGGTTAAGATGAGCTGCTGCCCCGGCAGCATATTTCTGCAGTGTTCCTGCTCTCTGCTTGTGGTACATTATGGCTTGTGCGGCAAAGACTGGTCGTGAGGATGCTTGGCCCTTCTGTGGGTGTGGGTGCCTTATGCCTTATGCCTTATGCCTTATGCCTTATGCCTTATGCCTTACGTCACACCATAATGGAGGAGGTTGTGACCAGGTGAGTTGCATGCAAGCTCAGTCTACTGTCCAAGTCCTGACTATTGCAGGGCAACTTCAAGGTTCCTGCTCACACTTCCTTCTTACGGTTCCTTAAAACTTGGGCCAGAAATCCCTTCAAATTTCTTCAGTCTTCCAATAGCCTTTCAGATAGAGGGCTGATCTCTGTAAAGTAGGACATATGACCACTCTGGAGTGTGTGAGGTGTCCTTAGTAAGTGAGAAGTTTTCTTCAGGCCTCCCACTGCCCAGCATTGTCAGGTAGCCTACCAAAGGGCTTTCCAAGCTACTGTTTGACAGTTCTTCTGCCAGTTTTGAGAAGCTATTCCTCCTGGGTATTGCATTCCCAACCCTTTACCCATCCATTAGCAACGTCACGGATAATTCCCCATCTGTTATTCCACAGCTGCAACCCATAACTGAAATACTGCCTAGAACCAACCTTGCCAATACTGAAGCCAAAAGGCAAAACCTGAAGAGAGCTTTGGATGAATACTTAATCGAGTTCAGTGCTTGCCGCTGTGGGCCGTGCCAGAACAACGGTGAACCGGTGCTGATGGGGTCCTCCTGTGTTTGCGAGTGCCAGCAGGGTTCAGAAGGCCCAGCGTGTGAGAACACAAGACAGAGGGGTAAGGTGAAACCATTGGAGGGAAAGGTCTGCTGAATACATCATTCTGACTCTGGCTAATTGATACCTCCCGAGATCTATCCATCAATCAACACCTCCTTTCGATGCCTTTGATCATCTTGCATGCCAGGCAACCTAAGGGGCCTTATACAGGAATAAAATTAACAGCTCAAGTGATTATAATAAGTAAGCCAGGTTAAGCAAAGAAGGTTTTAGAGGTAACAAATGTTCCAGTGTCATAAATCATACCAGAGGCGGCAGGACCTGAGCCAAAGTATGGCACCAACTGAATATTAATGTTAAAGTCTTGCAGCCTCATCCCTGGGGCAGATGTGGGTGTGCCTAAGCTGATTTATTTCAGCAGGTTTTGGAGCACCTAGGTCTGCATAGGATCAGGCCAGTCCTCTTGGCAAGTCTTGCTCAAGGTGCCTTTGCAAGGTTGCATTTCTTGTCTTTAAGTTTCTACTCATAATGTATTGTGTCACAGGTCGTCCAACGGATGGTGGTTGGAGCTGCTGGACACCATGGACTCCCTGCCAAGCTGGATCTAGAAGGCGGACAAGACAGTGTATCAACCCAGTTCCTCAAAATGGTGGAGCCATGTGCGCAGGGAAGAGTGTAGAAATACAGGGATGCTAACATCTTATCATGAGTGGGTTAATGAGTCGGGTTGCCAAACAAGAAAATGATGGTATGAGTGCTGAGTCAAATGCATTGGGCCATTAATATCTGTGATAAAGGTGACCAGCAGAATGAATAAAGGGGGGGAATTGGGGGGCTCATTTCTTAGGGGCTAACAACTATGGCAGCTATTCTAGTTGTCATGTATAAGGCTGCAATGAAAAGGAATATAGTTTTTTTTTCTTCCCTAAAACAAAATATGAAAGGAGAGGGACTGCAATTAATATTACTGGCCTGTAATATTACAGATTGACAGTTACAACAGGGCTGTCCAGAAGCTCACCCTCCACGTGTATATTCAGTGTGTAGAGCAGCACTGAGTGTAGATGAGCTGCCTCAGGGTTACGGTTGTGCAATTTCCTCCACCATGAGACCTGCTTGCAACTAATTCACTTCCACGTTTCCATGATGTGGCAAGTGTGGAGTCAGTTGGAAACTGTGCATGGAGGAACAAGGTGTTACACAACCACTTCACTACAAGGCCAAGTGGATACAACCAGAGTTTATTGTGTCTGTAAATCTCACGGCTGATTCATATAACCACTTTTTATGCCCCTCCCCCTTGCTGCTATGACTGGGTCATTTCAGCAGTCTAACAAAGCCCTGTTTTCCTTATTTAGCCTCCACAAAAGGCCATTTTGTGTTAGTTTTGCAATAGTGTGCTAAATCAGGAGCTCATGCACGTAGTTTAACACGGCCATTTTCCTTCCATAGTAACAAAAATGTTACCCTGGATGGGAGAAAATGGTCCTAGGTATGGTCATGTGATGATTGGGTCCTCACAGTCTTCAAAGACTGTCTATTGAAAGCCTGAGTCCTGTTAGGACATTTTGATGCGGCATTTCCTTCTCAGACTCATGTAGAGATACCTTGGTGGGGTGAGAATCGCAATCACTGAGCAGACCATATACATTGCCTCTTCCATTCACCACCATCAAGTGAACAAATTTCTGAAACAAAGCAATCCTCATCCTTACATGGTACTTAGATTGTGCAAAGAATATTGCACCCTTATATGTTGTGCTTCTTCTAAGTACAATTGATTCCACTTGAATAGCCCTTCCAGACAATTAGTCCCCTAGGTCTTCAATCCCAAAGGAAGCCTTAGCATCCTTTTTTAATCTCTCTCTCTCTCTCTCTCTCTCTCTCTCACACACACACACACACACACACACACAATACTTCCCATGGAATCACACAACCCAAGCATTTGACCCAGAATTCAGTGCAACTCTTTTGGCAGTCATATCAAAACACATTCTGTAAATTCTTCCGATCTGGTTATGAAATCTGGTTCTGAAATGTTGGCAGCAGATAGGCACTTTTAAAGAAAGTGGATCAATCTGAATTGTTACAAAGTAAAGATAATAAATGCATTTTTTTTAAAAAAAAACAACACCAGATGCCACTTATGTCAGAACTACATAACATATAGTGCAGTGCATGCTTACAAGTAGGCAGAGGAAAAATGCTCCACAGGTACCCTCCATCCTATACTTGCATCACAGAGAGCTATACAGAAAGGAAAGAAGGGCTCATACACACCAGTCATCTAATTCGGTCACTTGATACATTTGCTAATGGTATTAACTGTTTATTTGCTTGAAAAATGCCACATTCCTGATTCACATAGAATGGACTGGATATTGAAACAGGGGTGAATAGTGGACAAGAAAACCTGAATAATGTTTTACTTTTGTTCCAAGCAGATACACTGCCAACTTCAAAGATTCTAAAATCCAGGCTGCTATAATTTTTAATATAACGTGATGATGAATAAAAGAATCATAGCCACATGCAGCCTGTCCACAGAGGACATTGCTGCACAAATGAGGCTATTTTCCCTTTAAGACTGGCCATGAATCATCTATTAGAACACCAGCATTTTATCTCCAAGGGTTCCAGAGCTGGAGATGTTAACAGTCCAGTTGATTTAGGAGCCCTTTTGGAAAACAAGACATAAATCTCAGTACAGGAATATGCACAGGATTGAACTGATTCCAAAGACTGTAGTTGGGAGTCCACAGCAATATGCTTTGAATGAATGACTGCAAAAAAACAATAAAAACAGGCACAAACAAACCAATGCACACAGTGAATATCAACCATGCTGCATTTGATTGTGCTGTGCATTTTGCAAAGGGATTAAAGAACCATGATGGTGGGCTGGGTGTCAATAATAGAGGAGGATAAAATCAAGCAACATCATGCTTAAAACCAGGTTTCCAGATAGCCCCTCTCCATTTGCTTCTCCACCCAAGAGTTGATTGTGTCTCTCAATCGGCTTAGCTGGAAGGACTAGAGGGAATGGACAGGTGAACACAACAGCTGCCATAGGCTAGAAGAGCCATGATAACAATCCTTATGACCAATGGAAGAGTGCAAAACTGGGAAAAGAAACCTATAACCTCTGACTCTGATGTGCTAGATGCAGGTGTGTGGCTGTCAGGAGGTCTGGGTTTGAACTGGGAGTCTTTGGAATTGTGAATAGTGCTCCATGTGGTGAGCCATGGAACTACACATTACAGCTGCTGTAGGTAGTTTAGGGCCTAGACTGACTCCATCTAACGACATGAAAAGAGCGGTCCTGAATCAGACCATAGGCCCTTTCATCCTATGCTCACAGTGACCAACCAAATGCCACAGTGAAGCCTGCAAAGTAGGAGAAGAAGAGCTTGACACACTGTCCCCACTAAGGCTAGATATTGGCTCCTCCTGAAAAGGGAGGGATTTGAGGTCTTTCTGGCATGTTTCTGTATCTGTGGTGGTTATTTGGCCCTGACTTTTGACTCGAGTTGGGATAATTTAGAGGGACTAACTGAGCAAAAGGACAAAATGAGCACATTCTTCACACAGAGCTGCACTCAGAATGGTTATCTCACACTGGAAGAGACTAGAGTGGTGGAACGCAGATCCTCTCCTGACACTGGGGCTGCTGCTGCTTATTTGGTCAGGGTTGGGGCAGTGGCAATTTTGGCATGTGGAGGTACACCCATGGGAGTACCAGCACCTTCCATGCTTGATGAAGCAAAGTGGAGAGGACAAAGAGAGAACGCTGAGATAAAGCCACTACTTAACAAAATGCCTTTTAATAACAGCCGTGGTCTTGAGATGCACGTTTTCCAACAGTATATCGATGAGCATTTAGAATTTGTCGTAGCTTCACTAACTTGACTGCTTTACACCCTGGAGGATTAGACCAATGCTTCATGTGACCTTTCTAGATAGGAAAAAAAGTCTTCTTCTTTTTTAACATTGTGTGTGGAATTTTTTTAGCTCTTGTCAAAATGAAAGCAATTTTCTTTTGTTCGAAGGGCTACGCTATGCTGTTCTAAACACCAAGATTTGATTTTTCTGTAGAAAGAGAGAAACCAGCAGTATAATGCTTTCAAATTGATAATAATTCATGGTTTTGTACAGATGGTGCAGTATTTTGCCATTTTTGTAAAGGGGGAAAGAATCTCTATTTTTCAGAGATCTGAAACCACATATATTAGTTCCAGTAATCCTTTAAGGTTCTGATCTCACACCAGGCTCCAAACAGTGGTTCCCAGCTTTGCTTATACTTCCATTACATTTGAGACCCAGCGTAGCTACCTGATGTATGCTAATGTCCAGAATGCACTGCCCAACCAGAGAAGGGAGATGTCCACAAGCTACACATGATGCTGATACCTGGGAAATATAGTCTCGTCTCTTGTTTGGGCCTGGTGGCTTCATCACGCTTCTGTGAGGGCCGTAAAGAATTAAATGAGCGAAACTCAGACACCAAACGAAATTGTACCCAGCCTTGTATGTTCTTCAAGCTTGTAGTCATAGAAACATTTCAGCCTTTGGAGGAAAAAAAATGCAACCGCTTCTCATCACATCCCCCACCCCAAAATCTGGAATACTTTATAATTTGTTCCAAAGGACTGTGGTTTCATTTTATTTCCACAACAGCCCATTAAGCAGGCTAGGCTGAGAGAGAATGATTTGCTTAGGACCGCTTGATAATTTGTGGCTGAATCATTCCCACACTTCCAAGGCCAACACTTTGGGTACTACTGCACCAATCTGGCAAGCATCATGTTTAAAAATAAGCAGGCAAGCAGGCTTGTTGTTGTTCTTGTTTTTGTTGGTATTGGTATCCATCTGTCTCGAGAGACAATGGAATGTGCCTCCAGGAATGCGGTAAAATTGCTGGAGAATCACAGCGCCTGCTGTGGCTGCAGAGACTGCTAGCTGCTAACTACTGCCTCCCATTTTGTTTATGCTGCATTAGAAGCAGCAAAGTGACCTCTCCAGAGTGCAAGCCTGGACAGTGTGTTTGGAGGTCCTGGGCTGCCCAGATGACAAGAACCCCCTGTATGTATGTGTATGTACAACATGTGTATACAGGACTCCCCTGTGTATATATCAACATCTGGAACTGTATTACGGAAGCCTAATATTCTATAGCAGCAAACTATTTAGGACTTTAAGGTGCAGCCGTCTTACCTCAGATCCCCAACAGGTAGTATGTAACCATCATGGCTGTCAACCAGCTTTCACTCTTTCTGAACTTCTGGTGCAGTTCTCAGCACACAAAAAAGCCAAAATGCATTCAAAAAGGTATATTCAAAGCAAATGTATTTGGAGAAATGTGTATTTTGAGAGAAATTGTGGAAAGGCATATTTTGAGAAAAAAATCTGTTTAACTGTGGAAGAAAATCTATTTAAAGATACATATTTTAGTAGATATGAAACGCACATTTTTGTCTATATGTGTGTATATATATATATATATATATATATATATATATATATTTAAATGCTAATTAACAGAGAAACAGGACAGTAAGTACATGTGCAAAAGTGACATAGACTGAAAACAGACTGATTCACCAGGCACCCACCCTTCCAATATACAAATTGGATGGTATTTAAAAGGACACTAGAAGTAAAAGAGACTTAAAGGAAATAATTAGCAGTAATTGAAAATGGAGAAGGTGTATGCTGGCAACATGTTCTGCAAGACAAGCAGAGATCACTCTGGGTGGAATGCTTAATTCAGTCAGTAGAATTCAGCCCCTATTTCCTATCTCCTTCCTGAAGAGTTTAATATGTCTGAGCCCTGGCAAAAAGACAAGGAAATGTACAGGAAGGCTATACACTGCGAGCCACCTAACAAATGGCAGCAAAATGCCCCTTTTGAGGCTCTCTTCAAATGTCAAAGAGAAATCTCCTCAAGCCCAAGGCATCCCCCCTGCCACACACACACATTTTATCCGAGGCTCACAAATCCTTAACAATGAAAAACAGGAGTTTTGTGCAATGAAGCTGAAGTGCAGAGAGAGAGGGGGGGAGAGAAAGAGAGAGAAAGGAGAACCTGCCTGCCAGGCCTGTAAAAGATTATGAGCAATTACACATTTACAGTGCTAGTCAAAGAAACTAATATAAGCTGTGCTGAAGGGCCCAGCATGTGAGCCATACCAGATGAGATAAGGCGCAGCCATTTTCTGGCCTAAATTAAAAGCTCATAATAGGAGATTTTCTTTAAAAAATAATAATACTACAGTTGCCATCCACTTGTAACGAAGGAATTCTATCCCCATATACATACTGACACACATTCGAGGCAGCTGTTATCCTTCATATTTTGCATTCCCATATTTCTGGGAAACATTTCTCTGTGTCCGACTCATGTGATGGTGGCACTTGGGTTAAAAGGTATGGGACACAGATGTGGATGTGAACAAACAAGCTTATTAACAAAAAGAAGCAGCAGTGTATAGTAAATGACGAGGCTGTGCACATTACTTTTTCAAGGTGCAGAGTCAAGATAGCTAGATAAGAGAACTGCTGAAAATGGTAGAGGCAGAGAAAGGTGTCTTCTATATGTATGACAGTGTTCTCCCTCTACCTGACTTTCCAGTCTCTGAAATCAGCCCTCACCACTCTCAAGATGTGACTCCCATACTACAATGCTCATCATCCCTGACCAAGTTGGCTGGGTCTCAGGTTCAGATTTAGGGTGTTGCAGGCAGTTCCCACGCATAGGGTACCAAGCTGAGGGTGTGCAAAATCGAGTAGATCTATAATTGAGAAGATCCATTGGGGGGGGTGCCAACTTTTGGGCTCACTTCAGAAGCCGTATTTACCAATGATTACCAAAGTCTGCCCCTGCTGGGTCTCGTAGGAATTGTAGTCTAACAGCATACGAAGAGCATCAGGTTCTGGAAAGCTGCCATATAGGTTAGGATTTACTTCTTACCGCAAGCGAAACAAAACAAAAATGAGAAGAATCTTCACTGGAAAAATTGGCTGCTGATCTCCAGAGGTTTGCCTTGCACATGAGAAAAATACTTGGGCATAATAATGTCCTCAGAGGTTACCTTCTTAACAGACGTTCTTTGAAGAAGTACTACATACCCACATATTCGTATGCTAAGCATAATTTAAATTTCCACAAAGCAGGCCAGAGGTTGTGGAGTGAATGGAAGAGGAAGCAGTACTGCTCAACACTACACATAGCTGAAAAATTCCTTGTGGTTAGTCACTTCCCAATGAATAGGTAGCTGCTGGTAACCACAAAGAAGAGGAGAGCTGGGGCAGGAAGAAGGTCAGGATGGTGCAAGTGCAGCAGCAGAGCCAATCCAACACTCCTGCCATTGCATTTGCACTGTGCTGGCTTCCCCACTGCCTCACTCCTCCTAGCTGCTGGGAGTGAGCTCCACATTGGGAAGAGCAATGTCACCCTGCCAACCTCTACTGAGAGGAAATTGTGTGTTTATGCAAGAACAGGGAACCTTTGGTGCTCCAGATGTTGGGCTGTATCTCGTGTAATGCCTGACCATGCTGGCTGGGTGTTATGGAAACTGGAGTCCAGCAGCATCTGGAGGGACACATTTCCCCACCCTTGTGCATGTGCAAAGAGGCATTTCCAGCATTAGATTCAAGTATGTGGTGTATATTTTGATTTCCCCCCCCCCCCGGGGCCTGGTGAGTTATCTAGAGCCCCCCTGAAAAACCCTTGTCTGGTTTAATCCCCATCAAGAATGACTGCTGTCGTAATTCATATACTGCATGGTAGTCTGGATTGCTTGTTGTAATACTGAAAGCCTTTGCTCAGAGATTGTGCACTCTAATCCAGAGCAAATATACGCTGGGGACTCATTGTCGGAGTAATTGCAAAGGAGAAAAAAATGAATAAATTTGGAGTTTCACCCTTTTTAAAAGTACTTGCACTATACATTTATAAGTGCTTACTGCCCTAGGCTCCTTTGGGAAGAATGGCAGGATATTAAATAAATAAATAAATAAATAAATAGTAAAATTAAATCTGTTTCCTGATTAATTGAGGCTCTGTTTAAAGAATTAATTGGCTGAATATCATGGTCTTAGGGAAAAAGCCCAAGAAAATATTTTGATTATTCCCAATCCTTTCATTTTCATAATGAGATGAACACCTCACTGATTTTTTTTTTTGCAAAGTCTCTAAGCCCCCCCCCCCCAGCTCCCCAATGCTGCCACGCTGTCATGAGTCCTGATTTATTTTAGCTCAGTGAGCCGTTCAGCATTATGATGTGGTGTGTGTTTGAAACAGCAGATGCAATTGATAGATGCAGAGTGAGCTTCCAGCCTCTTGCCAGCTTTGCTTCATATTTATGCTCAGGAACGATGGTGAAATTTACATAAAAGAATTTACTCTTGTCCAGAAAACAGCTCAGTCAACTTCCATTCTTTACTCACTCGAAAAATGACGAGCAGTTCTGAAACTGGGCCAAGGTGGTGGGGGAGCTCGTGTAAAAACACTCCAAATCATAATTCAGCACTGGAAATTCCAGGGACATCATTTTTCTGCTTCTTTCTCTGTACACCACTCACATGAAAAGGGTCTATTGTGATGCCTTGCTTCAGATATGACCATGGCTGGCACTTAATCAGTTTTCTTTGGCTGTGGGTGCACCTCAGAATTTGCTCTTTTAGTTTTCAGATTTGGACTTCACCTTTTCACCCAATTGGGTTTCCAACAGCAATAAAATGCAAAGTACAAAACAGCAATCAAAGGGCATAAAAACCAGCATATTTACTGTGGCCATAATGAGCCAGCTTATGAGGCCAAAGGCCTGCCAGCAGAAGGTCATTGGAGGCAGGAGAGCTCAATGGGCTTCCCAGAGCCTGGAAACAGCTATGGAAGAGCAGGAGCAGCTCACCAGTGGCAGAGCCATAGCAATAGCCTTCCAGCAACAGCCACTTGCTTACGAGGCAGGGCGAAGTAGTGGTGTAGTCAGGATGGATCAGTGGAGACAACCTAGTGCTCCCACAGTGGGCCATGCAGTCATGGACTCCCCCTCTTAGTGAGTGGCACTGATACCTGCGAGATCACCTGTACCAACACTGCTTCTGCCCAACAATTAAAAGCACATAGCAGGTGGCCTAGTCTGTTTTGCATCACTCCTAATGCAACATGCTGACTCTCAGTGTACAGCATAATGGTTAATCTTTATTTGTGTGGATCAAGTGTTTTTGCCCATAAGCTTTATGAATTTTAATTTATTTCATTTCATTTTTACATTCAGTTCCAGGTTGCTTGCGAAGGTCTTTCTTATACAGGGTAATCTACAGGGGAAAATCATCCAATGAATAAGCATATCATTATAACACAGTTTTGAAATTATTGGGTGTCACAGGGGTATTTGAGAGCACTTCACAATTCACTTTCCTCCCTTTAAGGCAATATCTAATTGGTTAAACAATTTACGTTCAATGCAATAAATGGGAAACTGAGTCTATCGCCACCACATTGGATTCAAGTTTCACATTTGACGAGGCTGCTGTGATTGAGATTTAAAGCTTTCATTTATCTCAGCAGGATGAAGCACCCTCCAGTGACTATTAGAAAAAAGTGTATTTTTAGGCATTCATGGGAAATAGTCGATTGAAGTTCAGCCAAATAAAGAAAAAGGTGTGAATTTCTTGATGTCAGAGTAACAGATGACTTTTTTGTATATATGCAAAATGGGAAAAAACACAGTGGCAGATATTAAACATATATATTTGCTGCATGTTCTGAACATGTATCTATTAATTATATTTTCCACATGATTTATACTCTGGTTTAAAAGGTCATATGAATTCATTCAGAAGTGTACAGAAAAGTCCTGCACAAGGGGACCATCAACACTGCTCATGCAATGTGATTCCCTCTATCCATTGAACTGCATAGGAAAACATATATCAATACTTTTGCCAGAGTCTCCATGCCTGAAGGGAGTTTATCTATATCAGACCACAGCCATTTAAAGTGTCTACCTAAATAACAATAATAACAATGTAAAAAAACTGGAATTAATACTAGTGGAAAATAGAAAACGCTTTTAGGGCCCTTCTATTGCTCTTCCAAGTAACTTCTCCAATATTTCACTAAGCAGTTTCAGTGTTTGGCCCCATGCATGGCTTGCCACCATTCTGCACTGCTGGGTTGTTACATTCCCGCCTTCTTGTCCATTGTCCTCCAGAAGCTGCAGACCAGCTAGACCAACAGCTCCAGTTCCCATCTATAGCAACATCTGGGAGAATGAAAGATTAAAATCAGGGTTACTGTAAAAGTATTACAGATTTGGTGCTTGCCTGGTGTCAATCTTCCTCTCTTCTGCTAGTTCTCCTTATTTAGGTTCTGCACTAGCAGACATCTTGGATACGGTGAGAGTGACCATGCATCAAAGTGATACATTTAGCTGTGAGCAAGACGGATTTGAAATTGATAACTACACCTGAATCTAAAAGACATTTCTTTATCACACACCATGCTACTGATTCATTTAAAAATCTGGAACATTATTCAGGATGTAGTAGCTTGAGAACTTACTTCATGAAGGTGCCTTCTCTAGATCAATTCACAGCATGAATAGCCTCATGATAACTTAACCCACCCAACACCTTAAAATGGCCACGTAAATATTTATAGTCAGGCAAGAGGTACAGGTGGTTTACATGTGAGGTACAGATGTTTGCATTAGCAGGGGGAGCTCTGAAAGTGCAGATCTGCCAGTCTGCAGCAGATTCTTTCTTCAAAGGTGTCTTTCCTCAAGAAGGAGGCTGCCCAGCCCTGAGCACTGAGGTGCCAAAGAGTTCTCGAAGGCACCGATCAAGCTGTCTGTCAACTGACTCAATCTACACTTCCAAAGATCTCTTTTCAGGTAGGAGTCTGACGACCATTGCAGAGGGATGCCTTTAACAGCACAGACTGGCAGTCAGCTGGCTAGATCTATACCTTGAAAGGTCTCCTTCCTATAGTAGGAAGTCACCCTGAGCTGGGAGGGAGAAAGCATGGGGGCCAGACTAGTAACAAGCAAAGGGACACGCAGTTCTAAGCAATCTCAGGATTTGTACAGCACAGGAAAAGCAACCAGGTGGTTGCAGACTACAGATCCTACTATCCTTGACCATTGGCCATCCTAACTGGGGCAGATGGGATTTATAGTCCAAAACATCTGGAAAGCATCTGGGATAGTGCATGTCAATGCTTTCAGAAGAGCATTAGAACTGAGAGATGCACCCCCTCTCCACCCACAAAATATACATATTATAGAATTATATTTTACTTTGGCAAACCTTCCTAGATGAATAAGAAAAGGATAGGTAGCATCCAAATTGCTTTGGACAGTTTAAATATAAAGCCATATGTAAATACTTCTAAATAAAAACAAACAAATGCATCATTCTGTAGTCATTTTCTCCCAATAGTTTGTTCTTTTTCTTTTCTTTTTCTTTATATAAAAAAAATCCTTTTAATCTCTTACCTGTCCTTAGTGTGTTTTCACAGGCAAGACCCCGATGTCCCAGGGGGCATATACACTTGCAGTGAGTCCCTGAAAAACACAGTAGGTAGAGTCAACCCGTTCTTCTGAACCCATTTTATATATACACACAAAGCCTCAAGAAGCAGGTAAAAAAAAAATTGCAGTGCAGAAAGGGTAGGAAGCAATCAGCACAATGTTGGCTCTTTCCCAATCCTTTCTAAAGAGGTGGCAGTAACAACACAGGAAAAGCTGATGTTGTACTTCTGCAAGAGGGTTGTAAATGGGAGTGCTCCTCGCCCTTATCTCAGTTGTGTTGAAACTATGCTTATCACGAACACTAGTCTTCAACTGGTTGTTCAGGAGCCACTACTAGACTGAAGCCTGATCTGACAGGAAAGAAAGGGGTCCCTAGTTGCATGCTTCAGTTAAAGGTGGGTCAGAGTCCCAAAAGGTTGAAAACTGCTGATCTCGCAGAACTTGTGATGCACCAAGCCAAATGCAACCCACCACCAATGTATAGCTGCCTACAAGGTGAGCCTCGTGTTTTGCCAACAGGTGATGTGCAAGACCCCTGAGACCCTGGAGAGCAACTGCTAATCAGAGCTGGACAAACGGTGTGTCTTGATATCAGACAGTTTGCTCTCTCCCTGTCTTTGCACTGAGACTTATTGGGTAGCTGCTCACAGCACCGATCATTCTTGATGTACCGATACCCTAACAAAGTATGAAGACAGCTTCATATGTCCGAGTGACTCATTTTATTACAATTCAAAAATTACTTTCCCCTGTGCAGTGAAGCCAGTGTCATCTTCAAAGCAAGAGCAGCCCAAAACGTGAGCGGGGGGGTGGGGGAAGCGCTCAATGCAGAATCTCTGGTGATGATAATGATAACAGTCTTTAGCAGTTGCAGATGGCATTTCATCTTCCAAGAGCTGGGAGAAACACTAATTAATGGCCAGAGAGCTAGTCAGCTTGCTAAGCTTAGCAAAGCTATTTCCGAAAGAGATTTCAAGCAGATTGCAACTTTGTGTTTTATGCATAATTGAGTTGGAAAAGCCTTCCTAAATGTAAATGATTAAGATTACATTCCACTTGCCAAAGCGGCACAGTCCGCTATCTCGCTGCACTGCCCACGAAACAATAGTGACATTTAAATGAATATCTCTTCTTATTATATTCCCTTCGTGATATTTAATGGGAAAACGAAGACAGCTGGGGCAAAAGCACACTCTCTTCTGATCAGTGATGCGGGGCATGAAAGGGGAGAGGCCAGATCTTACCTTTCAAAAAAGCATTTCCATTGCCCTGGCACTGACTGCAGTGACAGCTACTCGTTTCCTGTTGGAACTCTTCCAGGGCACGCCTCAAGTTTTGTTTCAGGGTATTTGCATTTGCAAAGGTGGTGGCAGTTACTAATTCATACAGTGGCTCCACCTACATTGAGAGGGGAGGGGGGGAGAAGTGGCAATATACTTTAAATTAAAAAGGTTTTTAGAGTGCATTGCAGTCATCCAGTCTTGAAGTCATCAATGCCTGAACTACAGTGGTCATGCTTTCCTTGTCCAGAAACACCATAGTTGTCACATCTGTCACAGCTGGTTAAAGGCACTTCAGGCCACTGAAGTTACATAAGTTCAAGTTTTGGATTATAACTTCCATTAGCACTGACCATGCTGGCTGTGGGCCTCAGACCCAGCACCAGTGTTTGCTCAGGTCTGGCACTGACCCCAAGGCTCAGAAGAGCCCCTCATTGGTCTGACCCAGATGTGCCAACCATCACTACTCTCCCCCCAAACCAAGTGGTGGGGGGGCATCAGTGGCACCTTTGAAAGAGAGTCAAGCTCAGCTTCCCTCCACAGTCACTGTTTTCAGAGTTAATACTTGAACACTATATCCATGATATCCACCCCCCGCAATCAGATTTTAATAGCTATTGTTAAACTAGAGTTGGGGAACCTTTTCGGGTCAAGGTCCACGCTCCTGTGATGGTAACCTATTGGGGGGGCCAACTTGCTCGTGCGTAAGGTACAAACCAGCCAGTGGGCAGAGGCCCAATTCCTCTCTCTTTATCTGTTACCAGCTTTCACTCTCTTTCTGAACTCTCCTTTCTCCCCAGCAAGTGAATAAGAGATTGCTATCACCAGAGGTCTGAATTGTTAGCCTACAAGGGTCTTTTGAAATGAGGCTCAGGGCTACACGCAACCAAAGGACTACAGCTTGCCCACCCTTAGGTTTCAATCCAAAGATGTGCCAATGGAAGGAGACCAGTAGAAGGTGATTTTTGTATCCCTTCCTCCTCCAGAGTAAACACTCTAGAATAGGGATGGAACAGAAATTCAACTCAGTTTTCATTTAAAGCTGAATCGATGAACGTGTAGCCATACTTCAGAATACGCACATCCAATTTTTGCAATGCAGTTCTCCAAATAAACAATGTTTGTATAAATGCATATATATGGGGCAAGTGTGCATAAAAATGAAGACATGGGGCAGGGGGAAATAACATACAAAAATATATTTTGGAAATTGCTTGCAAAAATGTTAAAGCTGCATATAAAGTTGTGTTAAGAGAAATTTGTACGAGAATGCTAATGAATTTTCATGAGGATAATTGCACATTGCTTCAAAATGTGGAGAACTGAATTTATGATCAGGGAAATGAGAAAGAGGGAACCAAAATTGACAGATCCTCCAATCTCTACTCCTGAATTGGGTGGAAAATGCTTTTTTAAAAAATGGACGAGGACACCTTCCATGAGAGCACCCAACCCTTAGGAGAGACATGGGAGCTCCTTGGGGAAGTCAGGGCACTGTAAAGTAATCTTCTACTGACCGCTTCCAATCATTTCTCTGGATAGAAACTAATGTGAAATTTAATTGATCATGTCTTTTCTCTTTCAATTATATAATTAAATTTATTTTTCCATCTTGATTACATCACAGTTTCAAATCCAATGTGAAAATTTGAAATTCGCATACTTAAATTTTAACAAATTTGTACAAGCCTTGTATCCCCAAACACATTTCAGTGTGTCAATATAGCATTGTGATTGCTTTACATCACCTTCATCCGGATGATTTCAGGGTTGTACTGAACAGCATCTCCCCACTCTTGCATCAGTTCTGCAGTGGGCAGGTCTTTGTAAGCAAGTGTTGTTATATATTCGCTTGCACCTCCACGAACAAGGGCGACAAAGTCATCCACAACTTTCCTTTCTGCTGTGTTATCTGTAGAGGCACAATTAAACACATCAGTTCAGATTACATGTGCATCCGTACATGAATATTTATCATCTGATAACTGTAACATCAAGCAATGATTTAGACAAGTGGAAAGACCTCCTGCACACAAGGCTGCAGACGGAATGCCATCCTTCCTTCTAATAATGAACCCAGGATGTTTCAGAAGGATAGGAAAGGGAAAGGAATGCTCTTTTCCTTTCAAGCTTTCCAGAATCTATAAAGACACTCCCTGGCAATAAAATCCCCTGATGATAAAGCTTCAAAATGTTCAGGGTTGAACCTTTCAAACCTCTAGTGCAGGTATCTGGAACCTTTGGTGCTCCAGATGTTGCTGAACTACAACTCCCAGAATCCCTGGCAATTGGGCATGCCTTCTGGGGCTGACAGAATTATAGTTTAGCAACATCCATTTTAGACGGCCAAAGGTTATCCACACCTGATCAAGTGTTAGTAGTATAGCACAGCAGGATAAGGCGAGGTAACTTTTTTAAAAAAAGTGCCCATCAAGACTTCTCCACTCTTGAAACTTCCCCAACCCTGACCTGAATAGCACAAGATTCCTGCACCAGGTTGTCCAGAAATGTGAAGAGGAACACGCCACTTAGCAGCTTGAGACACTGCAATGTCCACTCGTATCACCTTAAATTTAATATTGTTAAACAGAGGAAATATAAGCAACGAGCTCAAGTGAGTAAGGAATTATTCACTGTTTTATGCAATCATTTTTAATTATTTTTTAAATTGTATCTTTGTGATCCTCTAGATTAGCTAGATTAGATTTTGTCTTCAAGAGATTTTGGATCACAACACTAGTCTGCCCCAGCCAGCATGGCTACTCAAGTTGTAGTCTAAAACACCTGAAGGGCAACAGGTTGGGGAAGTCCGCTTTAAGCCCTGTTTATAATTACTATTTTATAAAACTATCAAAGATCAGTCATGCATTACTTTAAATTGATTTATTTAGTGTGCCTTTGGTAAACTGCTGATGGTCCTTTTTTTGCCTTCCTTTTCTCTTTCTTCATTTGTGTTATTATTTTAGTATGTTTTGAAGGATATATACAAAAGGGCTGCTAATTTCTGTTTCCTATGTTTGTAACAACCACTGAAACATTATAGCAGCCCATTGTTTTTCAGTGGACTGGTACATTTCAAAATAAAGTATGCTTTTTACAGAACTGTCTCCTTTAAAACTCACGTTTTATCAACAATTACAGTCACCTTTTAACAAAATTGTTTTCTTTTTCAAACAAGTATTTTGTGCATGAATGAAATTTCTAAATTAGTGTGTGGATTGTTCACATTCCTTGACCATGGTTCACTTACCTCCAATTTCTTTTAAAATGGCATCACAACCTGCAATTGATATTCCAGCCGATAGATAAACACCATAAATATTTGCACCAACTTTGACTCCGTGATTTGTACAAGACCGGACATCACTTAAAGAGTAGCCTTAAGGAGAGAGAGAGAGAGAGAGAGAGAGAGAGAGAGAGAGAGAACACAATATTTATTAAAAGAAACAGGTTTGGATCCGAAATCTGTGTGAGTGTATGACACTTCACTTCCACTATCAGGAAGAATGCACCCAACCCCAGCTGCTCCGAGTGTCTCCTGACCCTCTGGATCCACGTTGCTGGGAATAGCAACAGAGAGAGAAAATGGGATCATAGGAACAAAAGAAGCTGCCTTATATTGAGTGAGACCTTTGTTCTATCTACCTCTGCATTGTCTACAATGACTCTCCAGCATTTCAGGTAGGTAACAATCCCAGCCCTACCTGGAGATGCTGGGGATTGAACCTAAGACCCTCTGTATGCAAAGCAGATGTTTTCCACCACTAAGCCAAGGCTCCTCCCAATTGGCACTGGGTAAGCAGAAAACAGTGGGATGCGGGTGGTGCTGTGGGTTAAACCACAGAGCCTAGGGCTTGCCGATCAGAAGGTTGGCGGTTCGAATACCTGTGATGGGGTGAGCTCCCATTGCTCGGTCCCTGCACCTGCCAACCTAGCAGTTCGAAAGCACGTCAAAGCGCAAATAGATAAATAGGTACCGCTCCAGCAGGAAGGTAAACGGCGTTTCCATGCGCTGCTCTGGTTCGCCAGAAGCGGCTTAGTCATGCTGGCCACATGACCCAGAAGCTGTACGCTGGCTCCCTTGGCCAATGAAGCGAGATGAGCGCTGCAAACCCAGAATTGTCCACGACGGACCTAACAGTCAGGGGTCCCTTTACCTTTACCTTTAAGCAGAAAACTGCTAGAGAACACCCCAGAAGGCCATATAAAAACAGGTGCCTACCTGTCTACTTGGAAGGAGGGGAAGTTTAACCCATTCCCTTACCATGGTCTTGATGGAATCAACCCTCTGTTCCTGCTATTTCCAGTGGGAGGAAAGCTGTCATTAGCACCAACGGGAGCTTTCTCCCCCTTGCAAATAGTGGGGATGGGGTTTGTGCATGAGTTAAAGCTCCCCAACTATTTGTTAAACAAACAAAAAACAGTTGCACAATGCCAAAGTATGCAATAAATATCACATCTACCTTGGCCCTTAGAGAAAGACTTGGGCTACTATCTATATATCAATATCAATATCAATATCAATATCGATTTCAATATCTATCTATCTATATCTATCTATCATCTATCATCTAAACATACACACAATGAAGGATAAATTCTTCACTAACAATAGTAGTGTATTCTATTCTATTCTATTCTATTCTCTCCCTCCACACCTGTGTTTCCAATGAAAATAGCACCCTTCACAAAGCAATCATGCTTAGATTGGGGTTGGGGTGGGGAAAGCTCTCATAGGCTCCAATGGGATTTCTATGCTGGGGTGTGCAGGGCTGAGGTGGAGAGGCCACAGACTAGATGTGTCATGGCCCAGATATGGCCTAAAGGCTAGTAGTTCCCCATCCCTGTCCTATCTTCTTGCTATCCAATAAATGAGAAAACAGATTGCATGAGATTGGAAGCACTGAATCTTCATGACCAGGAATTTTACAGCTTCCCATCTCCTGAGCTCCCACATCCCCCGAAAACTCCCTGGAAAATGCTGCGGGACTTCCAGGGCATCAGCCACTAGAGAAATGTTGGTTGCATAGAAGTGCTTTGTTTGTGTGCATGGACTTCTCTGGATCCGAGTCACTGCATGTCATAGAGAGGAATCCAGTAAGACCTTCTACAGACAGTTTGTCAAGCTCCCGTTGCCAATGGGTAAACAAGAGACTGAAGCTATTGATTAACAGCCCAAAGCTCTCTTTGTTCTACACAACAAACACTAGCCCTTGTGAAAGCACCATCCATCAAGCAGTAAGAGCAATGTCAGATAGGAGAGTCGTCCCAGTAAATTATTTACCGCTCCTCAGAGTCCTACGATCTGTATGCTTACAGAAATGGAGAGGAGTGGCACAACTAGAAACCTTAGAGAACCTACAAGATTGAGAGGGGGTTAGCTTCAGATTTTATCAATGGATTTAGCCACTTTATTGTTCTTGGAAAGTGTTTCCGAGCCATTTTCAAGTGGTTGAAAAAATACTTTAACAGTGCAACCTTATACACCCCTGTGTGCACAAAGTATGTCCCACAAAGTTAAATGCGGCTTCCTCCCTGGTACTGGATTGTAGCTTAAATGACCATCATTTCTGTGATGCTTATAGGCCATAGTCATCATACAGAAGCAACATAGGAAACACGAAACATTGCAGATATTTCTGCATGATACCAACCTATGTAACAATATCCCACACTAAATTTCCACTTATTACTTATTACTTCCTTGTTAGAAATGCTGGGATTTAAAAAAAAAAATAATTCACACCTTCAAGTGGTTTGCATTGATCTAAAATAATAAAAGCAGCAATATCAACAATCACACACTAAAATGTAAAAACAAAACAAAAACGGAGTCTGTATTAAAACCTGGAGCTAAAACAACAGAACAGCCTGGCAGAATTAGAAGCTTTTTAGACTTTCCAGAAAGGCCAATTGTATGCATCTGTCACTCCTCCTTTGGGAAAGGATTCCATTAAAGAGAACTGGAGCCATCACCAACTTCTTATGAATGACAATTTTGCCTTTCTTGGTGGCCGGTCCTGTAACCTCATTACTTCATCTCAACTCTTGGGGGTGAGGGAAATGAATACTGTATACAAGAAGGCATGGTGTCAGATAAATACCTTCCTTGTTCCTTAAGGAATTAAATATCAACATGACTTGTTACATTGCCTTTATTTATCTTGTTTCATAGGAATTAAATTCTAGATTAAAAGATTAAATAATATATATGCAAGTTTCCAAGGCCCCCAATGTAAATGTACAGAGCTACAAGCCAAATGGTTAGGCCTTGAAAGTTCTGTGTCAAAATGATAGCCAGGTCCATTGGGTTTGGGAGTCTAAGATAGTGGGATTAGCAGCATCACACATAATAATAGTAAATGCTCAGATCAGACAGATGGTTTTAAAATCTGAGCAAATAATAACAAACAAAGTCACCAGCAGAAAGATACAGACATGTAATCACAAATATTTGTTGCTTTCTCATTGAAAGAGCTTGACAGTCAGCATCCAGCTAAATCAAACAAACAATTCTCTTTGCAGGAAAATGAATTAATCAGGTAACTATTGCTTTACTCAAATATGCCACCTTGTGTGATGTCAAATACCTATGCTGGGTTCAGAACATTGTTCCATGTCAGCATAAAACAATCTGGTTTGTCTACAGCCGTCTCTGCCCACATACCTGCACTTTGAAGCTTCTCATCATTCAAGATCAAAGTATATTCATAAATTCCACCAAGGGTAGCTTCAGTAATGTAATGTGTCCCGTAGTCTCTGTAGAGTTCTCGATATTCCCCATAGCTGTACTCTAAAGGCAAGCGAAGAAGTCTCTGGAAGAACTCATGGTGAAGCATTAAATTCCGACTCTTCAGTTTATATTGGGCAACTTCCAGTTCAGAACGGGCATGAATAAATTTTCTAGACTAAATTGAAGCAAATGCATTCAAATGAGAGATAGGATATTTGTAAAGTCTTCCACCATTGCATTACAGGCCCCCCTATATATTTATACATCCATAGATATATTTACAACAATCTGTGTTGCTGCTTGCATTAAATACATTTTGGAAATACAATAAAATATGAAAAACATATCACACTGAACCTCAGTATGAAATAAATGTACAGGTGATGATGCTGCTGCTTTGATTGATTTATTACCTTTTACATTTGTTTCAAGGTGACTTATAAACCACTACAAATAGATTTTAAAACGGCACAAAAACAACTGAAAATAGATTTTAAAATGATACAAAATGAATACCTAAGGTTGGAAAAGTTGGTTGGAACAGCAGCATCTTTAGTTGTTTCTAGAAAGCACAGGTATTGTCATAAAAGATGGGGGGCATGAACACATTCATTGCACCCATTCATCAGGTCTCCTGGAGAATCTGCACATAATCCTTCCATGAAAAGAGAACTGTACACATTTCCTAGTCAATATACATACTCCTCAAAAGGCTTTGAGAAATGTGCATAGATTGACTGAATTTTGTACATTCTCCAGCTGTTATTTTGGCTGCATTTTGTACATTCTCCGAGCAATATGCACATTCCCCAGTCACTTTGCATAGCCTCCAAGAAGCATGACTTTTACCTCCTTTCATGTTCAGAAATGTCTGAGATGTGCTCCTCAGGCTGCTTTTAACCCACTGCCTAATCATACATGGCCCTCTGCGTTGGGTAACTAGCAGGAGTGGATTTAGGATGGTGCAAAGAGGGGGCACCATCTCAAAGCCCAGCAAGTGAGGCAATGGGCTTTGGGAAGGAAATATGAGGCTCTTAGAGTCCTTCCTTTTCCTTCCTAAAGCCTAGTTAGTGCTTTTCCAGCTTTGGGAAGGCTGTGGGAGGGCTCTGCGACTGCCTTTGGGAAGGCAGTGGAGCATGCCAAATATTGGCTTTGCACAGGGTGCCATAGTACCCAAGTCTGCCATGGTTCACAAGCCTGTTCTGTGCTGCCCCACCAACCCTACTGAATAATCATTTTGCCTTGGGTGAAGCCAGAAATAACACTGGGTTGTATGGTAGTCTATGGACTTTGCGACAAAGATATCCAGACTCATGTCTAAGCCAAAAATATGAGAAAATGTAATAGTAGAGTAACCTTCAAGAAAGTTGTGCCAACTAGATGTATATTTTACATGGGGGGGAGGGGGGATATATGTATAGCTAACTGTATTCACATGATTCATTCATCGAAATAAATCTTCAAGTTTAATTAGGGAACTAAAAGTACACTAATTATTCTGGCACTGAATCAAATTTCCTAATGCACTTGATAAAAATAATAATAATAATTGTCAGTGCTATTTTTCTAGAAAAAGAGGTGCCGTCACCATGAATGCCTCCCTCATTCTCTTAAAATGGCAATGGTACCTGAGAGGCTGAGTTTCAGCTGGAAAACTCCCCCGATATTTGTGTTGCCTAAGTATCTAAATCTTATAACCATTTTTTTTAAAAAAAAAATATTTTTTCATATCAGTGATAATAAGGTTTCTTCTCCCCATAATTTTGTGAGCTGAAGAATTTGAAGATTTTGTAGTGCTGAAATCCAGTCCCGCTTTTTAAGTATCAAGTGGTTTGTTTTGAAATAAATTCTACATGGATCAGTATCATCCTCCCGCAATGAAACTGCGAGTATTTCATGCAACCCACACTGCTTTCCTGAACAAGGCATTTCAGTGGATGCACCGACTCTTCCAAGGTGAATCGGCTTGCTTCAGTCTATAATTAAACTATGTAAGGCCTGCAAGCAGTTTTCGTTATATATTACTGTCATGACTGCCCTGCAGTGGAATAGCTTGGTTTCTTTGCTTCTATTGCCATATTCTGAACTGACAGCACCTGTCTTGTTTCACCAGTCTAACATTAGCATGGCCTTTTATGCGCATGCTGACATCCCTCTGGAAATTCCAAGGACAGGACGGCAGCCATCTCAGAAAGTACCCTTGGAGAAAGAGATTCTTAAGCAGAAGTGAGCGGTGGGGCATCAGGGCTTTGAACCCAGCCTTCCAGTCAAATTCCGATCATACCTGTAGGGGACTCTCACACATCCCCTGTAGCCTTATCCAATAAACGAAAATGCACACTTTTACATGGCCAGATCTTTTGCATACATCCCTCCACAGACATTCATTCCAATTCCTTCACAATATATATGCTTGCTGCCCATATACATCACTGCACAACTTTCTTTCCATGGAACCTCCCTGAAATTATGGATCTGTGTAGCATTCTGTTATTGTTTGTATGGCTGTTTGTTTGTTTTTAAAGTATATATAGATCACTTTTCAGGCAGACCTCACAAAGTGGTTGACATAAGGTTATGACAATGATAGGCATCACTTTAAAAAGAAAAAGGGGAAAAGATTACCATACAATAAATACAACAACTCATTTAGAAAAAAGTTGTTACTGTATCTTCTTCATTCCCCCTCGGGGCATGAGGTTATGTGATAGTTGGCATATAGGTTTATAATAAATCAATAAAAACATACTTTAAAAATAAAATAAAACAAAATGGATCATCTGTTTGGGAGGGGAAAGCAGATAAGAGTGTTTGGATTCAGGGCCCCCTAGGTGGTCAACACTGACACCGGTGACAACATGGAAATCCTATATATGAAGCCAGGACTGCAGAAAATGTGACCCAGTAAGTCACTGTAGCTGCATCTACATCACACATTTAAAGCACTACGAACCGACTTCAAAGAGCTATGGCTTCCCCCCAAGAATTCTGGGAGATGTAGCTTTGTAGGGGTGCTGAGAGTTGGTTGGAGACCCCTAATTTATCCTCCTAGATCTATAATTTCCAGACATGCCACTGAAGAGAGATGGATTGTTAAACCACTCTGAGAACTGTAGCTCTGTGAGGGAAACAAGGGTCTCCGAACAACTTTAAGCACCCTTAATAATCTATAGCTTCCAGTATTCTTTAAAGGAAGCCATGACTGTTTGAAGTGCGAAGATCGTGCTTTAATGTATGGTGTGGACTGAGTAATGTGTCAGAATGATCCCAGACCTGAACCATTGTTTTGGAGCTAATTCAGAAAGGGTGATGTGACAACAGAAAGAAATCTCTGAATATAGTGATTTTCAGCTCTAAATGTGGTGTGAAAACATTTGAGCAAAACAAAAAACACCCTTACTTTTCCTAACTTCAAAAGACAGTACACAGTGTTTCTAAAACTGTCCATGTTCACTAAAATGAACCTAGAGTTATGGAGAAGCATGTTTACCGTTGAAGAAAATCGTTTTGTCCTCTGAATGTACTTCTGGTACCTCTGGTCATCCTTACTGTAACCAACTTCAAACATGCCTGGTATTTTTATGCCAATGCTGAAGCTTTGTTGTTCCGCTTTTGCCTTGGAGACATTCTCTTCAAAATTTGAATAAGATTCATATTCAGTCAACGCAAATTCATATTTGCCTTTGGTCTAAACAAAAAACATGAATAAGGAACTTTTTGTATCCTGATTCCACGCCTAAAGTTATCATAATTTTTGTAGTTTTCATTCTACATATTTATTGCAAACCAATAAAACCAATAAATAAATTTATTGCAAACCAATATTCTGTATATGACAGCAAATAAATGGCATTCATAATTAAATAAATACATAGTTGTCCACATGCAGACATGTTTTACACATAAGGCATATGGCTGGTTGGTAGAAAGTTAAGTGCCTCAACAATATATTACAAAAATATGTATTGCTGATTCATTAAAAGAGAGACAGAATCCTTAGCTGCTTTGCTGAAAATATGAAAAATCTTCCTTATGAAGGAAAAATGCAACTCATAATACCTGATATTATCAGTGAAGAGGTCTTCTGGATTATCTCTAACACACATATGTAGAGTACTTGAGGAAGCCCAAGTGACTTGGACTTCACATAAAACACGTAAGCATAAAACATAAATATTTGGTTGAGCATTATTTTCACTTTAATAAATGACTTGATGTATCAACAATCCGAGGAATTTTAACTGCACGTACAGCTCTTTAATACATACCTCTGCCAAATAGCTTTCTACATTGTATGGTTTTCTGAAATTGGTGTCTCCAATATACTGGGGAGAACATGCTCCAGCATAGTATTTATAGTCTAAAACCCATCCTTCCAGGTCGTTTGTGAAAATATTTAATCTGGGGAGAAGGGAAATGGGTAAAGTTGCCGTGCTTAGACATTGGTTATTCAAAGTAAGTTATACATCTTCTTTCGGCAACATCTTTTAGTTCATATGAGGCCTGTTTTGGCCTTGGAAAAACTACACAATTTTTTAAAAAGCAGTAATGCAGCAAATGGGAGGGGGTCAAAACTGGGTCTGTCTATCAAGCATACTGATTTTCCCAGACACAGTGAACAAATTATATTCTGTTATCATCCAGGAGAGAACCTCCAAAGTATTATGAATTTTTTCATACTTGCACTACTTGTAACCCACTAAGCTGAACAGAACCCAGCAGTCAGGTGTGGCAGTCCATGAGAGTTAAAATCGTTAAAACCTGAAACAGTTAAAACCTGTTCCATTGCTTCCTTTCTAGATGTATATATAGGTGGACAGGGCCTTGTGTGTGAGGGAGGCTATAGTATATGCAATAGAAACATAGCAAGTTGCCTTATACTGAAGTCTGACCGTTGGCTCAGTCAGTTCAGCATTATCTATACCAGATTGCAGCTACTGTGCTTTCCAGAGGGGATGGGAGCAGGGGTCAGTGCACAGGAAACAGAGCAGCAGGACCCATCACCAGAGGGGTCTCTGTCTCCACAGCAGGCTCTGAGGTGTAAGGAGCAGCAGCAGAATCTGTCTTGGAGGCTGGGGCAGGCAATAACCCACAGCCCATCTCCCTAGCTGGCCAGGTGGAGCTCGCTATGTGATTCTTCAGCTGGAGTAGGCTCAGAACAGGTGAGGGTCATTTGCCTCGTTAAGCCCAGATGCTGCAATCATTGAGGTGCTGTGTCTGCTCAAGTAACTGCCCATGTTGATGCTCCAGGATCTCTGTGGGACTTTGGGCATGTGGACTGACCCTGGACTGGGAACTTGACATACTGACTTGCCACCAGGTAGGCCAGGGGTTTGGGACACCCAGGGTATAGAATTTTTTTATTTTAAAAACGTTCCAATATTAATTGTATTGGACCTTTGGCTAGAATGTATTAGTCCTGTTTTGGTGTGCCTGCATTTTATGACTCTTGCGATAAACTCCTTTCCTATCTGACCCTGAAAGTAGCACAAACGGTCACTCAGGATATTCTGCTACTTCTGCTTTGAGATAGCTTCGGGGTGAAGAAATCCGGCATCTCCTTGAGAGGTTCCAAGGAACAGATAGGGACAGGAATGTTTGTAGAAGGATGTTTAGGAATGTTTCAATGTTTTATAACTCTTTGTGTGCTGTGTTTGAGCTACAATATAAGCTTTGTTCTGTTTTTACTCTGGTCAGACCTTTTTCTGAAGTGGTGGTTCGGCTAGAACAACCATGTTAAGTTGAGCTATTAAAATAATATCTAAGCTTGCTGTAATTCTTTGGTTCCATGTTTCATTTAAAAGCTGTTCCCTCGCCTGGGTAATGAACAGGTGGTGGTGAAGTAGATTCTTCCCATGAGCTGATGAAGGTTCAGATGGAGCTAAAAAGTTTCTAACACCTGTTGTAAAATTCTGCTGCAAGAGGGTATCATGGCTACTTTTCTAGGAAGTATGAGAATGTGTCTCAAAATCCCCCCTTTCTCTAAGCAGTCATAGAATTTGTTGATAGTTCTTCTCTTCTAAAGCAGGAATGTGAAATCTCAGCCAGGCCCCTGAGCCAAATGTGGACTTCTAGGCCTATTTATCTGGCCCTTGAGAATCCCCAAAGCCTTTTCCCCTCCCTGATCACCTCATCTCTTCCCAGGCCACAGCCTCACCAGCCTAGTTTCACACCCTCCTTGAGTGTTTTTGGAATGTTTCCTTGAACTCTGTTAATTCCTCATGGTGGTCTGAATGTAGGGTAGGGGTGGGCAGGTGCAGAAACTAGCCTGCTGAATAAAGGTAAATTTTACATTTGTTGCTCCGCCTACTTTTACCTCTGGTCCCACCCACCATTGGCATATAGCTCTGGGGAAGATTGCCCAGAAGTGAATGTGACCCTCAAGCTGAAAAAATGGTTCCCACCTCAATTCTAAAGGTAGAACTGCAAATTGTTCCATTTGGCAACAATCCTGTTTCTGGAAATATAATGGAACTGCTTACCCACTTGCTAGCATTTGTATTCCCCAGTATTGTTCCATCTCCTGGCTGCACTTTTTATACACTTTCTTACAATTTCTTTCATCTGACTGATCCCCACAGTCATCATCTCCATTGCAAAGCAGCCTCCGATTAATGCATCTCCCTACAACACAGAGTGGGAACACACTAATTAATTGTTAATCTGATATTTCCCTTTAGCTCAATCAGTGCAATGCTTTGCCCCTGACCCCTGAAAATGTGAAGATGCAATTATCAATTTATTTCAGGGAAAGCGCTTGGCTTATCTGCTCCTTTACAAATTCGGGTTTAATAACCAGGCACATTTAATTGATTAGGATGAGTCTGCATAAACATTTTTGTAATATTATTTTGAACTTAAATTAGCGGCAAATTGTATTGCATTTCTTAGGCGAAAAGTCGTCACTAGCAGAACTTGAGAAATATGGTACAACTGTAATTGCAACATGCAGCCAATGTATAACCTAGCAATCTGGTTGAAATATAGAATGTACTGAGTATTGAGGATCATTGTTTTGAAAAGGCAATGTTTCTGTACTTTAGAATTGTGCTGAAATGCTTGAAAGCATGCTCGTACTAGCTTTATTTGGATGTAATAATAAACTATGGTTTACTGTTACATCGATGTTCCTGTGCAAACCTCAGGCTCACACCTTCCCTGTTCTGCTTTGCACTGCCATGAGAAGCACTGCCAGCCTACCGCTAGGCAGAGTAAGGCAATTATCTCAGGTGCAGATGCTAGAGGAGGTTGCAGTAGTCCCTTTAAGTTCCTCCTGAGGTTCTGTTCCTCAACAATTCCCCTCCATTGGAGATTAGAAATATGTGTGCAATATGCCTAAACTAGCCTGCTGTCCTCAGGTGCACAGAGATATACATACAGACAGATGCTATCACATTGTATGTGTTAAAGCAAGACTTAACTGCTAGTTAGTTTCTGTACATGAAAAGGGGTGTGTGGAACATGTTGCTATGTGCTTCACACAACAAGATGGCTTGGGTCAGTCCTGGAGGAAAATGAGAAGCTTTCACTTCCATTTTTTAATTAACGTCCGATTAGTGTTATGTCATAAGCTGGACAAACTGTGGATAGTTTTAACTATGCTTTGCTGAATGCAAACCTCACTTTGTGATGCTGACTGGTGTCCATACACCTTAGTTCAGATTAGCTACAGTTTAGGATTCGGATGTAACATTAAACTGTGGTCAGTTGGAGATGGAGGTGAAATCTTCCAATCTCCTCACTGTACTTGTGCAAAAGAAGAGACTGGAAGGTGGCCACTCAAACCCAAGGCTTGCACTGTCTCATTTATGTTTTGAAAAATAACAGTTCATCATTATATTTGAATGAGGCCACTGTCTGCAAAAAGTTGAGAAACTGAACAGCCTGCACTCAATGTCCTATGCTGAGAAGCAGCAGTTGATGGGCCATGTTTGAATACTAAACCTGGATCTATAGAAGTGGGTAAATACAGTGCAATGGCTTTAACCTTGGATTTATATCCCTGTTCTCTATTCCCCAAAACTACAATAGGATGAGTTACCTACTAGTGATTTTTACTGCTGTATTTTAATCTATTGAAAGCTGCCTAGATTGGCTGGGGTAACCCAGTTCGATGGGTGGCATATAAATAATCATTATTATTAGCACTAGTAGTATATAAATATGTCCACCACCTAAGGATTCCTCATCCATAAAACTGAGTCTAAGCAAATTTGTACTGCAAATCCTACTTATGGCACTCTTGAGTCTATGTTTTCAAAACCTCCTTTCTGCCCTGCCATAACTCTTATTCCTGTGCCAACTTCCTGCCTTTCCCCCTTCTCCTTGACCCCCAAAGTGCTTCTGGTTCTGCTTCCACTGCTTTCTTGGCTTGAATAAGACCCTGCCCTAAACTTCTTGAAAACGGGGACCGCCTGCTTGCTATGAAAGCAGAATCTGCCAACGTTGCACATAGCCTAATGCAAAGTCTCTTTCCCATGGCATCCCATTTGCATTACCAACTTAATGCTTCCTGCATCCTTTCATCACTTGCTGCAACCACCAAAAAAAGTACAATTTCTGTAGGAATTCCAAATGTTGCCATTGCATAAAAAACAAGCAAACAGCAACCTGGAGTTTCCTGGCTGCAGAAATCGAGACAGCACTGCTGTGTCTAATAAATCCTCATTTTTTTGTTTTATAGCGAAGTTTGAGGAGAAAGCTGATGAGGAGTAATTCTTAATATATTACGAATGTTGATGATTGTTGCTGCAGTATCTTTTTTTAAAAAAAATACGACTGCAATATTTTGAAATTCTAGCTGTGTATAATATGAGTCATTATAAGAGCTTGGGAAGGCAGTTTTCTTATTTTTCTTGCTGCAGTTTATAACCCAGAACAGATCTGAAATTCTTTGCAGCCTGTCTAGAGCATCTATACCTCCAGCACCCTGCCATGTATACTGCTGGAAAATGCACACGCAGGCGTGATTACCAAGCAGGCTTGGGCATAATGTAATCCAATAAATTTTAACAGCAGACATGAGAGAAAGCACGTGAGCTTCATTTTGATCTGTATGGACCTCTTAAAATGAACCTAGAAAGGGAGCCGGGAACAAATAAATTTTGTTATGATAAAGCTAACAGAGAGCATATCATTTATGATTTCTGAAACATGACACCACCAGGGGTACACAGCGGGTAGAATTGAACATTGTGCATTGTGTCTGCACATTCCGTCTGCACAAGCACTGCACCTCGCAGATTGGAACTGTTTAAACTATGGATTAAATATGAGCATGCAGTATGCTGGTGTACACTGTTGACGTTACAGGCACTTCACTCCTTCCCTGCTCATGCTCTATATGTGCTGCCAGGAAACAGTCCATCGTCTGACTTAGTCTGAACTCAGGCTTGTAGATTGTTTCCTCCCAACAAACCATAATTGGTAAGCCAATAACAACCCTTGGTTTCAATTCATGGTTTGTCAGGAAAGCAGCAAACCCAGATTGGAATTTAGTGCCGGACCCAGACTCTGGCCTGATTCCCAGCAGCGCAACAGCAGAAGTTGCTCGAGAGAAGTGAATCACCCACTGTTTTGCATCATTCACCAGCACACTGTGTGTTCGCATATAAACCATAGTTTAGTTTAACTGTGGTTTAAAATGATGCGCAAACCAGGCCATTGTTGTTCCCTGTTGTCCCATTCTTCTTGCTGGTTTTATAATTATGTCTGTTTAATAATGCAAACCATATCAAATTTCAGTTGTGACAAATCAAACAATGTGAACTATTACTCTACAGTTTAAAAGGTCTGCCAAGAGTATGATTTCATTCACTCTATTAAGTTCAAATTTTCATTCACTCTATTAAGTTCGAATACAATACAATACATGGGGGCTTAGCCACTGGCTTCAAATTTAGGAAAACCACTTCTTATTCACTAACCTGTGGCACACACAAAGCCTTCACATCTAACTGTATTCCTGCAAGGTCTGTTTGTAACGCAGTCTTCAGTTTCTTTGTCAGAGTAATCACACGGGTCACCGCCAAACTGAGAAGGCCGTTCCACATGGACAAATCTGTACTGTAACAGAATAGAGATTATGAATTCCAGGTCTCCTAAATTAAAAAAGGCATGTATCCCTGATATCCCTAGATCTCTGCTAGTGGCAGCACCAAGCATCAATGGCAAATATCAGATTTCTTCCTATTCCATCTCTGTGGTTAAGAAGAAGGCATCTGATGGCATTTTATATATATATATATATATATAATGATTAAATGATCTCAGAATCAAAGCAGAGCCCAGTTCCTGATATATAGGTAAAGGTAAAGGTACCCCTGCCCGTTCGGGCCAGTCTTGCCAGACTCTAGGGTTGTGCGCTCATCTCACTCTATAGGCCGGGAGCCAGCGCTGGCCGCAGACACTTCCGGGTCACGTGGCCAGCGTGACAAGCTGCATCTGGCAAGCCAGCGCAGCACACGGAACGCCGTTTACCTTCCCGCTGGTAAGCGGTCCCTATTTATCTACTTGCACCCGGAGGTGCTTTCGAACTGCTAGGTGGGCAGGAGCAGGGACCGAGCAATGGGAGCTCACCCCATCGTGGGGATTCGAACCGCCGACCATGCGATCGGCAAGTCCTATACCAACTACCAAAACAATCAATCCACAAATCAATTTACAAAAGAGAAGGTAAAAGTAAAGTACTAGTGTTAAAATTTATATCACAACATAGTGCAAGCGGTTTAACACTGTCTGGCCGCTGTGAGAATAGGATGCTAGGCCTGATCCAGTAGGCTCATCTTATGTCATATATACACATTAATATCCTGTTAATGCCCAAGCAAATGTATAGAACATATGTTTCCAAGTTGCTTTCAGAATGACAGTCAGGGATGTGTGTATGTTGTGGATTTTTGTTTTTGCTGGTTTTTATTCAGGGCTATGTTCAAATTAAGGAGTTCTCAAGGCTAGATCTCCCATGATTATGTGTGTTCTATAGCGATTAGGATGGCAGAGAAATGTCACCAGGCAGAATGAAGTTTTGCACCTTCATAACCGTGCATTCGATCTCTAATATATGTGTGGGATGTACCTCCTTTGTGGGTTGAGGGGAAGACCAAATTAGTACTGCTCAAAGTATGCAGAATGTTCTCTTTTTGTTGCCATACTGATTGGCAGATAGCTACCCTTTTTGCTGTTTGAGGGAATGGTTTCCCCTGACCTCTTCATTACCCACCCCCCGGTCCTTGCACCTTCAGAGGTAGGGAGAAAAAGAGTGATTTGGGACACTTTGGTGGCCTGCCTGTGAAACTCCTTTCCCAGGAAGACCTGTCTGACTGCTGTTCTGTTGTTCTTCCGAAGTTGGGGAAAACTTTTATTCCCTTTTTAACGAGTATTCTATGTGGGGCTGCCCTTGAGACTGACCCAGAAACTCCAGCGGGTGCAGAATGCCGCGGCAAGACTCCTTACGGGGTCTTCGCTGCGAGATCACATTCATCCGGTGCTATACCAGCTGCACTGGCTCCCGGGGGAGTATAGGATCAGGTTTAAGGTGCTGGTTTTAACCTTTAAAGCCCTATATGGCCTAGGACCCTCGTACCTACGGGACCGCCTCTCATGGTATGTCCCATGGAGGACCTTACGGTCTTCAAATAAAAACATCTTGGAGATTCCTGGCCACAGGGAGGTTAGACTGGCCTCAACCAGAGTCAGGGCTTTTTCAGCCATGGCCCCGATCTGGTGGAACGCTCTGTCGCAAGAGACCAGGGCCCTGCGGGACTTGACATCTTTCCACAAGGCCTGCAAGACGGAGCTGTTCCACCAGGCCTTTGGCCAAGGCACGGTCTGAACCCCTCTCTCCATCTGTAATCCTCATAGAACTCTAGCCCAATGGTTGCCATTAATTTGATTCTGAATTGATTTTAGAGTGTATTTTAATCAGTTGACTGTAATTTTATGTAAATTGTGCTATTTTTACTGTTGTTAGCTGCTATGAGCCCGGCTTTGGCCAGAGAGGGCAGGATATAAATTCTTCTTCTTCTTCTTCTTCTTCTTCTTCTTCTTCTTCTTCTTCTTCTTCTTCACAGCATTGATTCTGAGAGGTCTAATTCTGATTAAAGCCCAGTTTTCTCCCCACTAACACAGAATAGCGGCCTGGCTACATGTTCCTTCTTGTATCAGACAAAACCATGCAGGCTGTAGGCCACTTAAGCTCTTAGCCCATAAGCAAAGCTGGCCAGGGATAGGATGGGGGCAAGTAGATCATCACTGTTGATAGGATTCGCACATAATTCATGTACCCTGCAGCTGGGAGCATTGCTTCGATGAGAGGATCGGGGTGGAAAGTCAAGGCTCTAATTTAATGCTCTGAAGTAGCATGCTGGCAAGTCCTGTCACCGCAATCCCCCTTTGCCCCTGGATTGGCAGTTGGGGAATTAGGAGAAAATACCCCTGAAGAAGCCAGTTCTGGCTAAGAGACTTCTCGGTACTGACACCTCCTCTAGGAACTGCAGCAGTTTTTGGATCAGCTGATGTCGCTGAATTGGTCCTCTGCTCTTGGTGGATGACTCCTGCCTTTCTGCTTATCTGCCTGCTCTTCTGTCAACCATGAACTCACCTCCCATGCTCCACCAAACTGCAGATGGTTTCCTCTCCTTGGGACCACTCTACTTTTAAAAAAAATGTTCCCAGCATCCTCACCTTCTCCCATGGTCTCCAGAAGCCCTTCATGCTAGCAAAGGTCCAATCCTGCCCAAAACTAGTTACTAAGTGCCTGACAGGGTCCCAATTTCCATTACCTCTGACACCCTCCAAAATCCTCCATCCAGAAACACTAAGTGAGCAGGTCTGTGGAAATCTCTGGGGTTTGCTTAGTACCAGATACACGTATCTTCCGTCCTGCCTTGTCATACCATTAGGGCACATTTCAGAGATCAGATGTGCTCATGCAACTCTTTTCTATGATTTCATATTTGCTGTGGGCTTTAACCTATGCTGCCCCTGTTCATTGTTGACAGGGTGACTAGGAGGCCCATATGCAATGTATCACCAGTGCTGTCAGTTTCATTGTGATGCTGTGAAAGATGTCATGGGAGAAAGGTCTCAAACTTTTACTGGCTTTTGTGTACTTTTCAGTCATATGCTAGAGTGCCGATAAGCTCTATACCTCTAGATGCAACAGCCAGCATGCAATAAAACCTTCTCAGTTACAAGTTCAATATTATCTGTGCTCTCCTCGGTTTGCTATATCCACTTTTCTTAGCATCTAATACAATAGGGCTTTCAGCTGCTATTCCAATAACAAAAGTAATGATGATAAATAATCATATGTAAGCTGTGGCTTTGAGCAAGGCCAAAGAATGACTACTCAAAAAATGAGTAGCCTTAGCATGGTGACAAGATGATATTATACGGCACTTTTGAAGATAATGGGAATCTTACCACTAATGTCTGTAACAATCAAAGCCTTAGTCTGAAGACACTTTGTAGGTGGAAAATGCTCAAGGATGAAAAATGAGCAGCTGTGGGCCATAATCTCCCAGCCAAAAGCAAGGATATTGAGGGCGCTCCACACAAATGGGCTCTACATCAGGAGTGCTCTAGCATAGCTAGTAAAGTGTGGCAACTTCCCAGTCACTTTCTGTACAAGAAAGACAATAAAAGGCTTGCTCCCCCACTGCTGTGCAAAGTGCTTTGCTGACCCCATGCTCTATGGTTAGCTCTAAGGGCTAGCAAAGCACATTGTGCTGCCCTCTCAAATGCCACACAGCCAGCTGGTTGCTGGGCGTTTTTGTGAAATGCTGCACAAGGGACTGACAGGTGCCATTGACCTGACATCAGACAATTTGAAAGGTGGGTTGTCCTGCCAACCTGTCAAAGGTGGCCTGTGGGGGTGGGGGAGAATAGGAAACTGACCCACTGGAGCAACAGAAAACATATCTGCTCCATCTTTGCAGTGGGACTGCAAGCAGGCTGTTTAAGTGGATACAAAACAGGATTGCCAATAAATACTGAAGTTGGGATTATGATACCTCTGTTGAAAATAAGTGGAAGTAAGAGAAGACAATGGGTGGTGGACATGCTCATTTTTAAATCATGACTTTCTCCAGACAGCACATGTTGCTGATAAATTGTTTTTTGATTTTTTTAAATTCACCATTATGAAATGTGGACAACCAAACAGGTATGTGCAGCTGAACAGGTACAATGAGGTCTGAAATTCAGACCAGGTATTTGGGCCCCATAAATTGAACTGAACTGATTAATCTGCAGATTCACACCTGGGAATATTGGAAGAGGAAGCGGTGTCTATGTTGTGCTTGTGTAAGTGCAACCTCTGGTACCTGTTGGCTGAGCTGGTGTGATGGCATTGGATGCTCATGAACTTGCCTGCTGTTTAGGGAATAGAGCTTGTCAAAATGATTGTAATCCAACTTTTGAAGGGAGGAAAAGTTGCTGGTTTGACAAGGATTGCAGCACAGTCCCTTGGGATGAGAGTATGCTTGAGGGAGAGGCTGGAGACTAGAAGTGCATGGAAGCTAAAGGCCCAAAGGCAATGGGGGTGAATGAAGGAAAAAGAAATTTGGGGCAAGATAAATAATGGCTTGAGGGAATGGAGCAAAGGAAATGAGGACAAACTAAGTTTCTTTTCTCATCCGCATTTTTAAAAAACTTTATTTCAAAACAAAATGTTATATTGTTGCTTTTAAGGAAGGGACTCTTTGGGGGAAAACCCACATAGATCAGTATGGCTTTGTATGCTCTGTGGAATTTCTATGTATAGATATGAGAACACAAAAGGCCACCCACAAGGCACAAGTGGGCATTTTTCAGTGCTCTGAAAAATGAGAACCCAAGGAAATGATGTGTAATAGAGACATGGAGTTGAAAGGGAGCCATTTTGATTTGAATTAATCAGCCACTTTGCAAGCTTCTCATTGCAATACACTGAAATGCCACACAAACAGATCACAAAGACACTCACCCTTTTCCTCTGGCAAGGATCGCAAGTGCTCCATGATGACCAGCTGGAAAGTGTACAATCGATGGGCTGTGGTGGGTTGCTGGGAGACCGGCGCCATCTGCCTTTGGTCACATTGGTATCGGCTCCATGTAGTTGAAGAGAACTGTCTTTTTCTCCACTGCATTTTAATAGAGGGAAGGGTATTTTTTCATTAGGGCGCATGTCAATCTGTCTCCTATTTCTTAATGCCAGCACCCACCTGGGCACCAGTTTAGAGCACTTCCCATTCACAGAAAAAGAAACAAGGTGTTCAATTAAAGTACACAACAGTTTTGCCACTCTGCCTTGTGCAAAATTCAAGTTGCACAACCAACTCAAGTATTGTAATTGCTGCACGAGCGAAATCCCACATAATTGAATTCTTGTGTGATTACTAAGGATGTGTGATGCAGAACTCTGCATGGGCCACTGCATGCCCATCAGCATACCACTGAGAGGCATTTATTGTTGAAAACAGTCAACATACAACCTCAGTGCCCAGTACTAATGGGTGTGTAGATAGTATCCAGAGTTGATGTTGCATCTCAGCTTGAGGTGATGCCAACTGACCAAAACTCACTGAAACTCAGTAAATGGTGAGACAAAATCTAATAAGCCCAGGCTGAATTTAACCTGCCACTTTGAAGTCCCTTCCTAGCTATTGGCTGAATTGCTATGGTGTCACAGAAGCTTGATATTCAGAGCTTATTCACTGTATTGAATTAGTGGTCCTCCCTCCACCCTTCTTGCTCCCTCCACAAGTATATGGTTCTCACTGGATTAGGTAACAGATAGGTGGATTTGTAGCTGGTTGACTGACTGAACCCAAAGAGTGCTCATGAATGGTTCCTCAACATTCTGGAAAAAAGTGATGACAAGTAGGGTGCTACAGGGTTCTGTCCTGTGCAGGGGTGCTGACATGGAACCCAGGTTATGGGTACCTAGTGGAGCCCATGATGTAATGTGCCGTCATGATGTCATGACATCATGATGTCACGTTGTGGCGGTGGCTCAGCGGCACTTCCGAGGCCTCGCAGGGTTTCGAAGGTTACATCCGAGGCCTCGCAAGACCTCCGATGCGACTTCCGGTTTCTACTGGAAGTCGCATTCGGAGGCCTGGCAGGGCCTCTGACATTGCTTCTAAGACCTTGCAGGGCCTTGGAGGTCACATCTGAGGCCTCGTGAGTCCTTTGATGTGACTTCCGGTTTGTACTGGAAATCGGGTTTGGAGGCCTGGCAGGGCCTCTGACCTCCTCTGGGGGGTTGCATCAGGTCTCTAGTAGAAACTGGAAGTCATGTCGGAACCCCATGTTGTGAGAGCTAAGCAAAAATAAAAATTGTGGGTGCCCTGGCATCCAGGGGCCCCTAGACCTGACATCTATGGTCCTGGGCCTACAGCTGTTCAGCATCTTTATCAACAACTTGAGGGCATGCTCATCAAATTTGCAGATGACATCAAACTGGTATTCAGAAGTATTAATGCTTGAGACTGTGGAAATCGGTGGGGAGCAGTGGCTAGCCTGTGCCCTTCAAATGCTGCTGGACTACAATTCCCACCACCCTCAGCCAGCATGGCCAGGGATGATGAGTATTGTAGTTTGGCAACATCAGGAGGGCAACAGGTCAACCATGCCTGCCTTATAGCCTGGCTGCAGCTTGAACATGGACAATTTATGGGACTCTTTCATGCCTTCACTCTGAGATGCTTATGAGACAGAGATGGGACACAGAGTAGTTGCAAATGGCCGGGTTTCCATTCTGCCTCTTTAACATATGAAGGGATTTTATAGGTTTTAATCTATATGTATTAGTAGAAATGGAGGAAGGTAAAACAAATACATACACACAACCAATTCACTTTCTGTAACTAATACAATACCTGATAGGAATCTATTCTTTTCCTTGTATATTATACAACCCATCAACGGTTTCCCATGAAACAGAGAGAATACTTCATATTTCAAGTTGACACACTGACGATTGTTACCTCCATGTAAAACATTATGAGTCAAATGTTAAGCCCTTTTTTCTCAGACAAGGCTATTAATAAAAACCTGATAAGTCTCTCTGTGTGCATGTGGTGTAAAGCCTTTGACTGCACAAATGACATGAAATAATACTAGAAAACCTCCTGATATCACCAGCAAAAAGAAATCTATTTAGTGATCATTTTCAGGGTTGAGTATGCCTCTTCAGATGTTCTATATCAGAAACATACGGAAACAAAACATAATAATAATAATAATAATAATAATAATAATAATAATAATATAGAAAAGAAGAGGCAGTAAGGATTTGCACACTAGCTGTGCCCCCGCCACTCAATCATCCTCCATAAGTTGATCTTCTGAACCTGGGACACTCCGCATGAACTCCTAAGTGTCTCCTCATGCATTTTAGAATTGGAGTCCTAAAAGACTGCCCTCCAAGCTATGCTTGATAGCACACTTATCGCTGCCCTCTTCTTCTTCCTCCTCCTCCTCCTGTTTTCCAGAATGACATATAACGTATTTTAATGCTAGTCTGAAAACTGTGTGGTCCACCAAGCCATATTCAGTCCCAAGGATTGTTAAGCCTGTTCTACTGCTGCCTTCTAGGGTTGGAAAAATGGGAGGGGGAGTGTCAACTGCTTGGCAGAAGGATGCAGCATTTGGCTTGGGGGGCCTGCAAATTGTGCAGTCCTGTTTTAATGAGCTCCCTTAGGACTAGGGGGGCAAGATGCGCCTGTTTCAAAGACACCTTCAAATAGGTCTCATTGTATTTTCCAAGGAATACAAAATATGGCGGGGAGCAGCAGTGTTTTGCCATCCTTAACACACAGATCCACGAGTCTTATTTATAAATTTTTCTGGAGCAATAAGCATGCCTTGTTGTCGCAACTATTACTTCCTACAATCAATTTTCTGAAAGTCTTTGGGAATGTAATCAAACTTTAATTACAAAAGAAATTAAAATGATAATTAATTTTCAACTGGCAGTTAATAAAAGCTTCCATCCACCTTGATTATAGTGGGTTAAACACCCAGAGCAGGGTGTAAATTCTGCTTCGAGGAGTAATTTGAAAAACAACAACAACAGCAAGCCAGAAATAAAGAACAAAGACAAATGCTATTTTCTAGAAAGATGAAGAGAAATAAACAATGCACAAATAATTAAGATGGGAATGCCACTGGCTTCAGCAATTTCTTTTAGCAGAAGCAGGTTTGCAACAAGTAGATTTACATGACGTAAGTGTACATTTTACACCGCCATGATATATTCCAACTGCTTGCCCAGTTAAGAAAATAATTGATACTTCTCTTAATTGTACTGCTTACAACTTAATCAGGCATTGAAAGGTCTGATCGAAAGTGAAACACAATATACCTACCTGACATCTGCTTAACACTTTTTGTCATATTAAAATAAATGAGTGCTATTATTAATATTAGGAACAAAAAGCAGCTAAGTAGCGAGGGGTGGCTGTTCCTGGCATAGAGTGCAATTCTTCAGAATAAGATGACAAAAGGGGTTGATGGGAGAAGAGATTATACATAATGAAGGTCTGACGAAGTTACAACGGGGCAGCAGTGTAGGAGAGGTGGAGGGCATTAAAAGTAAGGATGAAGTGCCTGAGGTTAACATGTAGGGAAACAGAATTACATGATCAAACAATAGGTGGAAAATGTGAATTTAGTGTGTGTATGTATTTTTTAAAAAGGGAAGCTTTGCGGAAGAGGGTGTTAGTAGGAAAGAAGTTATAGTCGTCTTCCAGATGACTTCCTGATAGAAGTAGATGTACAGGAAAAGGTAACTCTGGGAGATGTAGTGAAGGATGCAGAGTTTGCTTGGCTGCTAAAGGAGAAGGACAGGAAAAAGTCAAAGGTGGCCCTTTAGTGACATGCCTCTGAGATGGGCAGGCGACAGTACCTAAGAAACCCAGAGTGAAGATTCTTTAAGTATTACACTAGCATTGTGGAAGAACCATGTCCATGTGTTTATCCTATGGGCATCAGTGTGATATTTAAAGGCCTACAGCCACATGGACCTTTCCCGTAAAATCAGCTCTAGTGTTGCAGGCCTTTAAATGTTAAATAATAACAATGGGATAAACTTATAAACAGCAGCACAGCTCCTGTAATGGAAGGTGAGGATTAATGGTTGCAGACCAGTGTCCCTGTTTTCCAGGGGCAGTCCCGGATTTGCAGAAGCTGTCCTGGTTTCTGATTGATCCCAGAATGTCCTGGGAGAAATGCTGTAGGGTATGGAATAGGACATCCCTATTTCATTGGATAAGTGTTGGAAGGTATGTGGTTGACAGCATGGAAACAGAAGGTATCACTCATATGAAGTGGAGTATGTACAAAAGTGGAAGTGACAAGTTGGCATATACAATATTCACTCCCCCCCAATATCTTAAATTTTAGACTCGACTAGGCAAGACAGCCACAGGGAGAAAGATGTTACTGAATATCAGAGCACCATTTCACATACTTTGGAGTCTCCAAGCGATCAGGCTTGTTCAAATGCATGTCACTTTGCAACATGTTCAGTTCAATATGGTCCTCCTTTGGTGAAACTTTGCAGCTAATCCAGAAATAGCTCAAGAGGCACTTTCCATGTACCACACAAATATCAGAACAGAAGGTTACCATTAAACGTCACTATCTATCACATTACCATACTGATATTGGTTTGAAAAACAATATTCACTTACCTGGAGCAATGCAAATTTAAGAAGCTTATGCTTACACAGATCACGAAAACTCTGGCCAGCCACGAACAAAAGAGTATAGATGCTGCACTCATGTTTTAAAGTACTGTGGGAAATCTATAGCATGTTTCTTTACTAAATCCGCTTGCTACTGTGTTTGAAAACAGCGGGGCGAGCAAGGTAGATTAGTAGCTGTTTCCCAGCAGGCAAACAGAAGATAAGCTACCTTCTGACAAATTTAACAAAGTTTACTGGTTGGACAGAGCCTTCTACTGGGCTGCTGGAAAACTGTTGGAGAAAGTCGGAGACATGAAGCACAGCTCAGGACCTGTTTACTGGCCTGTCTTACATAAATCTAAGGCTGCAATCCTATAGCCAGTTATGGAGATTTAAAATTGGAACTCTATGCATAGTAACCTGGGTGTAACATGCCTTATTGGACACACAGTGGGACTTACTACAGAGTAAGGAGGAACAGCAGGGGACTGCAACCCCTGTTAACTTCTACCTATAATTGGCTTCCCATTTGCAGATTAACATTACAATTCTTTGTATTTAATGGTGCTTAGTCTCAGGTAAGTATAGGATTTCACTAGTAAAGTATTTAAAATCTTAATTTAGAAAAGATTTGAATAGGAAATCATTATCGCCCTCAAAGCCCAGTTCCTACCTTTCTGTTTTCATCCTGAAATAATCAATCACAATGAGTTAAAACACAGAGACTTCCTTGATTCTGCAGGAAAACTAAACCATCTGCTAAAAGTATAGGTGATCCTGGTCAAGATCAATAAATGCTTTAGGGTCACACACACACACACACACACACCCTTATTTTTAATTGTATATTTTTATCTCATGGCAGCCACATCTTGAATAATACACTGCAGATCATATTCTGGAGCTATAGCCACTCCGCATCAGAATAAAAACAAGGGTAATGAAAAGAAGAGCCTGTGTCTACAACTAGACACAACTGCTTATAGTCTGATGCTTGGTTAAAGGGATATTTTCACTACCCGTGATGTGGATCCAGCAGTCAAAAGCAGGTGGGAATTCCACAGATAACAAGGACTGTACTGATTTAATTGTAGTTGAATGCTTGTGCCAGACGTCAACCACCAGCAATTGCTTCTTTTTCCTACCAATTATAAATAGAGTCAAGGGCTCTTTTAAATAATGAGTTGAGCACAATCTTATCTTTGATGGCCGTTAGTACATCAAATTTCTAAGGAGGTTATGTTTATTTATGTGTAAATTTATTTGTAAGTTTTTACAAACTTTCAAGGCAACTAACAATCTGATACAATACAACGCCATTAACCCCCCCCCAGAAGAATCGATAAAACAAACCATAAGCCAATTGAAGAAAAAAACAGAAAACAAAAATGGGGGGATAACGTTATAGAATTCTATTTGCAGTGCTACCACTAAAAGGGCCCTGTTTTCAGACATTCTCCTTGAGGAGACCTGGAGGGCAGCTTCTACGCACTTTAACTTGCCTGGCACAAGTTCTTCAGGTACAGTCATACTTCGGGTTAAAGTAGCTTTGGGTTGAGCGTTTTTGGGTTGCGCTCCGCAGCAACCCGGAAGTAACGGAATGTGTTACTTCCGGGTTTCACCGCTCGCGCAGACGCTCAAAATGACATCACGTGCATGTGCAGCAAATTGTGGCACGTGCAGACGCACAGACACGGGTTGCGTTCGCTTCAGGATGTGAACGGGGCTCCGGAACGGATCCCGTTTGCATCCAGAGTACCACTGTATTCTAATTACTATCATGAAATCTAAAAGACATGAATTACTACAACATACATCCCTTATACATTTACAAGTCCCATTCAAACACAAAGCTAAAAAAATAGAATTGTTTTATTGCAACATCATTTCTTTACAACAAACAACTTAGCAACAACCATTTAACAGAGAACTTGTGCCATATCAGCTGACTTATTATGGGAAGTGCTCAGGAAAGCCTGCGTTCTGCCAACTGGATTCTCAGCAGATGGCCTAACCGATAACCTTTCCCCTTCATCGGTATTCAATGAAGACCAACAATTAAGAAAGGTGGTTCAGGCTGTCCAAAGGTTTTGTCAGCTTCAAGTCCCATTGGTCCCATGACTAACAAAGATGTTTCTAGCAGTGGCTTGACCTTTGATGTGATCAATTTCACTGTTAATCATTAGTGCACAGATAAAACACCATTTACTGGAAAGTTTGTGGATCACTGTTTGCACAGAAGGCAAGCAGTATCACCTGAGATTATAGATACAAAAAATGTTGTATATTTTATAAAAAGACAATGCAGAACAGAATCCGACAACCTACAGTGAGTGTCGTTTAGAAACAACAATAGCACCCAATTACTAAATATAATTTATAATCTCTTGTTTTTCCAAAATACTTTTATTTATTGTTCTGCAGTATTAACCAGATATATGTTAGAATAAAAAATTACACAGAAAGTTAGTGATCGTATTAGATACAGTGGTACCTTGGTTTGCACACGTTTTGGATTACAAACCTGTTAAACCTGGAAGTGGGTGTCCAGGTTTGCAACCTTTTTTTGGATTACAACCCCCCCTTTTTTTTTTTTGGATTACGAACAATTTTTTTGGGAGGCCCCATTGGCGAAAGCATGCCTTGGGTTACAACCTGTTTTGGTTTACAAACGGACCCCCGGAACAGATTATGGTTGTAAACCAAGGTTCAAAAGTATCATAAATGAGACACCTAGCAGACATAACTGGGTACATGTTTGTACATACAAGAGTGTCAGCCAGATTGTGAAGACTAATACAGTGGTACCTCGGGTTAAGTACTTAATTTGTTCGGGAGGTCCGTACTTAACCTGAAACTGTTCTTAACCTGAAGCACCACTTTACCTAATGGGGCCTCCTGCTGCTGCTGTGCCGCCAGAACACGATTTCTGTTCTCATCCTGAAGCAAAGTTCTTAACCCGAGGTACCATTTCTGGGTTAGCGGAGTCTGTAACCTGAAGCGTATGTAACCCGAGGTACCACTGTATATTATTCGGTCTTGATTCAAATTAATGGTCAGAAAAGAAAGTCATAATATTAACTTGCATGCCAGATCACAGAACAGGTTATATCAAACTTTCAGAGATATTTGCTGTACTCCAGTACAGAATTAGCAATGCTAATTTGCCAACATCCACTGTTGTCATGCTGCCCTGAAAAGGTTGGCCACGAGTGAATGTAGTCCTTGAGTCAAAAAATGGTTAGCCACTCCTACACTAGACCCTTGGTGGTTTATTCCATCAAGTAGTATGAAATATTCAAGTACAGTGGTACCTCGTGTTGTGTACCGCCCCCCTTATGAATGCTGCGGGTTACGTGCTCTGCTAACCCAGAAGTAGATGCCCCCTTGTTGTGACCTTTGCCCCGGGATGCAAGCAGAAGTCACGCTCTGGAGGTGCCCTTAGCAAAAGCACACTTCATGTTATGAATGGTTTCCAGTTACGAACGGACCTCCAGAATGGATTATATACGTAACACGAGGTACCACTGTATTTGAAATTTCAGTTGCTATTAAAGTTTCTGCTGGCTTCAACCACTGGCAAAATTGCTTTGTATATTTTCATACTGACCATAGTAGGGTAGGTGGTTATTCTTATTTGACATAAAGGAACTTGGATAAAGAAGGGACGCGGGTGGCGCTGTGGGTTAAACCACAGAGCCTAGGACTTGCCAATCAGAAGGTCGGCGGTTCAAATCCCTGCGACAGGGTGAGCTCCCGTTGCTCAGTCCCTGCTCCTGCCAACCTAGCAGTTCCAAAGCACATCAAAGTGCAAGTAGATAAATAGGTACCACTCCGGCGGGAAGGTAAACGGTGTTTCCGTGTGCTGCTCTGGTTAGTCATGCTGGCCACATGACCCAGAAGCTGTACGCCAGCTCCCTCGGCCAATAAAGCGAGATGAGCGCCACAACCCCAGAATCGGTCACGACTGGACCTAATGGTCAGGGGCCCCTTTACCTTTACCTTAACTTGGATAAAGGACTCATTCAACACCACCTAGAGATCCAGGATTGATGCAGAACTGACACTTACCGTACTAACTGTTCACCACAGTACCACATTGTCTTAATTGTTAGGAACCTACTCAGTATGAACATTGTTCTTTCCGCCTACTGTTTACAGGCTTTCCCCTCCTTTTAAAACTTTTGACTGGGGTTCCCTTTTGGAAACATGAATGCACTGAAATGTTGTTGGGTCTAAGAGAGCTATGAAATCGGATTATGGAGATAGCAATTTATAAGAAGAGATATTTTGCTGCTAATAATGCCTCAAAGAGGCATGGCTTTTGAGTACATCGTTTGTTTTATTAGCTTTCTGATAAAACTTTTTGAGCTTGATAGATGGGCTGCAAGGCAAACATTTCCATGGAGATAAGACTATTTGGAACTGGGAAAAGCTAATTGCTGGACAGTTGTTTCATTAATGAGCCTGATATCCCTTTCCTGCAGCAGAATAATTTCAAAGGGAGATAGGTAATGCTCCTGCAGGGAATCAGGAAATCTCAACAGGGTATCTTGTGTTATTTCTCACTGCCTCACAGATAAGAGAGAGGCCATATGATGTATATATTTCCGTTTATAACCAATTCTGTTTACAACCAGAGGGGGTAAAGTTGCATCTTCCTGAACACACATTTATTTTAAACCTACAGGCCCCATTGAGATATAATCTCAGAATTACCTAGTTACTTCTAAGCAAGAAGAGGCAAAAATTAGAAGTAAAAATATATCAAAACTTAGGCCCAATCAGATGCCTTTGTTCTTTGCATGTTGTTTTAGGCAAGCCCAATTGTTTTTAAAACTATGGCTTGCACAGATAGCCTACCCTGGAGGTAGCCAACAGGTTGGCTGGGGCTGATGGAAGTTGTAGTCCAACAGCATCTGGAGGGCACCTGACTATCTCTGAACTACATTGTCTCAGGACAGTGATCATCAGCAGAATTAGAGGAACAAAGGAAGTTGTCCTATAGAAAGTCAGACCATTGGCTCATCTAGGTCAATATTGTTGACACTGACTGACAGGTGGCTCTCTGGGGTTTCAGGCAGAATCCTATTTTTTTTTTAAGTATATGAATGTGTCTTTACTCATTGAGAAAGGCTTGTGAACACAGTGCATTGCATATGAGTGGTTAATGATCAGTTCTGTTGGGAATGCTTAGTTATGCCCTA